AACCTGTACACGTCCCAGTCGCTCGTCGAGGTCGCCCGTCTGTGCGGCCTCTGGGTGTCGTACACCGAGTGCACGATCGACGAGGCCGAGCGTCTCAGGGAGTTTGTGGCCCGCCTGTCGCGCGACGTCGAGGGCGCGAGGGCGGCCGCTCTTGCCAAGGGCTATGGGAGGCAGGAACAGGATGCCGACGCCGCCGCGCTGAGCTACAGCATGGCGGGCTCGGACCTGGACGAGGTCGGGTTCATCATCGACGAGAGGCTCGACTTCATCATCCACAAGGCGCGGTACACGCTCTCGACGGCCAGGTACGTGAGGGAGCGTAGCATGGACTTTATGCCGACGGTGAGTGGGTCAAGGCACAGATGCTGTTGATATATACCCCCCTAGAGCGCAAACCCGCTGCTGACACACGACACCCGGACCGTTCGGCAGATGGGCAACTACATCGCCCAGGGCATATACGTCCGCATGAGCAACCTGCGCATCAGGGGCATGAAGCAGCTCAGGGTCATCTGCCTCACGCTCCTGGCATTTCTGCCCGGGATCCTGGTCACGGTAAGCAACGCCACGAGGCTAGGTTACCCGAGATAGCCAAAGAAAGGGCGCGCTGACCGCCAAAGCAGACATTCTTCTCCACCTCCTTCATGGCCGACCTGCGTCCGCCGCACTGGGCCTTCTGGGCCGCAGCCGTCCCCTTTGTCGGCGGCGTGCTGGCTCTGTGGGGCACGTGGGACGCGTGGAAGCTGCCTTGGTGGATGAAGCGGTCGCCCAAGCTCTACAGGCTCGAGGTGGCGCGGTGGATGGGCGACTTCAAGCGCTGGGCCAGGCGCCGGATCGGCCTATCGGACGTGTCGTTGACGACGAGCAGCAGCAGCAGCACTTCGATCGTGGACGACTGACGTCCTTTTTTTTTGTCGGTTGAGGCAACGGTTGTTGAGAGCCAGCGGGTAAAAAGTGACAAGCATATTAGTCGTTAAAATCTGTCACATCATTTCATCGTTGCTCTTTCGCCACATGGACTATGACGGCTCTCGGCTACAAACGGCTTCCCCCGTCAATGCTGTGAACAAGCCGCGTACCCGTCCGGACGCGAACCCCCACGCAATGGATAGAGCCCCGCTAACAAGCCTGTACCCTTCTCGCCTTATCTCTAGGCCCGGAGCATTGTTCCCGACTCCCCGCGGATTCCCTACCGGGCCAAGAGGGATGAGGGATATGTGACTTCATCTTCCCAAGCTTCCCCGCACTACTGCATGCGAGAGTTCAGCAAGCACCCTAATGGGTAAACTCTGTGTGACATGGCCGCCTATAAAATCAGCGCATCCCCCTCCTATGGTCGATCTGATGCTTGCCTCGTCTGTCTGGCTTTCCCATCACGCACAGCTTTCGCCACAGATACCGCAAGCAGAACAAGAAAACAGTAGGCCTCAGCAGTCAAATCCATCGCACCCAATATCGCCCGTTGCACTCCCCAGATTGACTAACACACATCCATACCGGACCGCAGGCAGTAGCCCCATCACATAGTATGTGAGACCTGTCGCGATTTGACGCATGAGCCGGTGCCCATCTGACGCAGCCGTCCTCCGGGGCGGTTTGTCCAAGGTGTGGCTGAGATTATACGGTCTTGAACTTGATCTGGATAATACCAGCGAAAGGATCATGCAAGCGAGCCTAACCTAGAGCAGCACTCCCCCAAACCAAAATGACCCCTCCCGCAGCCGTCCAGGACTACCCGGTCCCCTACGCCGTCCCCAGCAAGCTGGACGACGGCCACGTCAACGGCAAGTCCCAGGCCCAGCAGCAGCAGCGGGCCGGGACCAAGGCCGCGACGGTGGCGGACCTCCTCGGCAAATGGGACACCTTCTCCTTCGCGCCCATCCGCGAGTCGCAGGTGTCGCGCGCCATGACGCGGCGCTACTTTGCCGACCTGGACGCGCACGCCGAGTCGGACGTGGTCATCGTCGGCGCCGGCTCGTGCGGCCTGTCGGCGGCGCTGGTGCTGGGGCGGGCGCGGCCGGACCTGCGCATCGCCGTCGTCGAGGCCGGCGTGGCCCCCGGCGGCGGCGCCTGGCTGGGCGGCCAGCTCTTCTCGGCCATGGTGATGCGCAAGCCGGCCGACGCGTTCCTGCGCGAGGCCGGCGTGCCCTACGAGGACGAGGGCGACTTCGTCGTCGTCAAGCACGCCGCCCTCTTCACCTCGACCGTGCTGTCAAAGGTGCTGGCCCTGCCGAACGTCAAGCTGTTCAACGCCACGGCCGTCGAGGACCTCATCACGCGCCAGGGCGAGGGCGGCAGGGTGCGCGTCGCCGGCGTCGTCACCAACTGGACGCTCGTGTCCATGCACCACGACGACCAGTCTTGCATGGACCCCAACACCATCAACGCCCCGCTCGTCATCTCGACCACGGGGCACGACGGTGCGTTCCTCCACCACCCTGAAACCGACCGCTGAAGGACTGGCTGGTCTCAAGCTAATATAACATGCTGCGCAAACGCAGGCCCGTTTGGCGCCTTCTCGGTCAAGCGCCTCGTCAGCATGAAGCAGCTCGACCAGCTCGGCGGCATGCGCGGCCTCGACATGCAGTCGGCCGAGGACGCCATCGTCAAGAACACGCGCGAGATCGTGCCCGGCCTCATCGTCGGCGGCATGGAGCTCTCCGAGGTCGACGGCGCCAACCGCATGGGTGCGTTGTTTCTGTTTGCAGGTTTTACGGCCGTTTCACTGATAAGAATCGCACTCCAGGTCCCACGTTTGGCGCCATGGCGCTGTCTGGAGTCAAGGCCGCCGAGGAGGCCATGGCCATCATCGATGCTCGCAAGAAGGAGAACGAGTACTAGGGGTGTGGGGAGGTCTAGTAGGCTGAATGACGGAGATAGATTGAAGTTGGAGCAGCCAAGTCCCTAAAGATTGTCACCCATTTTACAGGCTGTGATAGGTGGTTGAGACGGGCATAAATAAATGGAAAAGATGCCATCGTACCCCCATTTACTAGTGATGAATAGATGGCAATCAGTTGTGATGTTGAAGGTACGATCCGATTGATGTTCGGTGAAAAAAGACAAAGGAAGATGAAAAAAAAAGCGCGGAAAGTCACGCAAAAGAAAAGTCAAAAGTAAGTGTCAACCGATCCAGGCAGGGATCGAACCTGCAATCTCTTGATTCGTAGTCAAGCGCCTTGCCATTTGGCCACTGGACCTGGGTGAGAATTTCGGAGTCAGGGTGCCATCATAAAGGTCAGTCCACCCCACTTCCCCTAACTCCCTGAATACTTCCCCTTTGTCCCCTTACAGAATCAAGCCATTGGCGTATTATTTTTAGGAAAGGAACTAAGAGCATGGGGAAGATGGAATAAGCAAGCCCTCCACCAGCATCAATCCGCCTACCAAGATCCAGGCTGCACCTCGGCCTCGCTCGTCCCGATCGCAATCTCGTCGAACCACACCTGCCGGAACGCCTGCGACCCCTTCATGCCACCTTCGTCGTCGTGCCAGCCGTTGGCGTACAGCCCGACGCGGAACGAGAAGGCCCTGTTGCCCGGGTCGACGACGGTGGTGCTGATATCCTGCTTGTCGAGCCTCTGCTCCCCGTCCAGCCACACCTTGATGAACCCCTTTCCGTCGGTGCGCCACGACACCCCCAGCACCACGCGGTACCACCTCCCGCGCTCGATGGTGGCCACGTCCCACGACATGGTCTTCTTGTCGCACTTGGACCCCGACAGGTCCCCCCGGCGCGCGCGCGTGCGCAGCTTGTCGCCGCGGACCCAGACCATGGTGGACGGCATCCACGTGTCGCAGCTGGGCTTGCCGAGGTCGCTAAAGTCGGCGATGAACTGCGCCAGGTTGTAGTTCTGGTCCGTGAACTCCCAGCTGTCGGACAGCCGGAAGGCGAAGCCGTAGTAGCGCGTCTGGCCGGGCGCGTAGCCGTCGCGCCGGAACACCTCGGCGTGGTACCGCCCCGAGTACGAGCTGCCGAGGTACGTCTGCGTCGACTTGAGCGCCGTCGGGCCCTTGAGCACCACGTTGGTCACCTCCTGCACGCTCCCCTGCGTCTTCGAGTCGATCTCCTTGCCGTGCCAGCCGCTAAGCGTGCCGCTGTTCTCGAACGAGCGCGCGGCCGAGGCGAAGGGGGAGAGGAGGCCTAGGGCCAGGACCACGAGGGCCTTGATGGTTGCTTGAGGGGCCATGTCTCTTGGTGCCGAGAGAGGTCTAGGAGTATGTTGCAAGAGGGCACACTTGGCTGAGGACTGGAACTATTGCAAGACACTCGTCAGGATACCATGTGTTCATTTATATAGCAAACCCCAGCCCCTACGAACATCTTCGGGGCATCATCCTCGGATGGCGGCCAAATCGCGAACCCGACAGCCGCCCAGGCGGCCGCCAATCCCTTGTGTAATACAAAGAGAGGGGGGAGGTTATGCCTGAATAATCAGCGGAGCATCACGCCAATATCACCGCAGGACGGGGGCGTCAGACGGGCCGGATGGGGAAATTATTGCATGTGGCTAGGTAGATAGATCCCTGCGTGCCAACCAAAAGCTTCCCCCAGGCTACGCTGTCAGACTCGCACCTTTTACAGCCCCAAAAAGCGGCTGAGCCCGCCGTGGCGGGTTCTTAGTGAGCACACAATCTCGCCCGTGCCTAGCCAAGATAGGGGGAATACGGACGCTCGCCGAAATTGTCAACGCCATTTCACCGAAGAAGCGTCGGGGAGCAAGCAGACGGTGGGGATGAAACAGAAGCAGAAAAAAAAAAAAAATGAACCGACGCCGGCCCCCCAAACACATCTAACCCAGCACGACCCCGTCCGTCTTGCGCCACGCATAGTCCAGCCCCTCGGCCGCCTCCCGCGCCGCGGCCTCGCCCGCAAAGACCCTGACGACGTGCAGGGCGGCGTCGATGCCGCAGCTGACGCCGCCCGAGCTGACGACGCGGACGCCGCGCCCGTTGACGCCCGCGTCCACGAACCGCGCCGGCAGCACCTTGCCGGCGGCCTCCGACGGCGAACCCCCGGCCGCCGCCGCCGCCGCCGCCGACTCCTCGTTGAGCCGCGCCAGCTCCTTGTAGTAGGCCCAGTGCGTGGTGCAGTGCATCCCGTTGAAGGCGCCGAGCTTGCCGAGGAAGAGGGCGCCCGTGCAGACGGACCTTGTTTTTTTTTTTTGGTGGTTCTTTGCTTCAGCCCCCAAACCTCATTCGTGGGTTCTCCAAGGCGTCGAGGAGGGGCTTACAGGAGAAGGCGCGGGTGCGAGGCCGACGGGCGCGGGCCGATGCCCGCAAATTTGTCAATCAGGGGCAAGAACGAGCTCTTGTCCGCATCGGCCTGTGCCATGACCTGAGACCCCGGGCCGCCGGGGACGACGAGGACGTCGAACTCGTGCAGCTTATCAATCAGGGCGTCGTCCAGAGGTACGTCTCTCTATTCGAGAGGGGGATTTAGCTCACGGTTCCAACAGGGTCCCAGAGCTTGTCAATCGACGCATCCGTCTCAAAGAAGTATGCGAACGAAGCATGAGACACTGCTCAATGAGCGGCCTGGGAGCAAGAAAATAGGGGCTTTCGCAACGGCCGAACAGGCCCCGGCAATGCACAACCATCCCTCACCTTGACCTGGACGCCCTCGGAGCTCCTGGTGATGTCGCTCTCGGCTGCCGTCACCACCTCGAACAGATCGCCGCGGGTTAGGACCTCGAACGGCCCGTTCATGTCAAGAGTGTTGAACCCCGGGAACAACACCATGAGGGCCTTGTGCTTGAGAGCCATCGCGAGCAACAATCTTCAGGGCTTCTTTCGCCTTGGTCTTTCTTTTCTTGTTCCTGTCCGTTTCCTTTGTTGGGCTTATTGAGAAAGGGATCGAAACCATAAATTTCCCCGCGAATCTTCTAACCGGACTGCAACGAGGAAGCAGATATACTTGCCTGTTGCTAGGGGCGTACCCTCTGACAGCGAGACCAAGGTCACATGTCTGACTAATATCTCCCTCACGCCGGGTCAACTTGAGGCCGCATGGCAATCGTTTTCGGACTCCGCTCCGCCAAACCCGCATCCAATCGTGCCGCACTAAGAGTCGGCGGGGGTACCTGGTAAAGCTGGAGAAGCCGGGGAAATGGGGCAGTCAAAATACACAAGGGGCACCTCGAACACTTATCACGCGGGCCTGGAAGCCCAAAATACACGCAAGATGGAGCCAAGGCAAAAAATGGGTATTATTGTCGGGAATGGGACGCCTCCTCCTCAAGACGCAACCGCAAACGTAGATGCTGGCTACATGCCCTGTCGGCATGTCAAAGACGTCGGGCACATTGGCCATCAGGCCCCGCCCGCTCGCGTCTTGCCCCGGTTCATCAGGCCGGAGAAGAACGCCTGTAGATTGTCCGTGTCCATGTGGTTCTTGAGACCCGCTGCCTCCTCGTCTTCCTCGTGTGTGGGACTGGTTGGCTCCGGGGACGAGCCATACGCCTGGCGGTCCTGTACAAGGCAGCAAGATGCATGTCAGCACTGTAGTGGGAAGAGCCCAGAAAGAAGAAACGCACCTTGATCCGCTGCACCATGTCGTCAGCATCGACCTGGATACCGCCCATGTTGAACTGCACCGGCCCAATGTGGTCGCCTACGGCCCCGAGCGCGACGGGTGCCGCTCCAGGATCGGGGCTGATACCGCCAGGTCGCGGCGACGCTCGCCCACCGGCGCCTGCAGCCTTGAGTGCGGCACCACCCGTTGCGCCGGCCGCGCCCGCCTCGGCGCCTTTGCTCTCCTTCTCCGCCTCGATTCGGTACTGATCCAGAACCTTGAGCTGCTCCGCCAGGAACGTTTGCGGGTCCTTGGTCTCGATCTCGAGCCTTGTCGAATGGCTGTCGCGGCCGGCAATCTGCAACGCCGCCGTCGTCGGGTCCTCGACCGCATCCTCGTACAGCGTAACCGTCGAGCCCTCGATCCGATCTTTGGAATCCTGGTCATCCTCATCGTTCTCCTCGGCATCCGCCGAGGCTTCCTCGCCCGCTTCCCCAGTCCCGTTCACCACAGGGCCGGGCTTAGTATCCACCTGGACTGGCCTCGGCCGGGGAAATGGCTGATCCAGGTCGATAGACCAGCCATTGCTGACCGATTCGACATCGAAGCCGTCCCGTAGTACTCTGATCTTGCCCCACGAGTCCCAGTTCGGTGGCACCGCGATCTTATCGCGGTCAATGACGTTATGCTTCAGTGGTTGCCGCTTCAGGAGCGACGTGATACCCAAGCTTGAATGGATTAGAGTGGGTAGCTGGGAGGGAAGATTTGCGCTCGTGTACATCAGAGAGGCGCCATCTACCAGCCCAAGACGGTAGTAAATGTTAGCGTAAAACACAATCAAGAAGGCCAGGGCGAGAGCGATATCTGCATACGTTTCAGAAGCACCGTTCGCATAAACTGAAGAACAATATCAAAGTTCTCTTCCTTCCACCCCTGCATCTTCTCCAGGAGCTCCATCTTGTCGGCCTATAATGGGAAGCATTTCGGTCAGCGGTTTATGGGGGGGACCTTAGGGTCATATTTTGGGTGTCATGTCTCACGTTTTGGCAGACGACGGCCAGGGGCAGTCCTAGCGCATCTTCCCACTCGCCAGGACCCAGCGGGAGGGAGACGTCAGCGCCAGCTTCGGCTCCGGAGAGCGGCGCGGCGCCGGTGCCGTCCAGGTTGGTGCCGCCTCCTCCTCTGCCGCGGTCCCTCCAGCTGATCATGACATCCTCCATCGCCTCTTTGGCGTCGTCGCCGAGCGGTAACATCACCTTCCGGAGCAGCAGGATCCATTCGCGCAGCTGTCGCATCCACAGCCATGGCTCGGCCCAGTCGAGCAGCACCACGATCAGCGTATGTGGTATTGACTGGGGCGTGAGAAGAGGCCTGACGAGGGAGTCAAACTGGTGGGATGGCTTCGTGAGGGAGTAGAAAGAGATCCGGGCGAGTATGTCTGCCAGGAGACGGTGTCAGCGGGGGCCTCCAGGCGGTTCCGTCTCGCCCGCGGGGTTGAGTCGGATGTGGGCAACGGTCGGTGGGGCACGGGATATGGCAAACCTTCTTGGTCTGCGTCGAGGACGTCATAGTACGTGTATCCGAGGGCGAAGTGGTTCGCTACAGGAGGGTGTATCCTGGATCCCTGCCTATCGAACGGCCTTCTCGATTCGGTGTTGGAGAGGGTCTCGAGGAAGTCTCGCTGCGAGTCGACAGTGCCGCCTGCAGAAGAATAGAACGTGGCCGTGTCAGCAGCCCGGGCCATATAGAGCAACAAACACGGTGGGCCTCGTGCCCGCCAACAGAACAACACCAGGGCACCAGGACACCAGACTTACCGAGAACCAACAGGTTCTTCTCTGGTAGCCGTTTGCCGCTGGCGACGGACTCCAGCATGGAGTTCCACATGTCCTTCTTCTTCTCGCCATCTTTGGAGTCGGCCGAGGCCGTGGTGTAGGTGGAGAACCTGTTTGCGTTGCTCGTCATGGTGTCTCCTCCTTGGGGCGGCCGTGTCGCTCTGGGTGGTCGGGGGATGGTTCCGCGGCTACCGCTGGGGGTGCGGCGGCGGGTGCTGGTCCTGCGTCTGATCCCTGCCCGCGGTGATCGATCGCATCGGCAGGCTCCGGCGCATGCGCAGTGCGCGGTATGGGAGGCGGGTGGCGCAGGCGCGGCAGCGCGCTTGGTCGTTTTTGCTCGTCGCGTGCCGAACGGACAGACGGAGGGGCGGAGCCAGGCTCAAGGGCAGTCAGGGAGTGTAGAGAGCGCGGTCGGGGTCCTGAGCACAGCTCGTGCGTGGCGAGAGCAGCAGGCTCCAAACAGGTAGTCGATCAGCGCGGGCTCAGGGAGGGCTCAGGGAGTGGACGTCGTCAGTGCTTGGGGGTGGATCGCATCGTGGCTCTGGCGACGGCGTTGAATTTCCCGTCTGGCACATTTGACAGCGAAACGCAGAAGGATTCGGGAGCTACAGTACCAAACATGCAGGGGCGTCGCCCGGCACTTGCCCCACCCTCCACCGAGGCGGCGGATCCCGGCCCAATTAGCGACCAGCCCAGACCATAGCTGGCGTCTTCGGTGCTTCTTCAGCGTCCACCGCCTGCCACTAGGCGCTCCAAGCGCCCCAAGTGCCAATGCCAGCTGCGAACAAACGCGCAGTGTGGCTCCAGCTGGACCCCTGAGGCCACGCACCAGTTCATTCAAGCTTCTATCACCGCCCGTGCAGGCCCTGTCTCCGAACTTGCAACGTGACCAGAGAATGAGAGGACACAAGGCTACGGGCATCCGCCCTCCATAGCAATAAAATGTCACTACAGGTAGATCCTCGTTCGGATAGATTGTTCCATATATATATATCAGATGTATGCTTTCCAACGATGTATATTAATTAGTATATGTCATTATCAAAAAAACATAACCCAAAACAAACACGCGGTACAAGTGAACCCAGTAAACATGAAACAACTTTTTGCGCGGAATGTGTCTACTTTTGTGTGAGAAAAAGCCTGCGTAAATAACAGAGGTTAAAATCGACAAGAGTAAGAAGGTTATAGAGGAGGTCGCCCTGGAGGCTAGAAGAGAACCACTTCGGCCATGTGGCGGCCTCGGAATGAGATCATGTAGCAAGTCAGCCCAGTCGAGACCCGGCCCGCGCACCATGCCCCTCTCCTTTATGAGGGCGGCGGGCCAAGCCACTGTCCCCAGAAACCACCAGGCCAAGCACGCTTTCTTCTGCCTCCTCAGCTCCCACACCGGTGAAATATGCTCAGTCGACATGCTTCTCGCAACCAATACGGCCAAGGAGCTCTTTGCGATCACTGTGGCCAGGGAGACTGACGCCAGTAGACGACGACGCCTGCCTCTTGACGCCCGATCTCCGGCCCCAACCCTTGAGGTCGATATCCTCAACGCCAACCTCCTCCTCAATGGGCTGGTCATCGTCGTTCTCAGCCTCGTCATTGCGCGACACCTTGCCACCGTGGTTGGCAATCGCTGCCTCCACAGCGTTGGCTCTGGTCCTGTCATCCGCATACTCGTTCTGGTCCTGCTCCTCCGTCTCTTCCTCGTCGTCGCTGCGCGTGTCCTCGGCGCCGGTACCGCGGATGACCTTGACAGCAACCCTGAAAATGGCCATCAGCCAGACGAGGGTGATGCCTTGAAGCATCAACAAGACCGAAAGGAAGCCCCACTTGACCGACTGGTCGAAGCACACAATGGCCTCCGGGTCCCAGAGGGGCTCGACCATATAGATGAACCCGTTGGGCTTCGGGAGTGGACCGTCCCTTCCCCTTGGGGTGTCACGCCAGCATTGGCCGCCCATCTCGATCGACGCATCGCGATAGACCGAGTAGCAGACCATCAGGTACGCGACGTGACGGGCGAGGACCCAGCTAACCATAAACAGGCCGAAGAAGACATCGCACGCTCTGTTATAGCCAAGATACTTCAGGCACTTGGCGCTCTAATCCATGATGGGAGGTCAATACTTGCTCAATACGGTGGGGCACTGATATGTGCTTAAACATCCAGCATAAACTTACCGAGAACACGATATCCACGCCATCCATCAGGATCAGAATCAGGTTGCCGACACGGGTATAGCCGTAGCGCCAAGAAGAGTAGATCAGTGTGACGGTGATGATGTGGTGGGCAAACATCTGCCAGTGGTCCTTCCTGCGCTCCTCAATGTTGATGACGAGGATCTGCTGCATCCAAAAGGCCAGCTGAGCCAGCATGTAGCCCTTCATGAGGCCGTCTACCTCCCTGCTAGGCCATGCGGTCCAAAGGTTACGCATGTTCATGTAGTACTCCGAGTTCAGGTAGATGTACTGATTCCGAAAGAGAACCTGTTAGCACACATCCACCCTTGGGGAGCATTACTGCCCCCTTTGTCCAACGACTTTTCAGCACAACATACCATGCCAAGGGGCCAGAAGACGGCATAATAGGCGATGAGCCACCCCTGTTCGCTGAAACGAGTGACGGTCTTCCTCTTTTTCAAGCCGTGCCATTTTGCGAAGGGCGCCAGGGCATATTCCATGACACTTGCCCTGATACCCGTGAAAGCCACAACCCAAAAGAGGAGCTGGTAACCGTCATCATTTCCGATTGTATATTTCTCGGTCTTAGGGTTGTAGTGTGACGAGGAGAAGAACTTGGACGTGTATTCACGGCTCTTTGGGAAGAAGAAATGGGTGAGAGCAAGAAGTGCGAGGAGGTTGAGTGAGAGACCTGTGTCATAGAAGGATACTGTTAGTTTGGCTGTCCATATCTATACGAGGACATGCCGTGTCGACTCTGGCGGCAGTATGGCCAAGAGGGAGGAAATGCGACCAGACAGCCCCTTGTGCTGGTATTATCCAGACGACGAAGACGCGTCCGATGTGGCCGCATCGACATCCATAAGCAAGCGTTTGCTTGGGGAAAGCACTACACACCAATCTGATTGTCGACACACCACCTCGTAAAGTTCTTGAGGGGACCGTCGCCCCTCCTCTTGACGCGCCGGACTAGCATGGTCTTGTTGGAGGCCTGCATGTACAGCGGGCCGTTCATGGTATCCTTCCTGATGACAGAAGGGTCGCGCACCGCGGATCGCCGAGGAGAGGGCGGCCCGAGGGTGTCGCCGCCGCCGCCGTGGGGGCCGGACATACTTCCGGTGTGGGCGGGCTTCGAGAAAAAAGAAAGGAGCAGCTGTGCCGCGAGTTGGAGACTCAATTGAGTTTGCAGTACCGAGCAGTCTTAGCCCGTGGGTGTCTGCTGGCCGCGCGGTGGTGCTAGTTTAGCCGCAGCTGTGGGTTTGACACTCGGGCGGGTCGTCGAGGTCCAGAGATAGTGTCTAAGGGCGAGACAAGGCGAGACTGTGAGTGTTGCTAGGCCTGCACTTTTGTCCGCCGGGGGGCGGGCGGAAAATGCCAGGGTGGATTTTGTTGAGGAGGCGGGTGAGGCGTGGGGTGGAAGGGGACCAGCAACGACAGGAGGAGAAAAAGAAGGAATCGATATTGCCAATTGATACGCCGAACGAATGCTCCGGTTGCGGATCGAGGCTTGCAGGGGTTTGCTGTCGCTCTTCAAGCCATCTAGGAAGATCGCGTAGGGGCAGAGAGCGAGGCTGGGAGGGGACAGGAACGGGCAAGGAAGCTTTCCCACCACAGATATGCCCTCGTATTGCGAGGACCGCGGGACAGGAGACAGGCCTAGCGAATGCAGCAAAAACAGAAAGAGACACGGGAAGGTGCCTGGTTTTCTCTTGGTCTCTGGGCACCACCTGGGAAGTCTCGGCCCTGGGCTGCCTCGCCTCCCTTTCTCAGCGGGCGCAGGGGAAAAAGGGGACCCTTTTTCGAAATTTTGAGAGAAGTGGGGTCTGGGCTTGGAGGGTGGATGAGAGCAATCAAAGGCGGTGTGAAGCAGAGCTCTACCGGGCCTGGGGCGACGTCCAATTTGACCATGTGGATGGCGGGGAAAAGGGAAAAGGGGAGAAGCTGGCAGGGATCGGTCCATTGTCCGTGTCGTGATGGCGTTTCGTGCTGATTTGGAGAGAATTGAGTTCCTGGTGATTGGGCGACAACCAAAGCGTCCAGTCTTGCTGGTGCGATCGAATCTGAACTGCCATGAGACGGGCAGTGATTGCGAGCTTGCTCCATCCCGCATCCTGACTGGAGTGCGCGCTCAGTGACTTTCCGTGCTGGGCACGTCCATGCTGTTCATACTAGGGAAGCTCCCGTCGTCGCACAGATTTGACGGATCTACCAGGGCAACATGTCAATCCCGTAGCCGCAGCTGCTAGCAGCCAAGATGGCAAAACGGCAAGTAGCTGAGCGCCCTAGCCCACGGATCTGCTCCGAGCCATCACATACCGGACGGTGCAGAGCAGCATGCCCGACATTGGCGGTGTGAAGGCCACAGCCGCAAGCCCCTCGGTCGGCCGTGGAGCTGTCGTAGCTTGGTTGTCGATTCACTCCTCCTGGCTCCTGCCCGCAGCTGCCAATCCAACAGAAATGCGCCATTTGCCAGGTTTCAGCTTAGGCGCCTACCAATAGGATCCCGGAAAGGGCGCGAGTCCTGCCCAGGTGGCATGGATGCACCTGCCCGCGCTCGACGTTGGTGGTTTGCTAACGCGGGCTGGGTGCAGCTGGTGCCCTATGGTTGACACTTGCCATTCCTGTGCATTGGATCAGCCGTGTGCCGTCATGGGGTGGTGGCGCTCCACATCTGGCGTACGGCGTAAAACGTATTAGGCTGGACGTTACCATCAAATTGAACGCACGCACGCTCCTCGTGGACACCTGACGGCTTAGGATCGAGTAGGAACCGTATCAAACGGGTCCACTGTGGGAACACACCCAATGATCCTCGGCAAGGGACCCGAATGCATGTAATTTTCAACGACGTGGCAATCCCATCCACGATGGAGTGCCAATTCGACGCTCGAATTTCATCCTGTCAGTCGATTCGCGATGCTTTGGCTTTGAGTGGAGCAAGGCGGCAGAATGCCGAATTTTATTTATGAGGCCCTCGGCGACCCAAGATAGTCCCCTGCTTGGGTCCCGACAGGCCTGGCAGAGCCCCTCCTCGGTACCTCGAGACCTTCTATCCAAACCCGCCCCCTTTTATCCTCGCCCCGCCCGCCTCGACACCGCCAACTGTTATCGATTTAGTCCATGATAAAACGGAGGAGATGGCGCCCCAAAAGCACTTAAAAAAACAATTCTCACAGCCTATCATGGTACTGATCGCACAGGAACGCGTCGCAAAGGCCCTCGGCCGCTAGCTTGAGTTTAGTCGTGGCGTCCGAGGCGATTTGGGAACCACCTTCGTTGCGGCGGAAAAGCTTAGCTGAACGGGCCGGGTTGCCGCAGCGGCCGGCGGCCTGGGCCGATATGGCAAGCCACAGGCCGTTCTTACTAAATGCCACGTCGCACTCGTGGCCGGCCGGGCACTTGGATGGTAACACTAACCGGCTATTTGACAGGTGTCGGCTTAGTCGCTGTAGCAGTAGCAGTATGCTTAGGTGCCGCCGAGCTCCTTCCGCCGTATTGCGCATCAGACCGATGGTTACGCTGCCCTTGGCCTCCTCCGCCTCCTCCACTAGATGTCATTGAAGTTTTTGGGGATCCTGGCCAGCTTCCCAGGAGCTCCGGCTGAGTCGGGCATGCTGATCTTTGTCCCGCACCTGCGATCAGTGCGCAACGACGAGGTCGGAGGCGCCGGGGCTGGTCTGCTGTGCGAGAGGCTGAAGGGTATATACACCTCTGTCCCGATGGTGGGCCGGCAGCCGCTATCACTTGTTGTGCGCTCGTCCAGCAGCGCCTGCGCCGGGATGCTCGAGATATTGGCGGCGAACCGGGATTTCGGTGGACGTTCGGCAACGTTGAAAGGGACCGTATCCGTACACAGAGGACAGCGGCCGACCGGCACACATGTCGTCAAGGCGGCTACGGAGGGTGAAGGTGAACACGAGGGTGTTATCAAGCCACGATGCAGCTGCTGCCCACCCGAGCCATCCGTGACATCGTCGAGGCCGAGGGCGGGTGTCTTGCTATGAAACGATACCAGCTGTTTGAGCGTTTGAAGTGTGGGCGTGTTGGCCGGCCGGAGGGGACTACTCCTGCCGACACAGGTGGTTTAGATGCTCCGAGCCAAGCAGGGCAACCCCAAGGGAGGATAGAAATTCGAGCACCGCTATAATAAGGCTGTATAGCCAGCACTATGTGATCCCCGTAAAGAGCATGAGTTTCGCAAAAGAGCGCAGCCTGAGGAAATATTATAAGCCTGCTGGAGGCAATACACGATGAGGACAACGCCGCCGGCTTCTACATCCCACGTCAACGAAGACGACATCTGCTGCGGCAGTTCTACGGGCCGAATACCTAGTAGTTCAACTTTGTTAACCTCTTGAAAGCTAGCGTAAAAGGCCAGGCGGACCGGGAAGCTTGGACTGACCTAAACCTCGATGGCAACAGACTGGAACCTGCAGCTGGAGCTCATGTTCATGAACTTGGCCAGCACCGACACGGCAATGCCCTTGTTTTTGTGGATGGCCGTCCTGGAGACGATTTCATGGCTGAAGGACTGTATTGCATGCATGTCTCTCATGCTGAAACCCTCCGCGCCGCCAAGGAGGACACGCACACCATCAACCGTGGCTCCCATGGTCGAAAAGTCGACGGCGAGAGTTCTCAGCACAGGGTTCATGAGAGGCGGACTGGGGATGACGAATTGAACCCAGCCCTCCAGCTCGGTCGTACTTGCCGGCTTGATGAGTGCCGAAGTAGACTCTATCAGATTGGAGAAGGAACACCGGCTGTCTACGATGGCGCCGATGTGTACGGAGAGCCAGGTATTCATTGTGCGAGGATGATGCTGGTAGAGTAAGGGCTCCTGCAATGGCCAATATCAGTTCCAGCCAGCGTCTATGAGGCTATAAGACCCCGACATGAGCCGTTTGTGGCTCTTACTTGGTTGGGGTTGGATATGATGTAGATATAAGGGTTTGCGGAGATCTGGTGGTGGATGTCTGTCCGAGGAGGAATAGTCCAAACATATAGACGCTCGATCGAGGAGCAGAACATCCATCGCCGTTGCCAGTGCCCTGGAGGATATGAAAATGGTTGCTGAATTTTTGATAGAGCTGAGTCATGGGTACGTGTGGTTTCGGTGGCTCAGTCCCGGGACTATTGCATCTGACAACGGTGAGTACAATATAGATCAAAATAGATGATTATAGTCAGCATGTTGGGCCTCGCGACTTCAATGGTTTTCGCGTTCGAAGGGTTGAAAACACCTGATAGTCGATACGCGTCGTTATTTATCTGATCATGTCCTCGGACCCAAACACAGGTGGGGCGGCACATTGACGTCTGGGGAAGTGGATGCTGCGAAAAGAAGAATCTGGGGCAGAGATATATCGCGGAATGCTTTGGCGACGCCTTGAAAGCAAATATCCAGGTCCTTCATGTCAAGGCCACCATGCTGATGGTGTAATAAAACCATCCTCATTGTTTGTAAAGTCCATTCCTTCATTCCATCAGGACCGTCGATGCTTCCTTCTCCCCAGGTCTGCTGACTCCACAAAAGCCGCCCCACACGTGATCTGGGGCGCAGCAGACATCCTTGCCCCACTCTGCCGCGGCCTGCGCTTTGGCTCTTCTTCAGCGTGACGCCTGGATGTTTCGCCCTGTTGCGTGTTTGACTTTTCGTTCCCAGCATCAACCGCCCAACTCAACACAGCGCCTCGTCGACCTACGGAGCAGAGTGACTCGTCCATCTCCGACCGCCACCTAGCCGAACCCCTTCTCATCCAACCCCGCCAAAGGTCTTGCCGCCAGAGCAAGGGCCCTCGCGAAACCCAAACCGTAGTTCCCCGCCCCGACGGAGCCGAAAACGACGGAGCGAACGATCAATAACCGCCCATCAAACAGCCGTGCGTAAAACAGAAAGAGCCGCACCCATGGCCGCCAACACGAAATACGCCCCGGCGCAGACGCAGGACCCCGACGAGCACGTCGACTACACGTCGGCGCCGCCCAGCTACCAGGCCGCGGGCGGGCCGTCGGCGGCCGACTCGGACGCGGAGCGGCTCCTGGGCGGCGGCGCCCCGCGCAGCAGCGAGGACAACGTGCCCGACGATTTCAAGTTCGGCGGCTCCGTGTCCGAGGCCACCATCGACATACGGCACCAGTTCATCCGCAAGGTGTACGCCATCCTGTCGGCGCAGCTGCTCCTCACGGGCGCCGTCTCGACCCTCGGTTTCGTCAGCCAGGGCTACCGCGACTGGACGCGCGCCCACCCGGGCGCGCTCTGGCTCTCGCTCTTCGGCGCCATGGGCCTGATGATGCTCACCTTCTGGAAGCGCAAGGAGTACCCGACCAACCTGCTCTTCCTGGCCGGCTTCACTCTGCTCGAGGCCTACACCGTCTCCGTCATCGTCACGCTGTTCGAGTCGTCCATCGTGCTGTCGGCCGTCGCGCTGACGGGGGGCATCTTCATATTCCTGACCGCCTTCGCCTGCCAGACAAAGTACGACTTCACCTCGTGGGCCCCCTACCTGTTCGGAGGCCTCTGGGGGCTCGTCCTGTTCGGATTCGTCGCCGCATTCCTGCCGTTCAACTCGACGGCCGACCTCATCTACGGCGGGCTCGGCGCGCTCATCTTCAGCGGCTACATCCTGGTCGACACCCAGCTCATCATGCGCCACCACCACGTTGAGGAGGAGATCGCGGCTGCCATTAGCCTGTACCTCGACATCATCAACCTCTTCCTCGCCATCCTGCGCATCCTCAACAATCAGTCCAACAACTAGAGCCCTTTCTAGTCATCCACGGCGCCTCGAACGCCTGTATCCTGTCAAAACAACCTATTTGGGGTTCTGCCGAGTTTTTATTTTAACATTGATTATGCTTTTCTTTGGTCTACTTGAAGTATCCTTGGGCGCGGCCTTGGAAAGTCAAGTCAGCTTTGCACAGCTGTCTAACATAACAGCGTCAATTCCGGGCGCATGGCAGGATGTGTTGGGACACCTGGGTCACTGCTGTTTTCCAGTCTCTGCTGCTTGTTTTGTTTTTGTATCCCGTTTCTTTTCCAGTTTCGTCGGGAATAGTTTGGTTGGAGGAATGGCATGGAATCAATTTGCCAGGCTGTTTGGGTTTGCTTGAATCGTGGTAGTTGTAAGCCTGAGTAAGGCTGAAGAAATGGAGTGGTGATCATTCTTGCGATTCGAATTACTTGAGAAGTGCACGTTGTTTCTTGCTTTGATCATGGGAATCAAGAGCCACGAGACACAGTATGATGCCTACCGTTATCTCTCATCCGCGGGAGTCGTTCATGCAAACTAGACTAAGGACTAACGCAAGTGGCATCCAAGTCGCAGCATAGGATATATCGTAGCTGCCCAAACGCACTGGCAAAGGAGATGGAATTAAGGAAACCAAAAACCTCGATGATATCTGCATTAGAAGGCCACTAGTAGAAGAGAGCTAATAGAAAAAACGTGCTTGGGAATGTGTATGGGAGGAAGGATAGAAGTGGGGTGGAGAAGTGAACTAAATCAGGCGGAAGGGGCCTTAACAGTTCCGCCAGCAAGGCTCCAACCACCAGACAACAAGCAAAAAAGACTAAACAGCGAAGAAGATGCCTGAAACAAGAAGCAGAGAAACAAGACATAGTCCCAGGCCTCGTATCTCAAGTGCTCCAAGGCCGACACTCACTGAAAGCTCCTCATTAGCACGGGGTATAAAAGAAATCCGTCCAGCCGCAGCTGTCGCCAGGCCATCACCCAACCCAAGCCATGGCCGAGGATGGTGGCTTTGGTCCATTGTCGGGGCACGTGGCTCGTTCCAGTCCCTCCCCCCTTTCCCACCATATCCCACCCGGAAAAAAAAAACCAAAGTGAAGGAGCGCACTACAAATACCGGGAAGCCTGGGTGGGTTGTCGTCCGTGTGCGATTTATCATCACCTGCTTCCAGAGTTGGGGCGTTGTTGGTGGCTTTTGTTGGGAATCCGGTCGCACGAGGAGAGACTGAGAGGAGGGACAACTGAAACGTGGGAGCTGCGCTCTTGGGGCGATAATAAGGGGGGTTATCAAGCTAGAACACGAGAGCCCTGGCATCTCGCGCCCAGTGGGCAAACAGGAACCGACGCCCCTCCTCGTTGTTGGTCTTTGTTGGTCATTCTTTCCTTCAGTCCATCGATACAGCGATAAAATCTGGTGAAGCAATCGGCGGGAGGGGAAAGGCGCTGACGGCGGTGCCCTTCTAGTTGGCCTCCTCGCCGTTTGCGTCCGCGGCATCCCTGCCGCTAACCGCGGCGGCCTCCCGCGCCATGCGGGCCTCGATCTCGCGAAGCTGCGACTCGCGGGCCAGCAGCTCCTGGCGCTTCTCGTTGATCTCGCGCTGAACCTTAACCTCGATCTCCCGCAGCTTCTCCTCCTCGCGGCGGAGCTGCTCCTCCTTGAGGCGGACGGACTGTGAGGCCAAGTCCTCAGGGTTCATAGACGAGTCACTGCTTATTTGGACAAAAAAAAAAAAAAAAAAAGTCAGCATCGTGCCGTCAGCTTAGGCCGGGGTTCCAGAATTGGCTTACACTCCACCACCCTCGACGCTCTTGCTGAGCTTCTCGGTACGGTAGTTCTCGTAGAGGAAGTCGTGAGTGATCTCCTTCAGGTCAGCCAGATGGCTGTGGAGCAGGGCAGAGCGGATGGCCAGGAAGTCCGAGTGGCGCGGGTTGTCGACCTCGACCACACCCCAGGGGTATTGGCGAGCGCGGACCCTGCGGCCGCCAATCTCGACAATGTCCTCGGAGCCCACAATGGCAAACGGCATCAGGCCACGGAGCTCGGCGTTCTCCTCGACCGTGTCCTCGTCGTCCTCTTCGATGTCGTAAGGGAAGTTGTAGACGGGGATCCGGTAGTGCTCGATGTCCTCCATGACCAGCTTCTTGGACTCGGCCAGCTCGCTCGGGGTGAGGGAATCGGCGCGGCCGATGACGGGAATGACGTTGACACGGGGTGCCAGACGCTTCATCAGCTCGATGTCCAGCTCGCGGAGGCTGTTGGGACGGACAAGTTAGCGTGCCGGCGCTTGGTCAATTCAAGGACAGGGTCAGTAACCCCGCATCGGTCTGGCAGGAAACATACCCGTGGCCGGTCGGGGTGATAAAGTAGAGCAGAGCATGGACACGGTTGTCCCTGAAGCGAGGGTTACGCTTGATGCGGGACTCCTGGGCCAGAATGTTATCGTATTCCCTCTCGAGGAAGTCGACGATCTCCGAGAAGCTGATCGAGCAGGCAGCGTTAGCATCGGCTCCATCGACAGCCATAAGCGTCTCCTCCATCACAAGAGATCAAAGCCCAAGGCTTACCTAGCCTCGTTGTCTACTTGGTCACCAAAGCCGGGAGTGTCGACAACGGTGAGCGAGATGCGGGTGCCGTCCTCGTCAAGCTCGAGCTCTGAATATTGCGGTCAGATCGGTGGTACGACGTTGAAGAGCGTGTGGGACAGCGCGTTTCTGGCCCGTTCGTGAGTACCTACCAACAGTGATAGGCTTGATCTTAACGCCCTCCTCGATGTGTGCCGTATTGGGGTCGTCCGACTCCTTGTGGGAAAGAACGGTCTTGCCGCAGAGCGTGTTGACGAAGGTGGTTCTCCCTGGAAGGATGCAGAGGATGAAGGTCAGCGGCTGTGTTTCACACATCGGGCTTCAACGTGGTGTATTGTAGGGTCCGGTTGTTCGCATCTCCAACGCGTAGCTACGGCGCTTTGTCCCGCGAGCGGTGTAGGAGGGCAGAGGAGGCAGAAGACGTACCAGTTCCTGAAGCACCGCAGACCATCAGGCAGAACTGGATCACCTTCTTCATGTTCTTCTTCCTTCGCATCATCTTCTGTAGAGGCCGAGAGGCATTCCTGGTCAGCTATCATACGATCTGGGGCGGCCTCGAGCACGAGGACGGCTGTAGACTGCGGGCGGCGCGCCTCGCGATTGGCAATGGCAATGGCGGCAGCAACGGGCTCACGGCGACCAGGTCGAGACGTCGCGAATCAGGACCAAGGAACGACGGAGAACGGAAGGGGAGAACAGAGGAATGGTCTGGTTGGAACGTACGCCGGGGGACGACATCTTGGGCTTCGGTTTAGAATTTACTGTATTTTTGAGTTTTGCTGGACTTGACAATGCTGTAGAGGCGACGGGCTGTTGGGTGTTGATCGCCGTCTCTGGGGGTATCTGAAACTTGGCTTCGAAAAGAGCGAGAGCAATTCTCGAGTCGGAGTCAAGGTTCAGACGAAGTCGAAGGACGGGATGGTTTAAAGGAGGCGTGGGTGTTGACGGGGCGGCGAAATGCAATTTCACAAATTGCAGCGGCAGCGGGAGACAGGCAGGCCTGCCCAGCGCAGGGTGGTTGCTGGCACTGACCGACAGACTGGGGGCCAGGACAACTCCCGTGAGACGGGCCAATGGGAGAAGGGCAGCGCTGGTGTTTCCGCGGGCACGGGCCAGGGCCAGAATTCAGGGGCTCCCGCCGATGTCAATCATTTGGGGGAGGGGCGTCGAATGAGGAAAGGTCACCTTGCTGGCTGGCCGCGGGACATTTCACGAGTGCCCCAGCGAGGGTCCACCAAAGCAAACACGGGCCCCACCTTGTGTTTGGTTATCTCAGCCGGGACGTTGCACGGGTCGGCAGTCGCTGGCAGTGTGGTTAGTGACCGTGGGTGCCCGGGTGCCTGGCTGGGGTTTGGGTTTTCCTGGATGATGCTGGGGAGCTTTTGAGGACTGAGGATCACACGGCTGGTGGCAGCTGGCAGCTTCAATTTGCGTCTACATAAATACAGGTACCAGCGTCTCCGACAAAACAGGCCCATATCAATGCGAAGATGGCCAAACAGCGGTGCAGGCCTGGCTGGTGGCACACAGGTTCGGTGGTGATTAGGATCAGCTTTGGACCTGCCCGGTCAAGGAGCTGCTGTGGATAAAACGTTCTTCTCTTCCACCACAGTGTAACGCAGACACAGCAAGTATCGCGCAGGAGGCCCAGGAAGAAGCAGGCGGGCTCACTAGCACAGCTAGTGGGAGCCGTCGTCGAGCGTGCAGTCACGGTGAGATCTGGTCGGTCGCGTTAGTCACCTGCATTTGCCTGCAGGAGCAGCAGCAGCAGCGGAGCCGGCTGGAGACTGCATCATCCCGACTTCCAGCATTTGAGCCAGTCTATCCCTTCTCAAAGGACCCAGGCAATTCCACGTCGCGGCGCAGTCCAGATCAGCAAAAGGGCATCTCCAACCGTGCCTGCAATTTTACCTTTGCTGCCTTGTGGATGCCGACCGCTCGGCAATTCACGTCAAGTCCATCACTACGTCAGCCGACAGTTGCTACCACCGCGCCTTCCGTCAATACACTCATCTGGTGGCAGTGGACGCAGTGGAAATCCCGCTCTATCCCGTGGGCCACGGCCTGGGGGTCGGCTGCCTGTGATTTCATGCTGCGTTGTTCCTGAACAAAACAAGAGAAAAAAAATACCAATTAGCGTTTATCGTTGCGCCTTGACCAGAAACACCAAAGTGCCGGGTCCTTTCTGGTGGTGCCGAACATCTGCACCTCACATTCCATACATACATACCCGTACATAATCTACCTAACCTTCCTCCTCCTTCTTTAATAATACTACCAGGCAGCAGAGTCGAGGGCGGACCGCCTCGTCGCCAGGATGAACACCAGGCAGCCTATTGAGAGCTCGGAACCGCCAGAGGCGCTCTCCGTCTCGTTCAATGCCGACTCGAGCTGCTTCGCCGTGGCTTTGAACACAGGTTTCCGCATATTCACATCGGCCGAGTGTGACCAACAGGCCTCCCGGGACTTCCCAGGGGGCCTGGGCCTCGTCCAGATGATGGGCAAGACTAACTGGCTGGCCCTCGTGGGCGGCGGGCGCAGGCCAATGTTTGCGCCCAACAAGGTCATGCTCTGGGACGAGGCCAAGTCCGAGGTCTCGGTCGAGATAAGCAACATGTCAAACGTCTGGGGCATGCGCCTGGCACGGAACCGCATCGTTGCTGTGCTGCAGGACTGCGTGCGCGTGTATTCCTTCGCCAGGCCGCCGGACCTGCTCGCCCGCCACGACACGGCCGATAACCCTCTTGGCCTCTGCGACATGTCGGACCGCCACATCGCCTTCCCGGGGAGGACCGCGGGGCAGGTCCAGCTGGTCGAGATCACCACTTCGAGCGTTTCCATAGTGCCCGCCCACTCGGCGAGCCTGGTCGCCATCCGCTTCAGCCCCGACGGCTCGCTGCTCGCCACCGCCAGCGAGAAGGGCACCATCATCCGCGTCTGGGCAACCGCCACGGGCGCCCGCGTCGCCGAGCTGCGCCGCGGCTGGGACCCGGCCACCATCTTCTCGCTCGGCTTCAGCCCCTCGGGCGCCATGCTCGCATGCACTTCGGACAAGGGAACCCTGCACGTGTACGACGTCCCGCACCCGTCAAAACCAAACCAGTCCGCTGCCGCTTCGGCCGCCGCCGCAGGAGGGGCAGGGAGCGGAGCCAGCGCGCCAGGCTCTAAGAGTCCGACGTCTAAGTTTGCCGGCCTTGGCGGCTCGACGGCCTCGCTCGTTTCGGGTGTGGGGGTCGAAGCAGGCGGCAGCACCGTCGGTGACGGCGCGCAGGAGGGCGACGGCGGCGCCGGCAAGAAGGGCAAGTGGGGCCTCCTCGGCAAGATCCCCCTGATGCCGCGCTACTTCTCGGACGAGACGTCCTTCGCGCAGGTCAACTTTGCAAACACCAACCAGCCCGTCGCGGCACCCGTCGCTCCCACCATTATGATTGGCGGCAGCGCCAGCAGCTCCAGCATGATGGATTCGACCCCCGCCCCTCCCCCGGCCCCCTTCGGCTCCCTCAAGGGCACGCCCTACGACATTGTGCGGCCGCCCATAAAGGGCATGATCGGCTGGATTAGGGAGGACACCATCGTTGTAATCGGCGCTGGCACCGACGCGCGCTACGAGAGGTTCAAGGTTGTGCGCGGCCAGGACGGTCGGCGCCTGTGCGTGCGCGACGGGTGGAAGCGCATCCTTGGCGATAGCTAGCAGGGTCTGCGCAAGGAGTACGAGAGGGAGCGGATGCTACTCAAGGAGAAAGAGCGGCAGACCGAGGAGAGAGAGCGACGACTCCTCAAGATGCAGCAACAGCTGAAGAAGGGTGAGTAGCAACAGCAGAGGCGGTCGGGCGAGCGAGTGAAGGGAATTGTTATAGAATCTGCACCAGGCACTGAAGCATACGTGGGGACTGGCGTTTTCGTTTTCCCTTTATTTTGTTTTTCTCTTCATTTTCCTATTCCACCTATACGGCATATCGCGCGAGGTAAAGCGTCTTTCTTTAGCCACATGATTTCAAGAGGGAAATGGTACGGACGGGGAATGTCGGGGTAGGAACGGGTGCCCTGGCTCTGGCAAGCGTTTGTTTGTATTTAAACGTATACAATCTAGCGGGTAATATGATACAGCACCGAACGGGTTGCTGTCCGCTGTTGGGCATGATCCGTTCGGTGCTTGGAAATTCTCCATTCTCGGCCGCCTGACTCGTTGTTCGCCCTTAGCGATCCCGCCGTGACCTGCTCCCGCTCTTGCTCTTGCTCCTGGATCTCCTCTCCTTCGAGCGGTCGCGCCTCCTGTGGCGCTCGGCGCTCCTGCTGCCGCACCTGGAGCGGTCGCGGCCGTCCCCATCCCCATCCCCTTCGCGGTCGCGGTCGCTCCGGCGATCCCTGTCACGGCCCCGCTCGCGCTCGCGCCCGTCGTCCTCATCCCGGTCGCGGTCGCGGCGGCGGCGGGCGTCACCGCTGCGCTCCCGGTGCCGCCTCTTGTCGGCGTCGTCGCGGTCCTCGCGCCGCCTGCCGCGGTCTCTGCTCCCGTCCTCGCCGCCCCGTCGATCGCTGCGTTTCCGGCCGTCCGCCGCCGCCGCCGCCGCCTCGTCGCGGTCGTCGTTCCCGCGGCGGTCCCGGCGCGGCCGCTTCTCCCGGCTGCGGTCGCGGTCGCGGTCGTCGTCGCGGTGCCGCCGCCGCTTGTGGTGATGGCGGCCCCTGTCCTTCCTGTCGCCACCGCGGCGCTTGCGCTGCTCGCGCCCCCGCGCCTCCTCCACCTCCTTCTTCTTCTCCTCGATCAGAAACGCCTTCATCGGGTCGTCGTCGTCGTGGCCCTCCACCAGCGCCGCGAGCTCCTGCTCCTCCCTGAGCAGCGGCCGCGGCGGCGCGCCGCCGTCCCCGTCGTCGTCATCGGCACCGCTACCCTCGCTGCCCGTCCCGTCACCATCGCCATCACCACCCCCAGCCCGCCCCTGCTTCCGCTGCAGGTCCAGCCAGCCGATGCGGCCCTCGTCCGGGTCGTCGTCCTCGTGGGGCTTGTAGCGCGCGTGGTCGACGCGCACCAGGCGGCCCGCGATCTCGGCGCCGCCCAGGTTGTCGACAGCCAGGTCGGTGCTGCGCTGGTCCTCGTACTTGAGCCAGCCGAACCCTTTGCTCTTGCCCGTCTCACGGTCGCGCACGAGCTTGAGGAAGACGGGCTCGCCGAACTGGCTGAAGATTGTCACCACGTCGCCCTCGGTCAGCTCGTAGGACAGTCCGCCAAAGTAGACGTAGGCCGTGTCGCGGTAGTCGACGTGCCAGGACGCTTCGGGGGAGCTGTGTCGTTTGGGCGGGTTGGCCTTGGGAGTCAGCTTCTGGTTCGTCTGGGTCCTCGCGAGACTGGGAATTGCCAAGACTTACATGCCCTGCTCAATCTCCTTCTTGTTGAGCGCCTGGATGGCTCGTATCTGGTTCATCTTGGCGGGCGGGGTGGTGTGCGTCCGGGGCTGTCTTGCTGGGCTTCCCTCGTGGCCTCCAGCATCTCAGTGTCGCGTCTGCTTTCGATGTTTCACGCGAAAAAGTCCGCTGGAGCACGGCCGTCGTGAAATGACATCGTTGTGGAGAAGCCGGGCCGTTGCCGGACCCACTTTGAAAATGGAGTGTCTCCAGATTTGGTATCCCTTTCGTCCACCCCCCAACGCCGCCAACGCCGCCAAACCCAGACATCGTCCGAGTATCGATTCTGGACCAGCGCCTCCTTTCCGTGCTTCATTCTTGGCGCCCACTTGGTAAGATTTTGTTTACTGCGAAGCCCGACACGGTAGCTCATACAATCTACAAGGCTGGGCCTGGTCCATCGTTAAGGTGCGTGTTGCAGCCTGAGCATCCTAGCGGGAGTGATCCTGAATGTCGTGAAAATCTTCGTTCTTTTTTTGGTGGGTTCTATCATCCCCCAAAGTCATGTTTTGATCCTACAAATGGCATCGGCAGTTCATTCACCGTCCAAAACCCCCCCTGAACTGCCATGCTGAAAATATCCATGCATGCTTTGTCCCGACCCCTATACCAGAAACGCCAAGAAGCGATCATCATGGTAAGAAGAAAGAGTGCAAAGAAAACGCCAAGCTAAGGAAAGGGCAGAGGCAGAGGCCACGCGAGGAGGGCAAGAAAGAAAAAAGAACAAAGAGTAGTTGGCCAGGCCGTCCATCCGTTGTGTGCAGGGTGGCCGGCTCGGCGTCTCCGAAAGGGCTTCATCGACCCAATCTCTGTTGTCCTTCGCCAACTTCCCCCACTAGCCATCAACCCAATGTGTGCCCTGAATAAGCAACCAAATTGCTCCTGTATCAAGATGACGCCGCGGCAATGGAAACTCTGTAGCTAAGATGGTAGGCTCGTCGCATTAGAGAGAAACAAGAAACAAATCAAAAGGTAAACAGAGGAAAAAAAGATTGGTGCTGCATAGAAGGTGAAATGATGGCCTCCTCGGGGCGCGTTTGGTTCCAAAAGAGATGAAGTCGTCCTTGGGTTGAGAAGGACCTCGGGCCCAGTAAATCATACACAAAGTGACGGAGGAGAATGAAGAGCGTCGTCATGTAACCTGGGCAATGTAGAAGGCCCATACATGTACCATGCATGTGTCGAAGGCCTGATGCGTGTCAAAGTACAAGTTTCGACTGCGCGTCAATTTGGCGAACATGTGGTTCATGTGAGCGACAAGACGGTCGACAGTTAGGGCGTGTCTAAGCATTGACACTCGCCTTGCCCAGAGGCCTCAGGACATTGTCGCCGTAGTGGTCACCCATGTTTCCTGTTATAACATCCATGTCAGCAGCCGTGACGTCTCGGGGAGGGTTGAATGAAGGGGATGATGGTACGCACCGGCGGGGAAGTAGTCGCAAACACTGAACCAGGCGCCCATGTCCGTGAACATGGTTCCAGGGGGGCAGTATTGAGCAGCACAGCCGACCTTCTTAGTATCGGCCCACACAAGCTGCGTGTAGTGACCGTACTGCTCGAACTTGCCAGCCGTAGGGTTCTTCTGGCCATAGTTGGCCTCGGGGTAGAGCACGATCTCGCCGTTGTACCACATGTTGGTGATAGCCCGCGCGATGGCCGTGTTTTCGCCGAGGGACTTGGCATCGCCGCTCGATCCCCACATGGCCAGATTCTGACCGTAGCCGCCGCCACCGGGAGCCCTACATTTACTTTTGTCAGCTTATGATATTTCATGTCGGGATTGAAGGGAAAGGTCTTACATGTCGTGCGCAAACTTGCACTTCTTGGCCGTCTCGGCGGCATAGCCGGCGTAGGTGCTATCCCATGCGAGTGCCGGGGCCGAGTTGTTCTCTCGGTGGATGTTGTGGTGGTACACGGCAGTGCTGGCGAAGTCAGTGGGCGCGGCTGCTTGCGCCTGCTGGGCTTGCTGGGCCTGCTGAGAACCGAGCCTCACCTCCGGCGGAGGGGACACAGCCGCTGGCTTCGACATTGAGACGGGAGTCGGGATCGGCTCAGGAGTCGGAATAAGCGTGGTCGTCGGCTCAGGAGGGGGCGGAGGTGGCGGCTGCGAGGTCGTAGTCGGAGCCACCGACGTCAAGCTGGTGGTAGAGCTGGCCGCGGGCTCTGCACCGGCAGTGACCGTGACATAGACAATATCGGTCACGACCTCGGTGTGAACGGCGCGCTTCTCGACCGGGCCGGCGAGAGCCAGCGCGAGGCCGGAGGCAGCGAGATAGATGGAGGCCTTCATGTTGTCTGGGTTCTGTACTGGCTCGTGTGGTGGATACCCAAAAGGCGGAGCTCTGCAGGCCTGGTAAGAATCGGTACTCCAAAGAATCCAAAGAAGGGGATCGACGCGCGACAGGAAGCGAAGGATGGAAAGGGACGGAAGAGAGTGAGATGCTGAGCGAGTGTGGGTTGCTGTAACGAGTTCAAGATGGGACAGTGGCAGGTAAATGAGCCAAGAAGAGAAATCTGTCTGGAAGGGAGGTGTAGAAGTGAAGTCTTGAAGGAAAGTGCGCAAGGTTTGCACTGAGTTTGGTGGTTGTCGCGGGACAACGTGAAAATTTGGAAGGAATGCGCGGAGAATGAAGATGGGCGTGTTGAAGGGAGGTTGAAATGGTGGCTTCCTCGGCCATGGCGTCGAGAGCTGGGCACTTTCCCAGCTTTGTCCCAGGGCGGCGTTTCGTGGCGGCGCCCCACACACAAAGAAGCTCTTTGTCTCAACAGGAAGGAGAAGAGGAAGGCCGTAGACACGGCAACAGCCAGTCCAGGCCCGGGCAGAAGATAGCTCAAAAAGAAGATGCCGAGCGTGACTGTCTTGGCCATTCTTGCAGTTGCATGTGCTGGCAGCCGGCGGGGGAAAAGGCAGGCAGGCCGCGTCTTGCGGAGGAAGCACCCATGGCGACACTGGTACATCACAGAGAGCTTGGGGATATTATGAGGATAGTTGGCGGGGTCGAGGTGGGAGCGGGAGATGGGCGGTCGAGCAGTCTCGAGGGCCCTTCAAAGCGACACGGCAGTAGCATCGTCTTGGTAAACATACCTTTTCAGCGTTGGATAATGAGGGTGCTGTAACGAATGGCAGAGGTGACTGGAGAGATATCCTAAAGTGAGAAGGGGGCGGCGGGGACGGCGGTAGTTATACACCGTCGGCAGTTGAGGGAGTCGTCTGTCGGAGCTGTCTGGCAGATGCAGAGTGACCGCAGCGCGCTGGCCCAACTAAGGTCCGCCAAGGAACGTGAGGTCGTCTCGGAAAGAACGAGGTGGGTGGAAAAAGAGTGTGGTTGAACAACAGGCAAGACCAGTTGTCAGTTGGAGGTCTGTGTTAGACCACAAGAAAGGTCTGGGTGGGCTCCCGAAATCCGGAGTGACGGACGTCGTCTATTTTCTTGTTATTTCCCGTGTCCTCAGTCTCTTGTCACTTCTGCCACCACGCTAGGCTGAGGAGTGCGTTACAGTCAGATCGGAGCCCGCACGAGTGACACAGCCAGCCAACAACGAGGCGAGGCAGGCGAGCGGGCTGCTCTTGATGATGCGTTTCACCGAAGCGACCTACAAGCTTGTCACGCCCAGAACTGTGGCAGGTTTTCCTGCACTATTTTATCTTTCCTCTTCCGGAAGAGACGATTGTCAGGTGGTCGTATCTTGGCCGCTGTCTGGCTCGAGGCGGGGTGGCCAAGGCAAGAGACGAAGGGGTTTGATACTGTTTAAGGAGGGACGATGCAAAAGAATGTGGTTGTCGGGTTGGACCGAAAGAGCGATGGTGTGGCCGGTGGATGCCACAAAAAGGAAGGTGGGTGGTGGTGAGGAAGGAAGGTTGGAAAGGCGGTGGTCGAGGCAAGGCGAGGAAGAAGGCAACGAGCGAGGTGTGGCCCGTACGACGGACTAAAAGGAGTGGGACTCTGCGGCTGCAAGTGCAGTGGAGGTGGTTGTCGAGGCCGTTTTCCGTTTTGCTGAAGAGGGGACGGCACAGATCCTCCAGCGGAACGGAAGGCTACAGCTGGGAAAACCCTGTGTAATTTGGACGGCATCCATCCCAAGAACGGCAGGCACGACACAAGGGCGCCGAGAGGGCGTATGATTAGTACCAAGACTGCCAATTTTACTTGCTGCCCAGCCACGTGCAAGACCCGAGGGGTGAAAATATTGAATTGACCGGACAGTCCTCTACAACCTGCGGCTATCGTATCACTTCTTTTTGATCAGACGGCGAATCCGTTTGATGTCGACAACTCGATTTCCATGGTCCAACTGGGCCAAGATATCTAGGCCATCTGGCAGCTACAGAACGGAACCCCTGCAAACGGGCAGCAATACGAGATCTCAGCAGCTAAGCCGAGCTATTGACCTCTACGAATCCGGGCTCTGGCTTTCACAGGTAAAACGTGGTATCAGGGAAATCGACCCAGCCGTCACCAGCAAGCCACTGTGCAACGCCGCACGCCATCGATTGGTGATGGCCTGGACGGGGAAGGCAGTCGATCTGGCCGATCCGGTCGATATCACAAACAATCGAGCGCCATGTCTTTTTGTAGGTTCGGCCAGTGGCATCCATGGGCTCGCTTGCGATAAAATCCTAGGCAGATAGGCAGGCAGGATCCAAGTGGCTCTTCCGAGACGTCGACTGGTGACGGCAAAGGCACCAAGCACACAGAAAGACACTCAACAGCTGGGTGCACATAAAGTCAATGTTTCCTGTCCTCCGCGTGACCGGATCCCATTGGACGCCCCCAACTCGGCGTGCATCTCTGGTGTAACGGCGCGTACCTTGCATTGGTGACTGGAGTTGCGCCCAGCTTTTCGGCATCGCTGGGACGAGGCAGGGCAACCCCACCAACCTGCGTCCGTAGCCTGAAGTGAGAGACGAGGAGCTAGGGGCCAAGCCACGTAACGCTTCAGTAATGGCTGGCCCTTCATTTCGGGCCAGCGGCCTTTCTTTTTTTTCTTCTTCTTCCTTTTTGTCTTGTGCCACTTCACTTGCCGCTCTAGCCCAGCAAAAAAGTATCAGACGAACAACTGTTGAGGTCGCTTTAACAGCCTGCCGGGCAGGCTGCAGGGGTTGCGCGGGGAAAGGTCTGGACGTTGGGTCAGTTTGCAGGGGCGGCGGGCTGTTTGGTGTTTGTTCGCCCCAACTCACCGGCATCGGAAGAGAACCCCTGCTGACAGGAATCACACTATGGATACCACACCGTGATTTTGGGGTGTGTCACTCTTCTGTTCTGAGTTGAGAGTGCCCAACACCTGAAAACAGGGGCTTGTCACGACGAACATCGCCAACAAGAAGGGCTCTTGTTCGCTACATGTCCGGCCGTGATATCTCGCATGCTCCCAAACAACGCACGCCTGCTCGCATTCCCGTATGCATGCATGCATGTCCTGAGACTTGCAAAATTCTCCAATGCTGAAAAGTAGTCGTTTTTTGGGCCCGCCTTCCCGGCCCCTGTTTCGGGGGCCGCTCCCCAGATGGCCTCAGTTCCGATCTCGTGTTCCCTCCCCATCCCACAACGAAGAAGATGCACCGTTTCTTGTACCGCTCCCCCGGCGGTCCCGGAGCGCTGCAGGCCGCCCACAACGAAAAATACGGTGGTAAAACTGGGAAAGGCGACCAAAACACGCTCGTCCTCTGGCCTATGCCCCCGAAACAAGCACGATCTGGTACTATCTGGCCCGTGACATCTCTATCGCCTTCCCCGGGTCTCTGGAAGCTCGACTCAGCCTCGGGCCTACACCAATGAAGGAGAGAAAGATAGGAGAGAAACCTTGCCTTTCAGCAAGGCCGCCGGGGACCATGGGAGACGAGCCACACACAGCAAGCGTCGGAGCTCGTCGCACAGCAGCCCATGGCCAACATGTGGGCTTTTCTCGTTCGCTTGCTCTCACTGCTCTTGGGCCCGTTTCAGCTTCGAACACGAAGTCAGCCATCTCCCGCGCCCTCACCCTCCCAGGAGCCAGCCGGCCAGCGCACAGCATTCCACCGACAGCGAATCGACCGGCAGGAATGCAGCCCGGCGGTTGTGTACGCGCGAATGTGGCGTTCCCTTGAGCGACGCGCCTCTTGTGGAATCTCTGCACCCGCCTACGATTACCGGCTATCCTTTCCTCCACCCCTCGGCCGTCTATCCGAAAAAAAGAGACACGCCAGGCAGCCCGCCAGCCGGCCTTTCTACCGTCTGTGCCCGTATGGCTGAGGAGCGCGGTGCAGGCCGGGCAAGGGATGCGTCGAGGCGTTTTCTGTCTCGGGGGCGTCTCACCGACCGGTGCCCGATCCTGTCCACTCAGGGCGTTCAAGCCTGCAGCCTTGGCCCCGAGCCGTGCGGGGGGAGGCCCTGCCATCGATAGCATAGGTAGGTCGAATCGCCGTTTTCCCGTCCTCTCCCGCCCATGCATCCTCAAACCCTAGCTCCCGTTGGCGGTATAGGAGTGTTTGGGCCTGCTGCAAGAACCCGTGGTGGGCCACGGCGCCGAAGCCCCTCGACTGGAGCTGCCTCCGCAAACGGACTCCCGCTTCGACGCCTCACGCCCCTTCTGGCCAATCCGGGGAAAGTTAGCCCGCCTCCGGGTGCCCCTCGCCGTCTAGGATATATTGCGCTCCGTCGGGCGCCGCCGGGGCTGGGCCTCGATCCCGCGAATGGTGAAGGCCGCCAACGCAGTCTCCGTCCAACTTCCCTGGCTGTCCATGTCTCGACGCCCATATGTATCGGGTATCGGTCCCGCCTGTACTTTTTACTGTCCCCCTCGATTTCGGCGGCGTCCCTTGAGATGCCGCAGCTTGATAGTGCGAGGTCTTCCTGACTCCCGGTTCTGGGTGGTTCTAGGTTAGCGTTGCACAAGACCTCACTCTTGTAGCGCTCCTGGTAGGGTGGTACAAGAAGAGAAAAAAAACAAAGAGGAAAAAGCATGGTGAGTGCTGGTGCCGCTCGGTACCCTGGGAAGCGAGAGAGCAGGAGACAATGGGGTGATGGCCAACAGCGCTTCGAGTCGACTGTCAAGATCCCTCTCTCTCTCTCTCGCGAAACTAAACCCAAGACAACCAGCAATGTCTCCAGACGTGGCTGTTGGTCGCACAGGTGGCCTGTACTGGATCTTGGACAAGGTTTGCTAAGCGGTCCCTGTAAAATGTTTCTGATCCTTCCATGGCACCGCCCCCGGGCGGTCGTCTTGTCCTCCCCCTCCTTGTCTCTTGTTTTGGGAGCCCCTCGTTGTCTTCCCCTTTTTCTCTGTAGAACCGGCCCCGCCGCTAGAACTACGGCGGCGACTCGGACGAGCCGTCCATATTCAGGGGGTTCGAAGCTAGGGCCATATGCCATGATAACTCGACCAGTGCCGGGCTAGGGACAGTGGGTTAGTGGGTTATTGAGACAGAAAGGTTCTATCGAACGTGTTATTAAATAGCCCTATGCTACTACGAGGCCTCAAACGTCGTGCGCAAAAGAAACAGGGGCTTAATCATCGTAGTTAGCCTTGGTAGTCTGTTCCGCTGTAGTTATCTGCCCTAGCGATAGCCTGAAAGTAAGAGAGGCGGAGAAATAGACGTAAAAGAAGACTTCAAGCCATCTCCCTGCCAGACACGGCAATGCACCTGAACACAGTCATAAAAACCCCCGCCAGCCAAGGGATCGCCCACAGAAGAGGCGCACAAGCTCGCCTAGATCGCCTTGTCGCCCAACACATGGTCCAGATACCGCAGCGTGTGGTCAAGGTAACAGCACATATCGCATCCAAATATGGTGAGGCCTATCATATCTGACAAAATTCAGGTGGCTCGCAGCCTAGTGGCTCAAAGATTCCCGTCGCCATGTTCCTCGCCATTCCCGAGTTCTTGGAAGGCGCCTCTTTTAGCGAAACTAACACAACATGGAGGACAAATCGACTCTGCTTGTCCACTCGAAGAGAAAGGGCGATAGTTCGAGACATGAGGAACCCAACTGTCACTCGTCTTTTGTGCTCGAGACACCACGCTGCCTTGTCTTTGCCCCAACATCCCTCGACCCGAATGACTGGCAGAGATCTTTTCTCGCGGCCTCCGGCGTGGCCGCTCGTCGCCGAGGGGTACAGGGGCGAGGAAGCAGAGCCCGTGGGCCTGGCTGATCGGGTCTCCTGTATGATGTCGATACGGCTAGAAGGCATCACGCGCGGCCGGAATCGAATCACGTACCGCAACTTTGATGTCGTTCCTCTAGCGTAGCAAGGAAGCAGGTAGCCGCTGCTGGATGGCCAGCGCAGAAGGTGGGCTTTTTGGTGTGGTGCAGACGGCGCGACGGCGCTGCATCGTTACTGTTGCACCCGCACAACGTGGGCCTCTGGCAGTCACACCTTACCCAGATATCTCTCATGAAGTCTTGATAGATGGTGTGTGTGCTGGCGGTGCTCGCAATGGTGCGCAAGCAGACACCACCAGCCAAACAAGTCCCTACACGCCCTGAAGACTCCTGAAGAGGGTACCAAATGCCAACCGAGGGGCAATTACACAGACGAGTAATTTTTTCTTGTTGTGGTAGCTCTTGTCATCTTGCTTTCAAGACGAGTCTCTATGTACAACGTCGTGTGGAGCCTACTGCCTCGCCGGTGTCCGTAGGTCCTGTCGAATCGATGGTTGGACTTTTTCGGTGGGATACGGCTGGCTCTCACGACGCTCATCCACTGCCCCCACCGTCGTAGATGGCTGTTTCGCAAGGGGCTCATTGCGCGCGCATCATCGCCAGGCGGCACGACGCAATGATACAATGACCGGGGCTTTACATCGTGGCCTACCTGCCGCTCCGGTGACATCTCTCCCCGGCAAGCACAAACATATCTCCAATCACGACGCCGTAGGTGTGTCGGCGGCGGCGTCCTTCTTTTCCGGGGTAAAGGGCTTCTGGTTTGGCATGATGGGGTAGTGTGCGAATATCTGCTGTCGGCGGAGGTGGACTGGGGTCGAGTTCTTGGGCTGGTCAGGGATGACCTTCTCCAGACCCTGGGGAGCATGCCAACGAGGCCCCAAGTCAGCAACCCACATCAGCACGTAGAGGATGGCCGAGCGGGCCTTACAGTCTTGTCGTAGACGCATTTGTTGAGCTTCCACTCGTCGGCACGGCACTGCCATAGCTGGTGGTTGTTGTTGTCGAGGCACTGCCAGTGCTTGCGGAACTCGTCGAGACATGACTTATTGATGTCCTCGAGGACGCTCCGGGCGCAGCGCGTGACCCTGCGGCCCTCGGTCAGGCACTTGGCCTCGCCGGTGCCGGGGTTCTCGTTCTTGCACTGCATGAAGTCATCGTTGTAGTCCCGGCACCGGGCCCCGATGAAGAAGGCGGCCGACAACAGGGGCGCGGAGCTGGCGCCGATCTCCTTGACCTTGGGAATCGAGTCCGGCAGCGGAGTGGTGTCGTAGAGGACGTGCTGGTTGAAGCTGGGAACGGCCCGGGTTAGCGCATGCCGAGGCTGTCGCTACTCTGCGCTGGCGCCGATGGTGGATTTCCGGGTCGATGTAGACGCGGCTGGGGTCAATTGGCGGGGCATACAAGGCCCGAAGTGGACGGGAGAACTTACGCCGGCTTTCGGGCAGCCATCTTGGGCGGTGTTTGAGGGACGGTCGACCGGGGATTCGGCAGATAGGGATGGGGGGGCGCCTCTGTTGGAGTTGGACGATGTTGCGAGGCCCAGCAATCGAGGTCAATCTCAATTGTGGGGTGCCTCATTGGCCCGCAGTTTGACGGGGGGTGCAGGGGTGGGTGGTGAGTAGCCAATCAAGTGGAGCCGGGATGGTGGTGAGCTCTTTTAGCTGTTGGAGCTTTTGCTTGGGCACGGTCCCTTTTTATTTGCGCGTGTTGCCAGCCGCCGCTTCACATTGTTTTGTCATTCCGCCTCATCCCTCCCCGGGCAGCAACAAATTTCTTCCCCACAGCGTTAGGTAGCCTTGCGTCGAGGCTTGCCATCCGAGCCGCCTCCGCTTCGACCCCTAAGCCTCCCGCGCGAGCTGAAAGAGACACAACCTAATTTTTGCGACCAGCCTCGACGCTTCTTTGACGCGCCAGCACCCGCGAGAGACGCGCCGACCCTTCGAGATACTTGTCTGAGATTACCTCGAGCCACGACGGCCGAACTAGCCACCGCTTGCTATTGCTTCCGACACTAAAGAATCGCATACTCTATTGGGGGTGCTTCCATTACGCCATCTTTGCTGCCGAGCGACCGCCTACAGCGCCCATCATGTCGCTCTTTGGGGCGACGGCGCAACCCGCCGCCACGAGTACCTCGTCCATGTTCGGCGGCCAACAACAGCAGGCGCAGCAACAAATGCAGCAGCAGCAAATGCAACAGCAACAAATGCAACACCAACAAATGCAGCAGCAGCAAATGCAACACCAACAAATGCAGCAGCAACAGCAACAGCAGATGCAGCAGCAGCAGCAGCAGCAGCAGCAGCAGGCGGCCCTATTGCAACAGTCGCAGCTGGGTGGTTCAATATGGAAGCCAGGAAGCTTATCAACTCGTGAGTGGCTCCGCGCAGCGCAACCGCTGCGGAAAGAAACCAGCCAACAAGATCCGACGCCTACTCACGGGCTCGGGTCACCATCCCGCAAGACCTCTAGCTAATATCGCCGCCGCCGCCACCCGAACAGACCAGAAATCGATTCCGGAGCAGATGCAGGCGATAACGAACAAGTGGGACCCCTCAAACCCGGCCTGCGAGTTCAGAACGTACTTCTACAACAAGGTCGACGAGTCCCACATCCCCTTCTACGGCCCGGCACCCGGCGACGACCCCAAGGCCTGGGAGGCGGCGCTGGCCGACAAGCCCGCGGCGGGCTTCATCCCCGTGGCCGCCGTGGGCTTCCAAGCGCTCGCGCAGCGGCTCAACGCGCAGCGGCTCGCCGTGGGCCAGTTCAACCAGCGTCTACACGAGATCAACGCGTCGCTCGACGCCATCCTGTCGCGCCACGACCTCGAGACCTCGGTGCGTAGCCTGGCCGCCCGCCGCCGCCACGCCGAGCTGCGCCGCCGCTCGCTCGCCCTCGCCGCGCGCGTCCAGGTGCTCCGGAACAGGGGGTATGCCCTCAGCGGCGACGAGGACGATCTGGGCGCCAAGCTGGCCGCCCTCGAGCGCAGCGCCCAGGACCCTGCCCTCGCCGCTCGGATGGAGGAGCTCTGGAGCCGCCTCATCACGTTGCGCGACTACGCCGAGTCGCTCCAGGCTGAGATTGGAAAGGGCGCGCTCAACGCCGACCAGGGAGGCTTGGGAGACGAGGTTGAGGCCAAAGCGAAGAAGGTGCGTCCCCCTTTGCTACCCCATCATAGAATGGCGGGGGAGCGTTCTTGCCGGTATTCTACCATCTACCCTTGCCAACGCTGACACGCATCTGCAGATTCTCGAGGACTACGAGAAGCAAATACAACATTTGAAGAAGGAACTAGAGCTCGTCAAGAAGGACTTTGATGAATGGGAAAAGCAGAGCACTCCTGTGTCGAAGTCATGACCTGAGTTTGAGAGTCAGATAAGGTCTTTGGCGCAACTGATTTGCCTTCCGGAATCACGCGTGGCTGAAGATGGAACCAGAGCGAGACGTGCCCCTTTTTTCATTTAATTTGCATACCCGGCGCTACCAGAAACCTACTGCGCCATCTAGTCTGTAGGCTCTAGTTGTCGGCTTTCGGCGCCTGAGTGTGGCTGGATTCTTTAATGTGGTCTGAGCCATGGAATGAAATGGCCATCGCCTAAAAGCTCAGGATATCTCACGCATGGCGGGACATGGTGTCTCCGAGAGAGTCGAGATGGACGAGAAGTTGCAAGGGACGTTTCCAGATGCGAAGATGGCATGGCAAATGGTCATCAAGTGGTAATGTACAGTCTATCGTCGTCCCCACAGAGAAACTGTGGCGTACAGATGGTTCCCCTACCCCTGGATAAACGCCGAAACTAAAGCTTCGTCCGGTTGGTATTATATGCACACGCGCAATGGGTAGTAGGGTTGGACGGATGGCAGCGAACTGCTCGGCTCGAGGGGATTATTTCCCCATAGTGTGTTCCTGTTGACCGGCGGGTGAGCAGCGGCTCGTATGCCGAAGAATAGTGATATCAGATGCGCGGAGCCTCAAAAGATCCTCGATATGGCGTCAATGGCAAAAGGGGCTGTGTGTCAGGCAGTGCAGTAGAGACCATGTCAGCCCTCAGCTCAAGCAGGACTGCCCCCGACAGGGGAAAAAAAAAAGGCCAGGTGGGCTTACAGAAGTAGAGAAAGACGCTGGTGGCAATGAAGCGCTGGACGGTAAAGGTCGCCTCGTCCTCGAGCTGGCGCATCTCCTCCTCGGAGAATTGCGGCGGGGCGACTGCGCGGAGAAAGGTGGTGGAAGGGTTAGTGGGCTTAGACGTCCGAGGGAGATGGGTTGCGGGGTCTGTGGGCAGAAGCGTACATCCAGGTCCTCCGAACATGACGAAGGAGCGAGCGGCTGTTTCGGTTGGTGGTTTGTGTCTTGTTTAGCGAGCGTGGCGTGGGGATTGGGGGCGGTATCACGGCTGTTTTGAGGGGTGTTGGGCTCGAGATGTCTTCCTCCCGTGGGTCGCCAAGACGTCGTTATCGCCCGAAATTTTTGGAGCGGCTGCTAATCGATAACAAGGGACCAGGACCAGGCCCGCGTTACGAGTGGCGGTGCTTCAGCGGCTAGCCACAGCGCTGTGGCGGCCGACAATAAGCGATTCTTACTTGTGCTAACCAGGTACAGGCAAGCCCGACTTTAATCCGAAATCTTTCATGTTCGAAGCGTATCGTGAAGTGAAATAAGCCCGTCTTATTTGCGATACCGCTGTCCGCGCGCAAACGGCGGTTTGACAATGAAGCCGTTGCCCCAGTGCTCGCTGTCACATGATTGTCCCTCCCTCCAACAACGATAGAATGGCCGTTATCGGGGTGTACAGGGAGGGACCAGCACCAACCTAAAGTTTCCCGCCGCAACAGTTGCCCGTCGGATTCTCTTGCCTGTATCGCGCCGGAGAGCCAGGCTTGACACAGCGTGGTGCGAGGGAATCCTTTCCCTTCACAGCAGAGGGGCGCGCTCTGATTGGACCGCACCCACGCCTTTCTCGACTTTTTTTTCCCGCGTCCATGCAGGAACGTGCGAAAACGTCCCGTTATCAACCGATAACACGTCCACGCGCTGTCGTCTGGTCTCTCAGATATCTGAGGTGGGCTCTCCCGACCTCGGTCACTTCCAGGGTAGCTGGCGTGCGACAGACTTCCCCCGTTCCACCTCATGCTGCCCTCACTCCCCTCCATCATTCCCACCTTGTGCCCTCCTCAGCGTGTTTGTAAGACGGCCTAGATAGCTGCGTGGTCTCGCTCGACGGCTGGCTTCTGCTATTGCCCTTACCTGATCAATTGGCCCGTACTTGGCTTTTTCTCGCCCGCCCCTGGGCGCTGGTCTCTCCCGCCGCGCACGAGATCTGCCAGCAACACCCCGCCAGCCATACATCTCCCTCTCCCACAGCGCGTGGACTGTTGCCAGCCATGAGCTCGTGGGCTCTGGCTTCGTGCCGCCCGCTGGGCCGTCTCGGACGCCGCGTGTCTGTAGCTCCCGGGCCGGCGCTCGTGCCGAGGGGCTCGGGTTTGCGACCATGCGTGGCGTCCACCCAGCGGCGTCACTACGCCTCACCTCGGCAGGGAGACAAACAATCTAGTGGCAATGAAGATCACGTTGCTAGGAAGGAGGCCGGAAAATCCTCCATGATAGGACTGAACCCGAACAAGGAGGGACTCTACCCGCCTTTCAAAAGACTCTGGCGCCCAGCTGATTACGATAGCGAGCCTGCGGCTGGGGATGCCGTGCTCCCCAGGCACTTCCGCCGCATCGAGGGCCTCGATCCTCTAGACACGTTTGCCCGCCGCCACATCGGCCCCAACAACGACGAGGTTGCGCGCATGCTTCAAGCTCTCGACCCCCCGGCAACTTCCATCTCGGAATTCGTTCAGCAGGTCATCCCGCCCGACGTCCTCTCCGGCCGTCCGATGTACCAAGACGTCAAGGATGCTTCCTTGAAGGGAGTTTTCCCTGAAGGCGCACCCGAGTCCGAGATCTACGAAACAGGGTCCACGTGGGCGTTTCTGAACAGGGCCTATCTCCCAAACTTCGCCGGCAGCGGCTACTACAGAACCCTCACACCCGAGGTCCTCAGGCGGAACATCCTGCAGAACCCTGCGTGGTACACAAGCTACACCCCGTACCAGCCTGAGATCAGCCAGGGGCGACTGGAGTCGCTCCTCAACTTCCAGACCATGGTGTCGGATCTGACCGCGCTCCCCATCGCGAACGCGAGTCTGCTTGACGAGGCCACCGCGGCGGCCGAGGCCATGACGCTGTCTTTCAACGCCCTTCCCGCCTCTCGGGCCAAAAGGCCAGGCAAGTCCATGGTCGTGGACAAGGGAGTAAGCAGGAGAAGCCTCGAGGTGATGCGCGGCCGGGCCGCGGGTTTCGGCATCAAGATCATTGTGCTTGACACTCTGGATGAAAGCTTTGCCGCCACGGCTCAGGAGCTGGGCGAGGACCTCATTGGATGCATGGTGCAGTACCCCAACTCGCGCGGACTGCTCAGCGACTACAGAAACTTGGCCAAGATTGTGCACGACCAGGGGGCACTGCTCAGCTGCGCCACGGAACTGATGGCGCTGACTCTCTACACGCCTCCCGGCGAGTGGGGTGCCGATATCGCCTTTGGCAGCTCCCAGAGGTTCGGCGTTCCCCTGGGCTACGGCGGGCCGCACGCGGCCTTCTTCGCCGTGGCCGACAAGTACAAGCGCAAGATCCCGGGCCGCCTTGTCGGCGTGTCCAAGGACCGGCTCGGCGGCCGCGCCCTGAGGCTCGCCCTCCAGACGCGCGAGCAGCACATCCGCCGCGAGAAGGCTACGAGCAACGTCTGCACCGCCCAGGCGCTGCCGGCCAACGTGAGCGCCATGTATGCCGTCTACCACGGCCCGCAGGGGCTCAAGGACATCGCTCAGAGCATCAGGGCCAAGGCGAGCTTTGTCGCCGCAGCCGCCCGAATCCTGGACATCAAGGTTGTGCGCGAGGGCTGGGACACAGTCGAGCTGGAGCTTCCCGATATCGAGGCTTTCAAATTGCTGAGCAAAAACTCGTTCCACGTCGTAATCCGCTCCGAGGACACGAGCGTCAAGCTTACGTTTGATGAAGGCACCACGGTGGACAACCTGCATCGCGTCGTTTGGTACCTCATCAAGAGCACTCGAGGTTTGAACCAAACTAACGAGACCATGGAAGCGCTCAAGTTTGAGGTCGTGGAAAAGGCAAAGAACGACATCAACGTGGACGCATTCCCCGAATTCCGCCGGACGTCGGCCTACCTGCAACATCCCGTCTTCAACTCTCACCAGTCCGAGACGGAGATGATCCGGTACATTTACCATCTGCAGTCCAAGGACCTTTCGCTGGTCCACTCCATGATCCCGCTGGGCTCATGCACCATGAAGCTCAACGGATCGGTCGAAATGGCGCTGCTGACCCTCCCCGGATTTTCTGGCCTGCATCCTCAAGCCTCCCGCCTACAAAGCAAGGGCTACCACATCCTCACAACGGCCCTCTCAAAGCAGCTAGAAGGCATCACCGGGATGGACAGCTGCTGGCTGGAGCCGAACTCGGGGGCGCAGGGTGAGTTCGCGGGCCTCCGGGCCATAAGGGATTACCACAAGCGCCGCGGCGAGGAAGGCCGCGACATCTGCCTGATCCCCGTCTCGGCCCACGGCACCAACCCCGCCTCGGCGGCCATGGTAGGCATGCGCGTGGTCCCCATCAAGTGCGACGCCAAAACGGGCAACCTCGACGTCGAGGACCTGCGGGCCAAGTGCGAGCAGCACCGCGATGAGCTAGGCGCCATCATGGTGACGTACCCCAGCACCTTTGGTGTCTTCGAGCCGCGCATCAAGGAGGTCTGCGACATTGTGCACGAGCACGGGGGCCAGGTCTACATGGACGGCGCCAACATGAACGCCCAGGTCGGCCTCTGCTCGCCCGGCGAGATCGGCGCCGACGTCTGCCACCTCAACCTGCACAAGACTTTCTGCATCCCCCACGGCGGCGGCGGCCCCGGCGCCGGGCCCATCTGCGCCAAGGAGCATCTACGGCTGGACGAACTGAAAAACAACATGGCTATCAGTGGCGCCAGGTTCGGAAACGCTTCCGTGCTGCCAATCAGCTGGGCCTACAACGCCTTGATGGGTAAGTTGGCTCACCACTCTGAGTCTGAGAGAGAAACCTGAAAGACCGACAACAGCTAACCGTACCCCTTTGAACCCCCAAAACAGGCGCCGACGGCCTCAAGCAGGCGACCGAGGTGACGCTGCTGAACGCCAACTACCTCCTGGCACGGCTGAAGCCGCACTACCCGATCCTGTACACCAACGACCAGGGCCGGTGCGCGCACGAGTTCATCCTGGACGCGCGGCCCTTCAAGGAGACGGCCGGGGTGGAGGTGATCGACATCGCCAAGCGGCTGCAGGACTACGGCTTCCACGCGCCCACCATGAGCTTCCCCGTCGCGGGCACGCTCATGATCGAGCCGACCGAGAGCGAGTCCCTCGAGGAGCTGGACCGGTTCGCCGACGCCCTCATCGCGATCCGGGAGGAGATCCGCGAGGTCGAGGAGGGCCGGCAGCCGCGTGAGAACAACGTGCTCAAGATGGCGCCCCACCCGCTGCACGACATCATCTCGGGCGACGGCGACGGCGGCGCCGCCTGGGACCGCCCCTACTCGCGCGACAAGGCCGCCTACCCGCTCCCCTGGCTGCGCGAGAAGAAGTTCTGGCCCTCGGTCGCCAGGGTCGACGACGCCCACGGCGACCTAAACCTGTTTTGCACGTGCCCGCCCGTCGAGGACACGACGGGCGGCAGCGACCTGTCGTCGGTGCAGACGACCGAGACCAAGTAGGGGTGTGTGTGCGTGGCGCGTGTTAGTTAATTATCCACTGCTTCTTATTCAACACTCCCAACGACTTTTTTCTTTCTCTTTCTCTTTTTGTTTTTGGGTTTTATCGACAAATTAGCTAGTGTCGGGGTCTTGCTTCTCATGATTTCAACACATAGGAGCATGGGGTTCTTCTTTTCAACATCGCATGTCGGAGTTAAGACGGGGTTTGTTTTAAACGGCTACGGCGGAGTCGGCTTGGGAGCTTTGTCTCTTCTCGGTTTGGCAGTGTAGATTCTGGTCGTTGGCCAAAAACCTGAAGGACTTTTGCACATCTTTTGTGTAAGCCACATTGATTTTGGTTTACTGCTGATCTTTGGACTTCACACCGTGCGAAGGTCCTGTATGTGTCTCTCGACTTTCCCGTGCCCCACACACGCCCGCATGCAAGGGGTTAGGGTCAAGACAGCCAAACACATGGTTTTTACAGGCTCTAGGACGCTTTCTGACGGTAGTCACCCTAGCAGACTTGATTGGCTTCATATTGGACTGTAAGTGGCTAGTAGGAAACGTTTTGAGGGTAGGAGACCCTCGGGCTCTATCTATGTGCTAGGCAGCGCTTTCGAGCCGCAGCATCCCAATCCCCGACCTGCTTACAGATCCCTCGTAGTAAAGCGCTCCTTCGGCAGACCGGCCTTTTATTCCTTTTTTTCCTTTCTTTTTTCCATTTCCTCTCTTTTTGCATCCCCATTCTTTCAACTTTTCGTCCTTCCCGCCATCTTCAAACATCCCCTCGTCGGTTGACCTTCGAGTCTCTTTAGTAGCATAATCACTCAGGCCCTTCCTCCCCTGCATCCGAGTCTGGTTCGTCCAGTGGCTCAAGTTCTCCCTCCGCGTCCGATCCGCCCTCCGGCTCGTCAGGAATCCCCGAGGGATTGAGGACCTCGGACTTGCTGATCGGGGCGAACAGCGTCTCGATGAGCTGCAGACACACGTTAGCGATATAAGCCGGGGGTAAACACTATCGCCGGATGAAATGCTCACCCATCGGTCCAGCTCTCGGTCGTTGTCGTGGAACTCTGCAAGCTTGGCGTCAAGTTTGTCTACAAAGCAGAGTCAGGGCGCGTCAAGGTACTTGATATTGGCGTACGGGGTGGCATAGTGTTCTTACCGGAAACAACAAACGTCACTGGCTCGATCTCTTTGTTGTTCCTGAGCGTCTCCAAGAAGTCGGCTGCCTTCTTCGACGCCCCAACCTGGCCAATCAAAAACTTGACGCCTAGAGAAAACAATGCCGTTAACGATGGAGCCGGAAACACGAAGATGCCGGGACTTTTGAACACGTACTGTCGCGAGGGCAGCCGGCAACGACAAGCCTTGAGCCACACTCCTCAATGGCCATGGCGAGGGTGTCCTTGTCCTCGGGATCGGGGACGCCGTCGGTGACGACGGACACGAGCAGCGGCCGGGTGAAGGTGTTTTGCAGGAGTTTCTTGTAGACCATGGGCTCGAGGATCTTGGATCGCAGGTGCGTGCCGATGTCGGTCCTGCCCTTCTTCATCCAGTTCGCCGAGTCCATCATGTTGCATAGCTCATTGAAGGTCAGGTTCGAGGACTTGTCGCTCACGTCCTGGTTTATGAAGCGCAGGGCGACGCCCTCGCCCTCGGGGAGGATGCGGGTGGTGATGCGGGCGATGCGCTTGACGAGATCCCTCTGGGTCTGCCAGCGATTCTCGTGCCTGGTTGAAGAGCTGTCGTCTGTGCGGTTACAGGAGTCAGAAGTCGAAGCCAAGGGGCTGGCGATCGCGTCCAAAAGGGCCGGGGCTGCCACCCACCACAGTAGAAAACCTGCTGGTGCATGGTCACTTTGATCGTCTTGGCCAGGACTCCCGGCTTGCCGAGGTCGGTGTCCGGGTCCTTCTCCAGGTCTGCGACCTTACGAGCCATGCTTTGAACAAAGTCCTTGTCCTTGAAGAAGCGCGGCACGACGGCGTGGTCTTGGAGGAAGCTGTCGACTTTCCCGAAGAACTCTTCCGGCGTCGACGGCTCCTCAGAGTCGCCAATCACTTCCTGCGAGCTCAAGTCAGCCGACGTTGCGCCAAACCCTCAGCCAGCCGGCATGTTTTCGTACCTTGTTAAGTTTGTAGTACTGATCGTTGGGGTCCTCGGCCTTGATCACCACCTGGGCGGGAAGGCGCGCCGGCTGGACGGCTTTCCGCTCCGTCCTCCAGACGAGATTGCGCAGAAAGGTGATGACATAAAGGAGGAGGGAGACCACGCCCGAAGCTAGCTTCGCTAGCAGTTCCTTTTCCTTTTCGTCACCGCGGAGCGCACGCATGACGGCCAGGTTCTTGGAAAACTTTGCCATCTCCTCGGCGGTGAAGCCGTCGTCGTTCTTGATGTTCAACGAAGCCCCCGCCGAGCGCAGCATCCTGACGCAGACGAGGTCCTCCTTCTCTATGACGAGCATGAGCGGCGTCTTGTTGCCGGTAGCCTTGACCGTCCTGTTGACGAGCTTGGGAGTCATGCCCTTGAGATCCATGTCCTTGAGGAGCTTCTGCATGATGAGGGGGCGCTCTTTGACCGTCTTCCAGGCGGCGAGGAGCAGCGGCGTGGCGTTGTCTATGGATTGGTGGCCTGTCTGGGCCCCGTTCTTCAGGAGCTCCTCGACCACGTCGGGAAGCCCTTCAACGACGGCGATGCCCAGGGGCGTCAAGCCCGACTCCGGGTCGACATCGTCGAGAATGTTGGGGTTGTTTTCAAGGTAGCTTCTCAGCTTGGCGCAATCCAGGGTTCCCTCGCGGGCATCCTTGAAGATCGACATGGTGGTGGTTTGCGAGTCTGTTGCGAGGCGAAGATGTTTGAGAGCGCAGTGGGTGATACAGAACATCTCTCAAATGTCTCTCCGTCGAGGGGACGAACAGGCTTTATCTTCTCGTGCATTATGGGCGCCAGCTCCTAGGGAGGCTCGTTTCCAGGGAAGATGAGAGAACCATGCGGCTCAGGACAACACTGGGCAGGCATCCAATGGATGGTTGCCGATCCCCTTTGAGTCACAGGAAGCCCAAAATGCCGTCGGCGGCAGGCTCACCCAAGGCGACTTTGCGGTACGGAACGAGGCAACCTCTGCCACATAACACCGACACTGCCCAAACTCTGCTGCCCAGAAGCTGCTAGCTTTCCCCGAGCCACGACAGGCACGGCCGAGATCCATGTGCCTTCCATGTTTCTGCCACCGCTGGTTGCATGGTTTGCGCCCAAGGCTGAGGAAGATGGGAGGGGAGATTATTGGGGAGAACCTATCACACACGATAACATCACACGCGAGAGTGCCATAGAGAAGTCTAATTAGGTTGTTCGTAGACTTTGTGCTTCTCAAAGGACACACATGCTGCTCCGCTCCGTGACAGGAGCTCATAGAATCCCGGTGCCTTGGGTGCCCCCAAATTTCTTGTTCCCCAGATGTTTCCACTGCTGCGCGCAGCCGATGCTTGCGCGCTCCTATGCAGGTTCCTAATCTGACAGCTGACAGCTGACATGTCACTACTTTGACAGTTGACGTGCCGTGCTGTCCTAGTCTTTTGTCGTATCCGCGGAATAGCGTCTGCGCCGCTGCTTTGTGGGACGGGCCGCACCCATTGGGCCGGGCAGCCTTCGGTGAAAGCTTCCACGTCGGCTATAGCCACTACCCGTCACTACTGAAGAGGACCCTTATCTTGCTGCCCAAGCACCTACTGACTGCCTAGGCAAAGTACCTACCTACGTAGCTATGCATACATCTCGCGATGGTGCAGAGACGGCGAAACGCGCGAACCATGCGAACCACCGACGGGCTCCCACTGAAGACTTTGCCTGCAGGGAAGAAACGAAAAGAAGGTGAATGTCTTGCCGCTAATCTCGCGCAGAGCCGCATCTCGGTCCCGTGCCCAAACACCTTTGCAGTCAGGCACCGACATCACTTGCGTGTCGTCTCGTTGGCGTCGGAACCGCTAAGCCCGTCCTTCGGCGCCACCCTTGACGCTCCGCCCATGGCGTATGGCCATATCAAAATCCTACACAAAGTGGAGGGCTTGCTGGCAGCGAGGGATGGCGACGGAGGAATGGCACATACACCGGTTAACAACAGGTCAACGCTATGGGTTGGTCGATAATAGGCGGGTCGGGTGACCAATATGCACACAAAAGGCAGAAAACCCAGGGATCGTAACAATGAGATCATGCGTCCCGGACGCATGGGAGGGCAGTGTCAAGCCGGACATACCCATGCATTCGTACCCAACCTCCCGGCTGCATAGACGTTTGCCAGAAGCGACTGGCTCTCCGCACGAAAACCCGTTGAAGGCCACTATTGGTGGCCTGCCCGGCGCGGAGGCTGGCCTGCGAGCTCAGGGGTTTTCAATTAGTGGCTGTCGATGGGCCAATCGAACAAAATTCAAGTTCTACCACCGAACTGCACCTTTGTGTTACATCAACCTCCTCCGTCTGCTATACCCACGCACTTCCCTAGGTACGGACCTACCTTCGCCTGACTTTCGTGCCATCCCAAGTCCTCGCCGTGGATGCTACACAGAGTGCAACTGGCCGACGGCATATCGCGCATTGGTGCCAGCGGCGGCGCGCTAGGTAGCCTCACTTGGGCCCAACGTCGGGACAAGCCAGAGTGATGGGCAGCTATCACGGTTGCTATGCTACCCCGAGTCTGAGCCCTGTAGGGCGTTGCAAGGGCCACGTCAATATACACAGCCACAGTCAAGACGGCCGCCCGAAGCATCGGGTCGTTGGTCTGATCCTCAAAAATCTGCTTGGGTCGTCAGAGTTCGCCGCCAGTTAGACTGGAGCTGTCCGCGATCCGAGAAATCAATCAGCCAAGCCACAGCCCGTTGGCTCGTCGAGCTCTCCAAGCGTCCTGTTTTTTGTGGAAGCATGTCTCGGATGGAGAGGGCCATCAAGTTCTTCAGGGATGAAGGTATCGCAGTCTCCGAACCCGGGTCGCCCGAGTATGAGAAAGCCATTGCCACGCCCAACCTCCTGTTCCGTTTCTCGCGCCCCGACTGCGCCGTCCACCCAAAAACGACATATAAAGTTCAGACCATCATCATTGAAGCCCGAGACAGTAAGCTCAAGGTGACGGTCAAGGGCAACGGCTATTCGTATGCCGACCACTCGAGTGCCTCCTCCGGAATCTCGCTGGACCTCAGGAGCATGAGGAACGTCGAGCTCGATATGGAGTCCCGGACAGTCAGAGCCGAAGCCGGCTGCCAATGGGGCTACGTTTACGGCACGCTCGTTAACGGTAGGCACAAAGGCTATATGATCAACGGCGACCGCTGCCCCACCGTGGGGGTGAGCGGGTTCACCCTCGGCGCCGGCCTCGGGCCCTTTACGCGGAGCTTCGGCATGGGCTGCGGCGCGCTGACGGAGGCGACCCTCGTCACCACCGAGGGGAGTGTGGTGACGGTGTCGGAGGCGGACGACCCGACCACCAACAAGGGCAGGCTGTTCTGGGCCCTCTGCGGCGCGGGCGGCGGCAACTTTGGCATCGTGGTCCAAACGAAGCTCAAGGTCCAGAAGCTGCGGAACAGGCATGGCTTGGTGGTGGCCGGGAGATATGACTGGTATCCTGTGGATGGGTTCACGGACGGCGTAGTATCCACCATGGTCGACCTTTACACGGCCAAATGGCCTGACAAGATCACCATGGACACCACGTGGGTGTGCGACCCCCAGAAGAAGCATACAGGGGTCCGCTTCAACGTCTCATTCGACGGAAGCAAGCCCGAATACGACAGGCTCATCGACAGGCACATCAAGAGGCCGGAGCTAGCCTGCGCCCTCAAGCGTCGGGTGCTCGCCGAAAAGTCGACGCGGTACCTTTCCGAGACCCTCGCGGCCCAATGGCTGGACGAAACGGGGCGGGTCTATCCCACGAATAAGACGTACGAGCTCTTCAGCCCTTTCGCCTTCAGCAACGGCGACAAGGGTGTCCTCCAGGAGGCGGCGGCCGCCCTTCAGCAGCTGGCGGGCGAGTTCCAGGCCGACTTCGGGAGCGAGAATGTCAACTTCCGGGCGACGTGGGTCCACTCGGGCGGTGCGGCCGCCGACACGGCCTTCTTCTGGCGACAGGCCGTATTCCACATGTGCATGGCGGTTGAGTGGGCTGACAAGTGGATGGAGGACGACATGCGGCTCTTCCTCGCCAAGGCCAAGAGGCTGCTGAGGCCGCTGTCCCTCAACGGCGAGGCCGCCTTTGTCAACTTCCCGGCCCGGGACCTGCCGACCAAGTCGCACGAGCGGGCGTACTATGGGGACAACAAGGACGAGCTGCGGCGGGTCAAGGAGATTTGGGACAGGTCCGAATTCTTCAGCTGGGACCAGGGAGTGTGGTTGCCAGGGGACGACGAGGGCGACGAAGCAGACAAGGGCGGCAAGGCGGGTAGCATCGTGGGCAGGCAGTGGGACGTTGACACCTATGACATTGTGGGGGATCTCGAGGAACTGGCTGGTCTTGGTTTCTGAAACAACTAGTTTTTAGCTACCTTTTTATTTTAAATATCCCACACTAGCCTCGCCTTCCTTCACCGATATCTTCGACATCAAATTTGGGTTGTCCAGATCACGTGGGCGCCGCTGAGGTCAAAAGCGGAATCTGCATCTGGCAGGGATGGCCCCACACTGGACCCGCCAAACGAGCGGTCTTCCAGAGCCTTGAAAAAAAAAAACGGCTCGGGCTTTGGGCGAAACAGCAAATTGTCACCGCCAGGACGGCGCTCGATTCGTGTCTGTGTCGCCCGGGTTCAGGTTTGATGCCGAGCTGGTTGCGGTGAGCGAATGAGGGGTTTGCCGGGATCGAGCTAGGCGGTCTTGAGTCTAGGGGACGTCTGTCATTTCCTTGCAAAGGTGGCGGTGACGCTGCGCCCTTTGCGAGGGACGCATGTTCCTCCTTCCTTACCTGTTGATGCGTCCACCGTTTTGGCAGAGGAGAGGCGTTTGTTCCCTCGACAAGGGCGAGAGATGGGAGGGGGGAGGGAAGAGGGGCAGGCAAAAAAAAAAAGCCCCTCACATGGAAGACGGCGCCCCATTCCCAAGAAGCGGGAGAGCCGGGGTGGGTTGGGATGATCGGCAGGGCTCGATTTGTGGCCAGAATGACCCAGCGTGGGCCAGGCCCCTTTCGTGTTTTTTATGTACTCCTCTCTCCTTCCGGCCTGCGCGGTCTAGCTTTGTGAAACGTGATGCAAGGTAACAACGCACATAGAACGGAAGCACACCTCGGTACCCCGGGTATTTCCTGCATGTTTCCTCCTGTCTGCCTTCGTTCGGGTGGCTGATTTGTTGGAGGGATCGATGGATGGGCAATGGGGCTGATTCACCCGAAAGGCGCGCCCCCAAAAGGGATCGTAAGCAAATCGTAGGTGGAAAGGCGGCCTCCCAATGTCGCCAGCCACACACTGTGCAGGTACAAGCAAAGTCTAACGCCCAATTGATCAGCTTTGATATCGCCCGACACATCTCCGCCCCGGGAAGAGGTTCTGGAATGAGGTTATTCAACCGTGGTGGATGACGGATTAACCGGGAAGTGGGTGAAAGTCGACCGAGGTGTGTGATCAAGCAATGGCCGGATACCTACACAGTACTAGTAGTTGGCCTGCGAGAGATGGTCCAAAAAGAAGCGATCTTCGACATGGGAGGAGGAGGGACGTGCTCTGTTGGCGTGAACAACGAACACGGCCGAACAAGGGAGCTAAAAGGTTGTCCTGTCGTCGGGCCGCCAGGGTGCCGGCGCTTGGTTCTTGACAAATCCCAGCCCTGGGCCTTCCCTGCATCCCACCCCGACCCGGACAATCCAAAGACCAAAACCGAGCAAACAATGCGCCACCCTACCCCGAGCGGCGACATGACAGCCCCCTAGGTGCGTCGGCCTCCCTCGGGACGAGGGGAGGGGAACTGGAACAGCCCCCCTAACCTCTGCCGATTACCGCGACCACAGCGCACGCAATCTCGGCCGTGCGCTACCTGCTAATTTGAGAACAGCCCAGATCGGACCTGAGTGGGAGGGGGTGAAGTGCCGCGCGCGTGGGGGAACTTCCTGGCTGGGCCATGGATCCCCATCTTGAATTGCCAGGATTCTAGGCCGTTCCTCCTCCCTGCCAGTTGCGATCCAAGGATTGATAAAAATTACAAAAAATAAATAGATAAAGGGGCGAATATCAGGATCACCGCATGGCAGGCTCATGCTTGTTGAAACTCCGAGATGGAATGCGTCGACGCCCGCGGGTGATCCAGTCAATGGGCTGCTGGGTGCTATGTAGGTACCTAGTTGTTGGCCAGCAGATGAAAAGGGCCAGGAGTGGTGCCCGCTGGGCAACAAAATGAAGCTGACAGGGAGGCGGCACTTGCATTGCAGCCCAACGCAAGCGGGCGAGTCTTGGTTGTTCGAGACGGCCGATGCCGTGGAGCCTGCTGATGCCCGGTGGATCCCGCATCAGCGAGAAACCAAGCGCCAGCCATTGAGGAAGCCACGTCCAGCCGACCATGGAAGAAGCCCGGCCACTCGACCCGACTCAGCTTCTCAAATAGCTCAGCTTCCCGTCTGCTCATCAAGGACGGGGTTTCCGAAGTTGGGGATCGACTATGACAAGCGCCATGGAACCCCCTTTGTCTTGGTTTCGTCCTGGCATTTCGCATCTCGGTGACCGCGCCTCTCGGATGCGGAAATTGGGGAGGGGGCCAGGGAGCCGGATTTAGATTTCTATCTCGGGACAAGAGCAACATGACGTGAACTCGAATGACGTGAATTTCCCTCGAGATGGATGCATCGCTGCCGCGGGTCCATGGTCGATGGGCCTGCAGGCAGCTCTCGCTCGGCTGTTAGCGGCAGGCGATTATTCTAACGATCGTGTCCCATCCGACGGCTGGCCAAGCCAGGTGACCTTCTGGACCGTCCATCGACGACGTCCAACGAAGACGCAACGCGAAATAAGGGCGGGCTGCTGACTGGGACGCGGACCAACCACGCGCAAAAGGCGACGGCATGACCGAATAAGGGCGCGCCGCCTTGCCATGGCGTTGGCCTTTCCACTTTTTCCGCCCGCCGTGGCTGGCTGGCCACGGGCGCAGCAAGCGTGCAGCAAATCCGAGGTCCAGACGCCGGAAATCTCGTGTGCGCGCGTGTGTGTGCGCTGGCGTGATTACAATCCATGTACAGCCTGGCCAGCCACTCCCAGCCGAGCCAGTCGCTTTGCTTTGCTGCGTTGCTTTGCTGGTCCGCATCGGGTCTGCTCGCGAGCGAGCGTGGATGCGGGTTTCGCCCTGTTCCATGCAACCCATCTCGCCAGCGCCAGCTGTGGCGGACCAACGTCAAGTCGGTGCGGGGGATCCTGGTATGGGCCTCGCGCATAGTGTCTGGTGCTTGTCAGCCATGCCCTAACAGGTATGGAGGGCGGTCTAGTCGGGCTTTCACTGGCCTGCCGTTGAGGGCGGGGCGAGGAGCCTTGAATCAATGTCTCGCCACGGTGCATTTTGCTGCCACTGTGGTCCACGCGTACTGTGGAGCGGAGAGGGCCCATGTACCACTTGGGCATCAGTAATGTGTAGGGGTACATGCAGCCCCGCCTTCCCGAGCCGGGCACGGGCGGCAATTCAAGGGACCCAAGGCTGCATCGGGAGTGGAAAAATGGACAAGAATGGGTGGCCTGTCAAGCGCCTGTATTCGCCTGCATTTTTTCTGTCGAGCCCCCTAACGTTACGCTCGGGATAGGTTACGAGGTCAGGCTCCCGACCCACTCACAGGTCTCCCTCAGGCTCCAGCTTGGGCCAGGCCAACGACGGGGCTCCCCAGCAGCTCCGAGTGCATGCGCTGCGTGCCTGGGGCCGCCTGAATCCAGCCCGACTCCTCGACTCGACTGTGCTCAAACTGCACGCTGCTCAATCCATCCGCCGATTTGATCGATTCCTTCCCTTCTCTTCCTCCAAAACCCCAAACTCTGCCCATTCCACCATCCTCCCTCTGAACATCACCCGGATCGCACTGCCGTCCCCACGAGCTGTGCGGCAATCCGATCTGATTTCAGACTCCTTCCACCGCGTTTTGAGAACAGGTCGACGGCGCCAAAAAAAAAAGGCCCGGAATTATTTCGCTGGCTCATTTGCCATCCGGCCACCGACAAGGTTCGTTCATCCACTCTGCTCTCGGCCCCCCCCTTGCACACAAAAAGAGCGGTCTGGCTGCCCGCTTTTGTTGTGCATTTTGCCGCCCGCCCGCCGCGCTCCCCCAAACTCTTCCTCTGTCAACCCCAAACCCACGGTCGGGCCAAACCCAAACCACCAAAAACCAACACACCACCATCACGCCCGTCTTCGGCCTCCTGACATTCTCTCAACGCCGTCCAGGACGAGCACCTGCCGAGGGGGATAAAGCCAGACGACGGGAGTAAACCAGAGGTGAGTGACTGTTTTAGACGCAGTCCTGACTGCGTGCAGCGTGGCTTTCTCTCACTTCAATCCCAAAACCTGCCAAACCTTCAGTCACGCGGCATTAGTCGGCTGGGTGGCGGTGCTTGTCGGGCCTGTACGCAAGGGGAAGAGGTGAGGCTGCTGCTTTCCAACCACAGCCTCTCATCACTCGATTCTCTCGATGCCCCGGATCATTTGCACTACATCACCTTCAGACTGAACTTTCTTCTTCTCTATTTATCCCACGCCGTGTCCCTCGAACGGTTTCCCACCGACCTCAATTTCATTCACTCGCGGGAACCGCCGCGAGACCAAACCCCTCATTGTGCGCTAACCCAGCGGAAACTCTGACAGTTCTGACCAGCAACATCTCGACGTCTCGGTGTAGCCTCTGACAATCCCCAAGAAATATCGACATCGAGTCTTCGGGACCGAAATCTCGTCAAGATGACTACCATGGTATGTGGCTTTGCATGCAACTCCACGATGCTGCCTTGCCTCGTAATGGACAAGCTGCTTTCGCTTCGGCGAGTTGCCGTTGATAAAAACCTTGCTAATAATCTTCTCCCTCAGGATCTTCGTGTCGGTAATAAGTACCGCATCGGGCGCAAGATCGGTTCGGGCTCGTTCGGTGATATCTACCTCGGCACCAACATCATCTCGGGCGAGGAGATCGCCATCAAGCTCGAGAGCGTCAAGGCCAAGCACCCCCAGCTCGAGTACGAGGCGCGGGTCTACAAGTCGCTCGCCGGCGGTGTCGGCATTCCTTTCGTCCGCTGGTTCGGAACCGAGTGCGACTACAATGCTATGGTCCTCGACCTGCTTGGTCCCAGTCTGGAGGACCTGTTCAACTTTTGCAACCGCAAGTTCTCGCTCAAGACAGTTCTCCTTCTAGCCGACCAGCTCATCTCGCGTATCGAGTATATCCACGCCAAGTCCTTCATCCACCGCGACATCAAGCCCGACAACTTCCTGATGGGCATCGGCAAGCGCGGCAACCAGGTCAACGTGATTGACTTCGGTCTTGCCAAGAAGTACCGCGACCCCAAGACGCACTTCCACATCCCGTACCGTGAGAACAAGAACCTGACCGGAACCGCCCGGTATGCTTCCATCAACACCCATCTTGGTGTCGGTAAGTCTCACTCTACTTGTCCGGAGAATCCCTTCCACTTTATGTGCGCCGGGCATCACCACTAATCCGAATCGTGTAACCCACTAGAACAATCTCGCCGTGACGACATGGAGTCTCTTGGATACGTGATGCTCTACTTCTGCCGTGGATCTCTGCCGTGGCAGGGACTCAAGGCTGCCACCAAGAAGCAGAAGTACGACAGGATCATGGAGAAGAAAATGACGACACCTACCGAGGTTCTCTGCCGCGGATTCCCCAACGAGTTCGCCATCTACCTCAACTACACGCGGTCGCTTCGCTTCGACGACAAGCCTGACTACAGCTACCTCCGCAAGATCTTCCGCGACCTGTTCGTCCGCGAGGGTTTCCAGTATGACTATGTCTTCGATTGGACGGTGTACAAGTACAAGGGCAACAGCAACACCAGCGGCACCGGCGCCGGCACCGGCACCGGCACCCGGGCAAAGGATGCCCAGGAGGACCCGCAGCAGGGTATGGCCGCGGCGACCACCCGTATTCGCAAGAACCTCGGCGAGGAAACGCCCAACACCCGAGGCGCCATCGGCGGCAGCGACAGGATGTGAGTGTCTAGAATGTCCATTTCAGCATGCATTCCTTGTAAGGAATCATTTTCCTTCGAGTTTGGTGCCGATGATTCAAACGCTGGCCGAGGGAAGATGCTGACAATTGTGGTTGCTGACATTCAGTGTGCGATGAACAGGCTGCGTTCGGCATACAAGGACTCCCGCACCGGAGACGCCGCCTATCGCACCAAGTGAAGCACGGACCGGCCGTTTACCTAACGCTCTCGAAATCTGCTAGGCGTTGAGCTTGGAGTATTGTATCCCCACACTGTCACCTGCCAGTGTTGGGCGTGGTGTCTGCCTTTTCTTATTCGTCTGCATCGTCTCGGCTTCTCCCCCCGCCTATCCGCACATCCGCAGCCAGATCCGCCACTGCCTCGGGGTCTGGTGCATGCGTCGATGCGATCGAGCCTGAGCCGCTTTCGAACGGCAACCACGTGTCTCCCCTCGACAACATCTCTGCAAGATTGCTTCTTTATTTCCTTCATCTTTCGACGGCATCCGACTTTCCTTTCTCTCCTTGCTCGGCCTGCTCTCGGCACGGCCGTCTGCACGATGTAATCTATGCCTCCGGACTTGGATTACTGAGTGACGGCGGGCTTTTCCGAGAAAGGGTTGAACGGCATGTCCGGTGCCTCGAGCCTCGGATCTGCCGCGAAGCTAGGGATCCTCTGTTCTGTCAGGAATTGTATCTACAATTCTCTGGCTGCGAAGATCTCGGAAAGGACCTGATATTCAACGACCGTGGACCGGCGTCTCGCTGCTCCACCGTTCGCCTATCGGTATTCGCCTCCAAGTTACGAAGCACCACATCATCCCCGTTTCAAATCCTCTGTTTCTCTTTATCTTTCCTTCCCTCACCCTCCCACTACTTGGGAAGGTCGTCTTTTTCCTCGCAATTGACAACATAGCTTCGGAGCCCGCTTGTGGGGATGTAATTCAGGGGACGAGGAGCTTTTTCAGTGGACATGGTGTGACGAGGGCGTGGTCCGAGCATTTACGTGCTTTTGATCGCCCCAAGTCGACCACCGTCCTGGCAGATGCATTTGGCAAGCCGTGGCCTTCGGTGTGGTGTGTCCTTTTCGGCACCGACACCGCCATCCTGGCCCCACCAGAGGACTTCGCATGTGGCAAAGCTGCGGTTTCCGGACCGTAGGTCCTGGGTCTATTATTGCTCAATACACCGGACCGCCACCATCCTCGGGCGTAATTAGCGTTGGTTTTCGGAGCGCAGGGTTTGGTCTTTGGCGAGAGGCAATACAATGGTCGGATGCATGGCGCGGTGGCTATGCCAACGATCCTTGTTAGGGCAAGACAGGAAGGAGGCGAAGCGGATGGGACACTGCTCATGCAGCGGCCCCTCCGTTCGTCAAGATGCCTTCCGCCTCTCTCGAAATCCGGAACCGTCTGTGGTGGACCATCGCAACCAGATTGACAACACATCGGCGTATACGCAGGCCATAGATAGCTTTCAAACACTTATTTCTTTACACATTATTCGCTCATGCTGCGCTGACGTTGCTCTTTGGCACTATATCGCCTCCCGTCGTCAGATCGGGTCGCTGCACAGGTTGCTTCTGTGACTCATTTCTTAACCCACGAGGCTTCACAGGTAAGGAAAGGCAGGTTGAAGCCGACTCGCACAGCCCCGATGCTAGTACACGACAACGGCATCTGGAGACATCGCCATTAGCCGAAGTTGACGGCTCTTCGAGATAGCCTAGCGTAATGTTAGCCATGTTCTCCGCCGCCCTCTTCACTCCTCATAATAGTATTGATGAATTTGGTTATATGGCATCACCTGATTGTAGCTATCGTCATTCTCTTGCAAATATTTACGTAGCGGAAAAAAGGGTTGGTTGTTCTTTGCATTTCTTTCCCCCATAATTGTCCATCCCAGTCGACGGCTCTCCAGCTCGATAACTCGGTGTCGTATGTCCAGGTGCCTTCGTCTTGGGGCGCCTGTGGGCCCACTTTTGATGCGCAGCGCGGCTGACCGACAGCCCGATGATTGATGGGCGAATCGGGTCAGGGCTCCTGGCAGATCCGGGATGGTGGCATCATGACTGTGTGAGTATAAGATTGGGAAGGTGTCCCTTGTTCCTAGAATCCCAAGACGAGGGATCTGCGCATCGAATTGCGGTGCTGTTTACGTCATCCAGCGACATTTACGGGGGAAGCTGCAATCCGGAAACGGCTTCATTTCATTGTCGGTCACTCCTGCCCTCGCACTTACGGATTCCAGCGCTGGACCTAGTCTGCACGGTTCCTTCCTTGAAGGCTAAGGCGAATACCTGCGTAACAGCAGGAGGTTGAAAAGGGGTTTCCGAAAGCGTTCGATGAGCACAGCTGAGGCCACACCACAAACATCTACTAGGTACCTACCGAGCTGATGTGTTTACCGCCCCTACAACCATCAACCAATCATTGCAGCTAACTGGCCGACCGAGGTCCTCCCAAGACGCCAGAGAAAAAAGCAAGCCTATTGCTCACCTAGCCTCGTGCCTAGCCCCGATTGATTGATCTGCATCGGTGACACGGGCGGACGGAACATGGAGGCGCCTCTCAGGTCTCAACCCCTCGACAAGACAGACGACCACACACTCGCCAACGACGGCGACGGCCACCACAGCAGGACGATGGCCCGCCGGAAGCTGGACCTCTTGGTCCTTACGTTCAACGCGGCAAAGACCATCATAGACAGCCATGTCTTCGCCCACCACCTGCAGACGGCCTTGGCTGCGAATGCGACGTCGCTGCCCGAGGTGGTTGTTTTGTGAGTGACGTCTGTCTGTGAGTGACAATGCCAGTGCTAGTCGCACAGGCTTGGCGGGGTGGTGTTACGCATGCCAGCCAAAACCCCCGCACGCATCAGCCCGAGATGGCCTTCTGCACCAAGCATTGCTGCATATCCATCACGACAAACTAACGCGTCGTCTCTTCGGCTGCCCAGCTCCCTCCAGGAGGTATCGCCACTTAGTTATGCATTTATCGGCGGCGTCTTCCTCAACCCATTCCTCGCCCGCTACGAGGATGCCCTCAACTTGGCCGCCGTCAAGGTACAATCCACGCCGCCATCGACATTAGCCACGACGGCGACCACATCCTTCGGCTTCAGCTCTGCCAATAATGTCTCCGTCAACGCCGACTCGAGCGAGGAGCCAGGCCCGCAGACCAGCCTCCTGGAACTCCAACAACAGTCCAAGCCGTACACTCTGGTGCAGCAGCACAACGTCGGTATGACCGCGGTAATGGTGTTCGCGCGGGACCCCAGCGCCGTGTCTCAGGTCGAGCTGGCCGAGGTCGGCTTCGGCACCATGGACATGGGCAACAAGGGCGCCGCCGGCGTGCGGTGTCTGTACGCAGACAAGGAGGGTGGTGGCCGGACCACCCAGCTGACCTTTGTGGCGACGCACCTGGCGCCCATGGAGTGGAACCTACGTAGGCGCAACGCCAACTGGCGCACAATCTGCTCTGCCCTGCTCTTCGGCGAACCCACGGCCGTCATCAAGCGTGCGGCCGGGGACGAAGGGCAGGCCGCCGTGGCCGCCGCTGCCGCCGCTACTTCCGCGGTGTCGGGCGGCCGGGCGCAGGACAGCGCGGCGTGCAAGGAGCCTACGGCTGAGGAGGAGGAGGAGGCGGAGCGTCTGCTGGCCGAGGCCGAGGCGGCCAACGGGGCGCTAGCGGCCGACGTGCGTGCTGCCCTGCGCGACATCACTATCTTCCGCCCCGGCAGCCACCTCTTCCTGGCCGGGGACCTCAACTACCGCATCTCGGAACGGAGCCCACAGAGGGACGAGCCCTTTCCGTCTCTGGAGATGGGATCGCAACACCACTGGAGCACCTTCCTGGACCGCGACCAGCTGTCGCGCGAGAGGGCCGAGGGGAGAGCACTCCAAGGCCTCGAGGAGGCGCCCGTAAACTTCGCGCCCACGTACAAGTACCACGACCTGCCGACGGCCGACGGCGCGCTCAACGAGGCCCAGGTGCGCGAGGCCGAGGCGAACGGGCTTCTGTCGGCGGGCTTGGTGGTGCCTTTCCGCTTCGCTAAGCACAGATGGCCCAGCTGGACTGACAGGGTGCTGTATGCGGGTGTGCCGGCTGACGCGCCGGCACGGAGAGGGCAAGGAGAGGACGACGAGACGGCGCGTTTCGACGTGGTATCGTATCAGTCCCTCCCGCTAATGCGGTCGTCAGACCATCAGCCCGTCTTCTTGCGCGTCAGGGTGCCCATCCTGTCGCCAGAGGAGCTAGGTCGGCCCTCGCCGGCGACGCCGGCTGGTAACGAGGTGGGCGGCAGCAGCAGTCGCGCGAAGAAGCCACTGTATCCTATCGATATACACGCGGCGGCCAGGCGGCGGGCGGCGCGGTCGCGCGAGTTCGCGACAGGTTGGACGATGCTGCTCTGGTGCACGCGCGAGGGCGCGGTCGCGCTCGGCTCGCTCGCCGTGCTTGGGCTGTCAACGTACTGGCTATACCAGGCCCTCTAGGCGAGGCGGCGGGCCTCGGGCTGCTCATTTGTCGGGCTGGGGCTGGGGATTATGGGGCTCGCGGGGGGTATGGCGGCCGAGGGCGTGTCGCGCTGGTGGCGCGAGTGGACGCCGCCGTCACTGGGGAGTTGGGCGTGGTGGCGTTAGGTGATGTTGATTATCAGCGATTTGTTCTCACTCCTCACTCTTGTCGGCTGCTCAAGCCCGAGATGCATGGTTTCTTGTGTATACCAGATGTGGGATTGGTATATACCTAACATAGCGTTTGCGTCGGCTGTCTTCTGGTATCAGTCTTTTGTCAGCAGCCTCCAAGAACCTTTTTTGACATCTTTATTCACTTGACCCTGTCAGTTTCTTCCCAAGTACCGCTCGACCTGCAACTTCAGAATGGGCGATTGGTTAACAAGACCGCCGCTGTTTGCTATTATAACTCTAGGTTCTCCAAACACCTCTTGTGATACTTTGGCGGGTAAGAAAGGGATAATATGCCAGGCTGAAGGACAGATTGCCTTTGTCGGAGCTACAACGCATGCCTCGATGTGGCTGCCATACTCCTTGTCACTAGTTAACTCAGGGCGGGGCGGTAAGTCTCGAAAGGAAAAACGGGGGGTGGTTGGCTGGCAACGGGAACTTCAGTCGTTTATGGTGACAAGGGGGAAACGACCGATAGCAGCTCGCTGTCATCTGCTGTCGTTGCCACTTTGATACGCTTCTATAAACCATACCACCATCACCTTCTATAGTACGGATATGATCGGGAAGGAATCTAAGCCCTTCAACGGCGAAAAATCGGTCGCCAAAGCCTGCTCATCGGGTCGCGTCGCCTCGTCTGTCCTCTGTCCGGTTGATCGTCGGCGTCGTAAAATAGTAGGGAAAACTGGCGCGCGGTTGGGGCCTATGTACAGAAAACAGGTAGCCTCACAAAAAAAAAAGTAGCAGATGGACTGGTGTCGCTCAAAGCGAGTGGGCGGGTAACCCAGAGATGGAGCGAGAAAGAAAAGCCAGCGTAGTGCTCCCAAGAAAGAAGAGAGAATCCAGGACTAGCCAGTAGATAAGGGGGCCACACGTGAGGAAAGAACAGGCTGCGAAATGGGGAGACGGCGAGGGGGAGACATGCAATGCCAAAACCTACCCTAAAAAAATTAAAAACAGTAAAATCTCGTAATCCGCTATATAAAAGGGCCTAGTGAATGGTAGTGAACACTAACAAAACAGGAACAGGGCCGGTCATGATAATAGTACAAGAGAAGAAGAAAGCCCGCAGCGGTGGCGCCTCGCTCCCTCAAAAATCCCTAAAGTGGTGGTCGTACTGCGCCACCATGTCGTCCGTGTACTGGTCCCTGGACGCGTCCTCCTCAGGGTATATGTCGAAGCACTGGGCGTCGCCCGGGTACCGCACGGGCGGGACGATGGGCCCCGGCTGGGCGCGGCGGTAGACGGCGTCCCAGTCGACGCCGCGGAAGAAGGGGTGCTCCTTGACGCGTGCGGCGCCGCCGCTGATGTTGCCGAGCCGGTGGGAGCGGTCGACGGTGCAGAACTGGCGGATGATGTCCTGCGCCTCGGGCGAGATGGGCGGGTCCTGCGGGAACACGACGGGCTTCTCGACGATCCTGTTTGGGAGGGGGTAGCATGGGGTTAGCGTATGTCAAGGGGCTGTGGGATGGGCAGAAGAAAAAAAAAAGAACGCACTGTTTGTAAATCTCGATGGGGTTTTGGTGCCAGAACGGCGGGTAGCCCGTCAGGAACTCATATATCAGGATGCCGAGGGCCCACCAGTCGACGGCCGTGGTGTGGCCCTTGTTGTGTATGACCTCGGGGGCCAGGTACTCTGGCGTCCCGCAGAGCGTGTACGTCTCGACGGGGCCGTTTGTCGTTCCGTTTGCGCCGCCGCCGCTGCTGGCGCTGGTGCTGGTGCCGCCGGCAGCTTCTGCCGCCTTCCCCGGCCTCCCGCCCAGGCGCTTCGCGAAGCCAAAGTCCACCAGGCGTATGTGGCCCTGCTCGTCGAGCAGCAGGTTCTCGGGCTTGAGGTCGCGGTAGGCGACGCCGCCCTGGGCCTCGTGCAGGTACTCGAGCACGAGCACGATCTCGGCCGCGTAGAAGACGGCCATGCGCTCGTTGAAGCGGCGGTACTTGCGCAGATAGCTAAAGAGCTCGCCGCCGGGGACGTAGTCGAGCACCAGGTACAGGAAGTCGCGGTCCGAGAAGGAGGCGCGCAGGTTGGTGATGAAGGGGTGGCCCGACACCTCGGCCAGGATGGCGCGCTCGTGGCGCACGTGGTCGATCTGCTTGAGCTTGATCACCTCGGTCTTGCGCAGGATCTTGAGGGCGAACACCTGCGCACGCTCGGCGTCGGTCTGGGGGTTGGACGGCCTGACGAGGCAGACGCGCGCAAAAGTGCCTTTTTTTTTTTGGTTTGAAGATGACGTTAGCAGTGGTTGTGAGATCCCCAGGGGCTGGCTGGCTGGCTGGCTGGCTGGCTGGCTGGCTGTATGCTCCTCCTTACCTGTGCCTAATGTCCTGACCCTGGTAAAGTCGCCGAGCTGCAGCTTCCTCGGCTGCTGTTGCGGTGATGAATCGACGGAGTTGCGCGGTGGCTGTTGTGGTTGTTGTTGTGCGGGCGCATCGCTCTGGCTGCTGCCGTTGTTTTGGTTATGTTGCTGCTGGCGGAGCTGATGTTGCTGCTGTAAGTGATGGAGGCCGTGTGAAACTCCTCCTCCTACTCCTCCTCCTCCTCCCATGCCGTTGCTGCCGCCAAAGGACGCGGCCGAGCTCGACGGCACGCCCACAACCGACGGGATCGGGCCCGACGAGTGCGCCAGAGCCGCCGCCATGGTGGCTGCTGTCCAATGCCTAGCGCGCTCCGACTTGCGCCGCTGCGAGGGGCGGGGCGGGGGGTGAGAGGTAAAAGGGGCGGGATGGGAGAATTGGCTCCCGCGGAGACGGCCAGGACGAGGTTTCGCTTTGGATCTTTAGTATTCTTGGTCTTTTCCGTGAGGCGCACAGGCTTTTCCTTGCTGCTGCCGTTCCTTTTCTTTTCCCCGTGGCTGCTGTTTGACTCTGCGAAGATGGTTGGACGTTTGGGCAGGGCAAAGCGTAAGCGGTTCTGGCTCGCTCGGTTTGCTTGGGCCACGATGGGGGGTGCGGACACGATCTGGCAAGGATCAGGACCAAAGAGTTTCGTTCTAGCCCAGCGGCTTTTCTCGGAGGAAAAAAAAAGAGGGTCAGGTTGGCTGGCAGGCGAAACGGTTTCCGACAAACGACCGGGGGCGGGATTTCCTTTCTCAGGCCTTGGGCAACAACCAGTCGGACGGGCAATCTGGTTGCGGAATTGGGACTGGGTAGTGCCGTCGAGGCCCGGCGCAAAAACATGTAAACCGGAGTTATGGAGGTATCGGCTAGGGAGAGCGTGCCTTTAACCGGGCTGCGATGACGGGTGTGGGACTTGGGACGCAACCCCGTCCGTGTAAGAGATCTGGCATGTAGTATCTCCGATTTGAACCGTGGCAGGAAAACGGGTGGAGGGGGGGGATGAGCGGAAATAGGGCAGCAGCAGTGGTAGCAACAACAACAAGAACAGGAGATGGCTGGCCGAGACGGCTGGCCGATGTGCAGCGTGGGGTTACCTGGGGTGCCGTGCCTGGTCGAGCAGCCGCGATCCTGCTGGACGGGCCTGATGATGTGATGGCGCGGCGAGAAACGGCGGTGGTGGGATTGGAGCGCCGGTCAATGGATTCGGCGGGGAGGGGCGCCACTGACAGACCCTGGCCAGTGACTTATGCGGACAGGGATGGCGGCGGTTGACGCTGGATTGCATGCATGCCCGCACCCATGCCCGCCCCCCATGACCCCCCAACCCGTGCTGGCGTCGCTGGTTGTGCGTGCTGTTTGTCGTCGGGTGCTTGCCGATGTGGTGCGAGGAGGCCTAGAGGGGAGGCCTAGCGAGGAGAGCTACGATGGCTTCTCGCCGAAGAGGCCAACCGAGTGGGAATAAGAACAGCTTTTCTCTCTATCTCTCCCTCTCTACACGCACCCAGTCGTCCAGACAGACAGAAAACCAAAACCCCAAACGTGGCTGGTCCTTGGTAATTTCTCTTGATTTGCTTCCACTTGAGCCTCGACCCCTGTCCCCAGGCTCCATTGTGACGTTTCCCCGACGAAATAAGAACAAGATGGTCTGGATGCAAAATAACATGAATGACGGACCAAAAAAAGAAGAAAAAAACATGAGCTCAAGGTCGCGGCAGCAGTTGTCCCCGGCTCGTGTGCAGTCGCGAGCCAACTCTGTGTCTGCCACCCAACGTACGAGCAGCAACGTGCGCGGCTGGCCAGCACAGCTATGACGTAGATGGAGACGCAAAGGCGGGCACCTCGACTGGATACCTCTTTACACTACCACCTACTACCTGCCTGGTGCACTGAGATCTGCCCGTGCTACCGTAACTTTTGGCCATCAACGGCTTGCGCGAGCTGCTGTGCCGAGGTCCCCCGCAGATATAAGCCTCGAACGTGCCATCTCTTCTGGATGGCAGCAGCACATCTCGATCAGCCTCGCTAGCGCCGGCAGCGATCAGATGGACAAGAGAGTCAGATGGCGAGGAGGAGGAGGGATCGGGGGCCGGCCCGCGACGTCTGGCTGGCGGCTCTGGTGCACAGCACAGCAGCCTCCTGTTACATGATGCAACGCGCATGATGCAAGTAACAAGTAACGTGGACCCGGCCCCCACCTTTTCTGTCCTTCCTTTGTTGCTACGCCTCTGCCCTTTTTGCTTCCATCTTGTCCATCTTGATATAATAAACCACAATAACCTTCCATCAATCTTGACAACCGCAAGAACCTTCCATCTGGCCCATCGGCTTCACTTCATCCCACATCTCGATCCATGTCCGGCATCGGACGGCACCATCATGCCGTGTTGATGAGAAAATCGCCTTCCTGGAGAGTCTTGCGATGAACGTACATGTGTACATGTTCCTCGGCGTGCACGTCATTGTTTGGGGTTTACTGTCTGTTTTATCAGTGTCCGAGCCGAGTGCCAGCCAGTCGACCGCCGACTCGAGGACCGCCGAGAGACTGGTTCGGGCTGGAAGGGACGCCGGGATTCAGCCCGTTCGTTGGTTTGCCAGGCCGTCGGGTCGAGGCGCTGTCTTTTGTTGTTCCTGACACGGACGGCACTCGGCTTTTCTGTGACCTATCACTTGGTAGTAGGTACGTAGAGGTACTGAGTTGGAGCCTCTACTTAGAGCCTCTACGTGCTTTGCTATGCTAGACTCCAAAATCTCTCCAGAAGAGGCTACCGAAACCAACCAATTGATCGTCCCACCGTGCCCGGCACTGAGCCGTTTGAGCCGCGACCAGCAATTGGCAGAGCACGAGGCAGAGTGGGGCTTGACAGCAGGCTTGCTGCCAAGTGGGGCCCTCGACAGGCTGTCAGCTTCTCTGCAGCACGCGAATAGGGAGACAGCCCGCCGAGCTCCCCGCCCCAATCCACCGCAGAGGCAAGCGAGCTGAAGCGAACGACGGGCACGCTCAGAGAGCACAGGTCAGCTCCGCCAGACGAGAAAGGCTGATGAAGCCCGCGCGGGCCGACGACGACCATTCTCGTGTGCTACCAGAATTTTTTTGCTTCTGCCTTTGTTCTCGCTGTCTGATCTGCTGTTTCCTACCGTATACCCCGAATGAACCCCGTCTGCCGCCATCATCACGCCAGCCAGTCCCCCTAGACTAGCCGCCCGCCTGTGGCTTCGTCCCCAGATTTCAACCCTCCAACCATTCAATTCCTTCCTCCTTCTGCCATCCACACGGCCTCGTGTCCTTGTGCTCGCCCTTCCAACACCCTCCCGCTCTGCCGATTACGACAGCTGCCCTCTCCCGCAGCCGCAGACCACGAACAGCGTCGTCCATCTGCTCCCCTCCGCCAATCCCGTGCCTCCCCCATCGAGCCGTGCTCGAGATTCAGGGGGTTGAACCCCCGACCGAACCCACGGCCTCGTCGACCAGACAGGCATCGTCGCCATGTGGAACCTCTCGAGCTTCGTGCAAAAGGCACAGGAGCTGCTCGACCCGACACAGGGTCTCAACCTCAGCCAGTCCGACAAGAACCCGTCCAAGGCCACTCTCTTCCAGCACCAGTTCCGCCTGCCGGCCTCCCAACACCCGCTTTACGAGATCGCCGCCGAGCTCACAATCCCGCCCTCCAATGTCACACAGGGTGAGAAGTCCCACGAAATGGGCTGGCACTATGTCGGCCGTCTGCACCTGTCCGAAGCCTATATAGCCTTTTCCACCACTGCGTCTAGCTTCCTGCAGACGGCCACCACCTCCAGCTCCTCCGTCTTCACCGGCCAGACACACGGCGGCGGCCCCAGCGGCAACGGCTTCACATTTCCCCTGTGCGCCATCCGCAAGGTCGAGCGCCTCAACAGCCAAAACTATCAGGTAATCCGACCACCCGGAAGCCACACAACCTTGACGCCCCGGCTTTTGCTAACAGCCAGTTCCCGCAGTTTTCTCTGGCCATCACCACATGGAATGGGCAGCTACACGAATCGGGCAAGGACAAGAGCAAGGCCGCACCTGCAAACAAGGAAAACAAGTCGGGCTTCCGCGAGCAAAGAATAACGGTGCAGCTGGCCGGCTCTCGTCAGGCATGTGAGCGCTTCTGTGACGGCCTGAAAAAAGGCCTGCGAGCCGCAGTTGGGAACGTGGCCAAGCTCAAGTCCGTCGTCTTCGAGAACTACTCTGAGCACCTCCTTAGACCGGATGATCAGAAGGACCGCCCCTCTCCCGATGCCGGGCTCGGCCTCCAGTTCCGCTACCCCGGCGACGCCAAAAAGCTTCGAGACCGGGCCAAGATGCGCCTGTGGGCCGAGTACCTCCGAGACAACGGCCGCAACGTCACCCTCCTGCGCCAGCCCACCTTTCACAAGCTCATCCGCGTCGGTTTGCCAAACAGGTTACGCGGCGAGATGTGGGAGTTGACATCCGGGTCCTTGTACCTGCGGCTCGAGAGCCCAACCATGTACCACGACACTCTGGCAAAGCACGAGGGCAAGGAGTCCCTGGCAATCGACGAGATTGAGAAGGACCTGAACCGCAGTCTGCCCGAGTACCCAGGCTTCCAGGACGAGATTGGCATCGGGAGGTTGCGCAGGGTGCTTACCGCATACAGCTGGGTCAACGCCGACGTGGGTTACTGCCAGGCCATGAACATCGTTGTCGCCGCTCTGTTGATCTACATGTCCGAGGCCCAGGCCTTCTTTCTGCTCTGGACCCTTTGCGATCGCCTGGTCCCCGGCTACTACTCGACGACCATGTACGGCACTCTGCTGGACCAAAAGGTTTTCGAGTGTCTGGTAGAAAAGACGATGCCCATCCTCTGGGAACACCTCGTTAAGAGCGACGTGCAACTTTCGGTGGTATCGCTTCCCTGGTTCCTGTCGCTGTATATAAACTCGATGCCATTGGTATTTGCCTTCAGGGTCCTGGACGTGTTTTTCGTCGAGGGCCCCAAGGTGCTCTTCCAGGTCGGCCTCGCCATCCTCCGCATAAACGGCGAGGAGCTGCTGGATGCGGCCGACGACGGCGCCTTCATCTCTGTCCTCAAGTCCTACTTCTCCCGCCTAGACGAGTCCGCCCACCCCAAATCCGAGAACCCCAAGCTGCGGGCCGTCACGCGTTTCCAGGAGCTGATGGTCGTCGCCTTCAAGGAGTTCTCGGGAATCACGCAGGCCAGCATCACGGAACTGCGACTCAAGAACAAGGACGCCGTGCTCAACAACATTGAGAATTTTGCCAAGCGAACTGCCCTCAGGAACTTGGGCGCCGATAGCAAGTTGCTCAGCACCGAGGAGCTGGGCGCCTTGTACGACCGCTTTTACACGGTCCTCTATGAGCGTCAGCAGCGCGAGGGCATGATTCAGGAGGAGAAGCAGCGGAGGGCCCGAGCAAACCGTCCGAGGGTCCATGAGCCTGAGGTAGAAAAGGGCCGCGTGGGTCTCGGCGCGAGCACCAGCCTGATGGACTACGACGCCTTCCGAGAGTTCCTTGCCGGTGTGACAAAGTGGTCCATGTCGGACTCGCCGACGACGCCTCGGCGAGACACCTTCACCGAGCGAGACAGGAGCCAGCTCTTCAACAACCAGAGGAACGGCAGGCTGGCGCTGTCACCCTGGGGCAATGGCCCAGAGCCGGCGGACCACGAGTTCTTGCAGCGGCTGTTTGCCAAATGGGACGTTAAATCTGAGGGGGCGCTGACGTTGCAGAACGTGGTGACGGGCATGGCCCGCATCAAGGGGAAGCGCGACATCATGGGCACCATCACATACCTGTTCGAACTATACGACGACGACGGTGACGGCAAGGTTGACCGGGAGGGCATCCTGAGGATATCCGAGGCTCTCCTTTTCCTTTCCAGGAGGGGTCTCGAGGGCACACTGAGCCCGTCGGCCTCAACTGTGGCCCTGAACGGCTACTCGGAGCACCAGGTGGCAGGTGGCGACGGCACCACCCTCAGCGTTAATACCGCCACTGGCTCCACTAACGAGAGGTTCCTGGGCAGCATCAGCGCCTTCATAAGGAGATGCTTCGAGTACGCGGACCCGGACCACCCTAAGAATCAAGACTCCCTAGTCCGCCCGGACCCTTGTGCGCGAGAGAAGGATGACTATCTGGAGGCGCCAAGGGCTCAGGATAAGGCAATCACGCCCATGTCGCCTGCCCTTGTCGATCCCGACGCCTTCGCGATAGGAGACGACGAATCAGACGAGGAATCGGACGAGGAGGATCTCCTGGCTATGGACTCTCCCCCGGGAAGCCCCAAGCCCCAACCGGCGCAAAGACTGGCACCGGAGACGGCGGAGGCGGCCGCGGTGATACCGAAGTCCACGAGCCCACCGACAGGAGAGCAGGGCATGGGCGGCCGCAAGGTGTCCAAGGCACAGTCAGAGGCGGCCGCCAATGTGGCGCTGGACCCCTCGAACCCGATGCACATCACGCTTCCGACGTTCCGCATGGTGGTTTTAGCAGACGAACTGCTAGAACAATTCTTCGAGTCGTCGTTCCCAACGTCGTTCCGCATCGTCGAAGGCCTTGCCGGCGCCTCGTCTGCCGTGGCAAGCCCGATGGCGACGACGCCCCTGACTACTTTTGGAAACATCGGGTTTGGGGCAGGCAAGGCTGTGGCTGCGGCCGGTGGAGGCGCCGTGGGAGGCATCAGGGGAGTGTTGGACGGCATCGTGACGGACGCGACACGTGTGGCAGCCGAGGTGCGCCGGCGCATGGAGGATGCGCAGCGAGAGATGGAGAAGAACGCGCTGGCTCAGCAACAACAGGCCGGCAACGGGGGCCAGCGCCGCCCCGTCGCGGACGACGACGAGGACGACGACGACGACATCGGCATCCGCGAGAAGCCCTCATCCTCAGCCAGCGGCGCGGTGCGTGGGGCTGGACCGGCCAGGTCGTCGGACAGGGATCTGCTCGAGGGAGCCGACGCCGAGGCGGACGGGGGCGAGGAGGACGCGGATGGAGGAGAGGGAGGCAGTAGCGGGAAGGCGCAGCATGCGCCTGTTGCGCGGCGGAGGGCAGAGGGGCCTGGCGGCGCAGGCAGCGGCGCGGGAGGAGGGCAAAGAATTGTGGAGTTTGAGGGTTGATTTTGAGAAGGGGGAAGGCAAAGTCATTTTCTTTTTGTCTAGTGTTGTGGGCGTCATCGTTCGCCTGTCTCTCTTGTCTTGAATTGGTTAGAACAGCGTGTGGTTGACATCCTCTACTTCCCCCCTTTTTCCCCATCATTTTTGCTTGCTGTATGTCTGGACTTTATCTCCTGTCTGCATGTTCCGCACGCGCTTTGCTTCGTTTTTCCCGGTTTATTCACACAAGACAATGCTCAAAAGACAGTAAACAGACAGCCCTGGGGCACTTAAAGTGAGCGCGTGCTCCCTCACGCTAGTCTTGTTCAAGAGATTTGATTTTTCTTGCTTTGGTGGCGACGACGAATCTAGGCTGCCTCCCTGCTCCCTCGAGCCATCGGACTCGGCGCCACCACCACACCCCGTTCGGGAGAATGGACTGCCAAGCACGCGCTACCTGACGATGCGGCCATGACATGCCGGTGTGGTGATCGGCACGTTATCATTCCTCTTTGCAGAGCCGGCGCCACTTGTCCTTTGTGCGTGCCTTTCTCGGCGAGCCAGAAGGGAGACGCTAGCAGACGGCAGTTTGGGTCGACTGCAGTGGCCGCGTACCTAGTCTCCCAATCCCTTCGTCCCGGTCACCGGGTTGCCCATGGTTCGAGCTCCCCGAGACACCCTACGGAATGCTGCATTGGGTTTGCGTCATGTTCCTTTCACTTGCTCCCACGCTACTGGTTGCTCCCCAACTCTGGGGAATATCTACCGGGAGGCGTTCGTGTGGGTTCTCTCTCCACCAACTCGGCAGTGATCCTTGGTGAGAAGCAGCTTGTTGGATTACCTTTACATCTTATCTTACTGCGATCTTTGGCGAGAGACAGGTTGCCGAACTCGATACATTTCATTTTACGCCCTCCCGATATCCTCCTTTCGGCTTCCCGTATTGGCCTACGTCGTCGACTTCCATCTAAAATCAGCATCTGTTCTCCCAGGGGCAGCTTTCTTGGAACCTCCTCACGCAAACCTTGGGGCGGTCGTTATTCCCATTTCCCACTTGCAATATTCACATAAATCTTTGACGTCCATCTGAAACCAGCCTCGGGCTCGCCGCCGCCATGTGGCCGGCGCTCTTGCCAGCGGCCCTTGCCTTGGCGGCCCTTGTGGCCGCCCAGGGGGCATTTGACGCGCCGTCGTCTGACACCTGCGAGCGTGACGGCCAGTACTGGTACAGAATGGGCTGCTTTGACGTCACGGGCACGACTCTGCTGCCAAGCAAGGCGTTGACCTACTACCCCGACAACTACGACGGCTTCTTCTCGGGCCGGATCAACCCAACCTGGTCGGATGCCGAATATAACAATACTGCCACGCCGGCCAAGTGCACAAAGGCCTGCCGGGCCGCGGGGCACAACATCGCCATGTTCCACGGCGGTACCTGCTACTGCCTCAAGGACGGCTACGACGACACGGGGCTGACGGACACGCCCGCGGCGTGCAACAGGCCCTGCCCCGGCGACCGGGGCCAGCAGTGCGGGGGGTCCGGCAACTTCGCCTCGGTCTACTGGGACAGCAGCTACAAGCCGCCGGCCATCTACGAGACCGGGACGCCGGTCTGGGACAGCGGCGCCGACATCTCGGCGTTCCTCGGCTGCTTCATCTATCCTAGCTTCGGCGGCTACTTCTTCCTGGGCGGCCTCGGCACCAACTACCGCCAGTGCATCAGACCGGGGAACCCGAGCCCGACCCGCGAGCTCCCGAACGTGGCGTCGTGCGACAGGATGTGCGCCATCGAGGCCGGCGCCGGCGCCGGCAGTGGCGTCGAGGGGCTCTGGGGCTTCCCGCTGAGCTTTGGGTTCAACGGCGCCGCGGACCCGGACAAGATCTCCTTCGACTTCAACGACTGCTACAATCACCCGAACCCTTCAGGGTCTGTCCAGTGCTTCTGCTCTACCATGTTTGGCTATCAGGCGTACCAGATCAACGACGACAACCCGTCGTGCCGCAGGCGCTGCGATGGGTGAGTTTTTCTTTTTGATCCCTGTTTCGCTATCCCCTTTTTTTTTCTTGGTTCCATTATAGATCCAGCTAACGGCCGTATGCGACTGAACAGCGGCACCGGGGACTGCGATCCAAGGACGCAAAAGTGCTGTGGGGACGCGGAAAAGGAAATCTTCCCCGTCTACATAGCCAAGGAGCTGACCGGCTGCTCCATCCCGCGGGTGCCGGGCTGGGCGGTATTGGACCAGGACGGCTACCAGGTTGGGTTCGAGTGCAACTGGACCCTTCCCTCGGACCTTAGGAGAGGACCTGCTACGAAGGGCTTCCCGGAGTCCCGGGGGAAGGGGGTGTCGGACAGGGTGACGCTGGCGCTGGACACCTACAACTTCCTGCCCGGCTTCGAGTCGGGCGCCGAGCGCTGGAGCCTGTACGGCTGCTTCGAGCAGTCGAGCGGCGGGTCTACGCCCCCGGGCTTCACCGTCAGCGGGCCGAACGCGGCAGGCGTCGGCGATCTTGAGGCGTGTGCCGCCCAGTGCGCCGGGAGCACCTTTGCCATGATAGGCGGGATAGCGCAGTAAGAGACACGATGGACCCCTTTATTCTGCTGAAGCACATGTTTTGCTAACACCTCCCCCCCCTACTCTCCCTCGATAGATCCTGCTACTGCGCCACCGCGAGTAGCGACGACCGCTCGGCGCCGGTCAACGCCGGGTTCTGCACCGAGCGCTGCCTGCGGCCGACCAACACCTTCTGCGGCGGCAAGCCCGACGCCTTTAACGGTAATAAGGCCTACTATTTGGTCTATTATAGGAAATCGTCAGGGCCGGCGCCCCAACCCAACCTTGTTCCGTTCTACATCGACTACTTTGAGCAGTACCCGTATCCCACGGGGTATCCGTGCACTGACGACGCCGAAAGTGGGTGTAATAATGATACAGCGCCCGTGGGATGAGCGCTCGACGGCACATGAGATATATGTGCATCAGGTGAAATGATGTGGACTAACATGCTTTGTTTCATTTCAGCCTCTACCACCACGACTTCGACGACAGGGACTGCTACCACGGAGACTACCACGGAGACTTCTACTACAGAGACTTCCACGACAAAAACATCAACGACGGATACCACTGAAACTACTAGCACCACCTCAGACACGAGTACCTCGGAGGAATCATCGATGACCACAACTGGAGACACGACCAGCTCGGACACGTCGACGAGCATTACAGATTCGGATTCGGACACTACAACGGAGACATCTGAAACTACAACTACAACGCAGAGCACGGGTACGACAACCGAAACTACTGAAACAACGACTACAACCGACACCACAGACTCAACTACCACAGCGGAAACCACGGAAACGACTATTGCAACGGAAACTACAGATACAACTGCTACAACGGAAACCACGGAAACTACGGAAACTACAGCAGACATATCGGACACGACAACGACAGCGGAAACCACAGCAGACACATCGGACACGACAACGACAACATCCACTACCAGCGAGGATACCACTACTACTACAGACACCACCTCGGACACCACCACAGAGACAACGTCAGATACGACCACAGAAGCCACCACAGAGACCACCTCGAATACCTCGGATACGAGTGCTGAAACAACTAGCACACCAAGCGCAACAACGAGCACAGCGTCGACCTCCACGAGCACCACTACAACCAGTTCTACTACCACCACAAGCACAAGCTCTACTAGCACAAGTAGCACATCCAGGACAACCACGTCAAGTAGTAGTTCCTCGGCCACAACCAGTAGCTCGACGACCAGCACGACGACCAGCCCCTCCAGCACGACTTCGCCGAGCTCCACGAGCCCTCCCCCAGCCGGTACCCCCACAGATCCTCCAGCAGGCAGCCCGACCACAGCAGCCTCGCCGGCCTTCACCACCGTCGAGCCCGCCCCGACCGAGCCCCTCGTACTGCAGGTCGTGGGATCGAACCCCATGGGCGACGGCGGCAGCGGCAGCGGCTCCGACACCACCACGGCCAACAACAACAACGGGCGCCGCGGCCTCGAGAAGCGCCGGCGGCTCGGCCCCGCGCCGGGCGCCCGCGGCTTCGTGGGCGGGTCCGGGTCCGGGGCGGGCTTGGGCGTCAGCGGCGACTGCAACGCCGCGGCGGCCTTCAGCGTCGACGGGCGGGGCGCGCTGCGCGCCGCCGACGGCCGCCTCGTCTCGACCGACCCGGGCGTGCCATACCAGCACTTCACCGCGGACGCGCCGGGCGCGCCGGCCCGCGCACTCACGCGCGAGTGGAGGCTGGCCGACGGCGACCTCGTCTGGTTCAATGACGCCTTTGTCGGCGGCGTCTCGGGTTTCTGCTTGGACGTGACGGGCGTGGTCTGGATGACGTTTGCGGGGCCAGGGGACCTGCCCCCCGGATGCAGGAGCGTCGAGCTCGTCCCTGCGCTTGGTGAGTTGACCCGCTTGCGGCTATCTGTGATGGTGCTGTTTGCTGACGTGAATCGGACATAACAGTTAGGGATTGCCAGCCAGATGGAACTATCAATCCGGGAGGGACCTCGACCACTGCTCCGAGCGGCACTGGCACCGGCGGCGGCGGTGGTGGTGGTAGTGGAGGAGGAGGAGCAGGAGGAGGTGGTGGTGCTGGTGCCGGCGGCGGGCCCGGTCAAACGCCAGGGCCGACATCACCGGCCAACGCGACGCTCTCGCTGGGCGACGGGTGGTTTTTCAACACGGCCCCTCCAGAGCCCCTCGAGTCGTTCGCCTGCACCCCATGGGAGGGCTACTGGTCGGTGGGTGAGACTGCTCTCCGATCATCGGCCGTCGTCAGTGGGTTTGGCGGCGCAGCCAACGATACGGGCGAAGAGCTTTAGGAGGTACAAGATGGCTGTCTTGTTCGGTTTGCGGAGGATAACCTGGGGCATATACATGAACTAGGTTCACATTAGTTTGCCCTTTTCTTTTGCCAGTTTTGTCAGCCATGGATTTTGCTGCCGGGTACTTGTGAACTTTGGTGAGCGGCTTGTGTCTTGCCACAGCTTTAGACAGCCCTGATTGGCGGCCTCCCAAGCGGCGTCATAATCATATACCCCTCACCTCATCTCACGCCCACCTTCCGTCACGCATTCGAAAGGACGACAGGCTCCAGATCCCAATCCCTCAATATACGAAGGCATTTGAATCATCACTCCCCGCCAGAGGTCGTGTAGTTTTCTTCCCAATGGAGCACCTAAGGGCAGCAATAAGCGGACCGCCCTTTGAGTTGGCCGAGATTCTGGCGCTACAGTCCAAGGCGGACCAGCTCGCCGACACGATCGAGTCTAGAAGCGAGCCGTTCGACCACGAAGCATCAGTCAGAATGATTGAAGCGCTCGAGGCCCTAGCCGCGGTGGCTCTCGCAAATCCTTTGAACGTGAATGGCTACTTCGTCGACCTCGTTAATATAGAAAAGGCCTTTCGGCGCATGCCCGATCAGGTTTGCCGACTAAAGGCGCTCTTGTTCCGCGCGCTCAAACTCCCGGACCTCTGCAGCCCACCGGCACCGCGAGACGCCGCCCCCGTCTGCCAGTACTGCAACTGGATTCTCGAGCGGGCCCTTGCCAACCCAGAGAGCGTTGTGCATGACCCCATAGGCTTGGGCCGGTGGCCTTACTACACCTTCTCGTACCTTTGTATCGTTGACGACTGGCCTGAATTTCCGGCATTGCGCCATCGCGCCCGAACCGGCTGCTCCCTCTGCTCGGCTCTTCACGAAAGTGTAATAGACCAACCGACCAAGTCGGCTACGGACCCGAGAACTCAGTTTTGGCTCGCATATGAGGTTGCATACCTGGATTCCCCATTGAAGTTCGAACTTCGAGGTATTCAGTTGTATGCAAATCCGCTTGCCGGCACTGTCAACCAGAATCCCATGTATGAGCGGATGCATGACAGCAAGGGGATAAGTTGGGACCGGCCGATAGCAGGGTTTTGTGCTGAGCAAGAAGCAGAGACATGCGGTAAGCAGGCCCAAAACATGATTTCGAAAGCATACCAGCTAACACGAGCAATACAAGCCTCAGAACTGAGCAGCATTGGCATCTACCCAGCGGGCACAGACGAGGTTCTATGCGACCACAATGTCAGCTTCCTCCGGCGTGTCCTCGGGAAGCCCCAGGATAATCGCATCGCCGGGTTCCGTCCAAAACGGCTCATCGACCTCGGGCTCGAGTCGAAATCAGATCTCCGCTTGGTGATAAGTCTCAACTCCAGCCAGGAGCCAGTGCCATACGCCGCTCTGAGCTATTGTTGGGGCCCTCCCGAAGATGCCCCCTGGCAGCTGATGACAACGCCCGAAACCATCAAGCGGCACTGCGCGTACATCTCCATGGATGCCCTGCCCCAAGTTGTCAAAGACGCGGTCCATGTTTGCCGCCTGCTCCGTGTCCGCTACCTTTGGGTTGATGCCCTCTGCATCGTACAAGGCTGCCTTCGGGACTGGGAGGAGCAAAGTCGCGACATGGGTCAAATCTTTCAGAGCTCATGGGTGACCATCTGCGCTATGCAGTCCTCGACATGCCGTGAAGGCTTTTTGCACACGAAAAACAGAAGGGCCCGCATCAGAAACATCGGACACAAATCCCCAATCTTGCCGCACCGCTGGGTCAAACTAACACTCAAGCCCTTTAGTCGCAGGGGCCGCATCGACGGGCTTCAGAGTCATCTCTCAAAACCGGGCGAAACTTCATTTTTCCACTGGGACACGGTCGTCTCACCATGGAATTCCAGGGGTTGGGTCTTCCAGGAAAAGCTTCTATCTCCCAGAAAGGCCATTTTTGGGGACGAAATGGTTCATGTACAGGTCGGAGACCAGGTCTTCTGCGAGAACGGAACGCGTGAGAGTCTTTCGTGCGATGCTGGTGGTGTTGGTCGCTTTTGGAACCCTTCCTCAGCCTTCACCATGCACATTGGCAACAACGACAAACAACATCTGTTGCACAAATGGTGCCAGCTCCTCCCTGATTTTATGACAGATAAGAAATGGACAGATGACCGGGATGTCCTACCGGGACTTTCGGGAATCTCCAGAATCTTCGCGGCCAAGTTACAAGACCGGTTCCTGGCAGGCCTCTGGGAGGCGGACCTCCATATGGGGCTGCTGTTCATGGACTATACGCGTCGACAGAGTCTGGCAATTCTTGTTGCCTCCTTCGCAAGAGGCCAGGGCAGGTCCGAGTGCGCACCATCGTGGAGCTGGGCAAGCCGCCGCGTCATCCGGCACCACGAGATCTACGAGGGGCTCAAGTGCCGGACGCGGTCACACATGCGAGGCGAGATGGACGTCATCCAATCGCGCATCCGTGTCGATGGAAACAACCCATACGGTCGTCTTATGAAGGGGGGCTCTATTCTGGTGGCAGGCAGGGCCGTTACGCCTCAAGCAGGGTTTTTCGCCTATCCACGCGGACCCTTCCACTACAAGCGCTTCAGCAATGGGTGTATAGTCCGCCTGGAACCGGACTGGCAACCTGTCCACAGTTGGACCCCATTACCTCCCGAGCAAGATCTGACGCCCGTCGAGCTCGAGCACCAGGCCCAAGAAGACGCTGCCCAAGCCGACCTCGAGAGCACGCTCCGGCTTCTCCTGGTGTCCAGCTGCTGCCCCAGGCAGTGGTCAGGCCCGGAAATCAAGTCCCCTCTCGTCAGAGAGGAGCACGAAGACCAGATCTGGCCCCTCGACAGGGAGCTCACCCAGGAAGAGCAAGAAGCCAGGGAAATCAGTTGGGAGATTCAATGCCGGAGATTCTACGAGAGGTACGACGTCGCCGACGCCTTCTTCGACGACGGCGACCTGGACCAAGCCACAGCGTCGGCGGGCTGCGCCGCCTGTCTGAGCGAGGCCCAGGGCACGATTAGGGACTGCTGGGGCATCATCATCTGCCCGGCGCCGGGACGGGACCGCGGATACCTGCGCGTCGGCTGGTTTAGCTGCCAGGGCCGTGACGGGGGATTGGATCTGTTTGCTGGGGCTGAGAAGGAAACCATCGAGCTCTTTTGAGCCAAGTCCCTACGCAGATACCCGACAGACGTCTGGTCAGAGTGTGTTGCATGGAAAGAAAGCCCCAGAGTAGGAGGCTGCCCGCTTTCTTCCCATACTTCGCCCTCTTTATTTTCCTTTCCTCTCTACCTTGACCTCATTTCCTTGCCTTGACTATCTGATAACCGAGAAGTATACCGACCTTATATCTTGCTTCAATTCGTACTCATTTGTGCCCCCACGTAAGCGCACGGACTAGAACACAGTACGGAGCCGTACAGGCTGTGACCGGACCCTATAGCAGCGTGTTGGTACAGCCTTCGGTCTAGCGTCCACCTACCAGCCAGAATCCTATCCAGTGTGTCGTCATTCTCATGGACAGTGAGTGGGCAAGCGATTTGACCAAAGTCATCCGTATTGGGGGTGATTCCCATGTGCAATGCAAAGACGGTAATGCCGACCTATTCTGCCTGTTTTAGGACAAGGAATTGGATCATTTTCTTGGATGTGTATTGGCTCCCGCAGGACGGCCTTGCTGGTTCGTTGCCGTCGAGGTGGGAGAGTTTCTAGTGGGAGTGAGCTGAAGCCCACAAACCACCGGGGCAAACGCTACAGTGGGGGGACAAAAATACCGAGGAAATTTTTTTTTGCGCGTTTTTTTTCGACACAACAACATTAACCCTTTTACTTTCAACACCCACAACATGCCCAAACGAGGGCCGGAAAATCCGTTGGGTGAATATAGCCTTCATAAACGTACTAAAATTGCTACGGAATATAAATTGGGCACATCGCGCAAATTGCTAGCGGAAAAATACGATGTTCCTTACAAAAGCATCTATGGAATCGCGTCGCGGTACCAACATCAAAAATCAGCTACTTTACGTCCACGCCCCGGGCGCCCCCGTGCGTTATCCGATAACGACGTGCAAATCGTTATTGCACAAATCCGTCGATTCCTTTTTATCTTACCTGAAAAGCTACTTCGTTCCTGCAATTTAACGTGCAGCTTTCGCACCCTAAAGCGTGCCCTTTTAAAGCATGGGTTTAAAAGGAGGCTTGCACTTCGAAGGCCCAAATTAACAACAGAAAATGCCCGCAACCGCTTAAAATTTGCTAAGCGCTTTGTCGATCAACCGTTACGAGCCTGGAAGCAATGGGTTTTTTCCAACGAATCGATTATCGTGCGTGGTGACGGGGATCGCACAAAGCACGTGTAGTGCAAAAATGTAAATCGGCCCCTGGTTATATACCCTGGATTTAAACTGGCCTAACTTTCCCAATTTTAACTGTTAAAGCGAAAGATTACAGCCCAAGCATGTTTAGCCCAAAGAGAAGCTTACCAAATATGGCCAAATGTTTTAGGGGGCTTTTGGGTAGCACATTCGCAGCACTCTTTTCGCAATGCATGGTAATCTGGCCTCCAAAAAGGGAAGGGTTTCTAGCCGGACTGTGCTCAATTGCTTGCAAAAAAACCTACCTACAATATGCTCTCCAGGCACGGTATTTATGCAAGATAACGCCCCTACGCACCAGGCAGTTAAAGTCCAAAAATGGTTGCAGGCCTGGGCCGCTTTGCACGGGGTTAAATTGGTGCATTGGCCTGCCAACTCACCGGACCTTAACCTTATCGAAAACCTTTGGGCTATAATAAAAGCGGCGATTCACAAACGTTACCCTAAATTAGCTTAGCTTCCCAAATTAAAAAAATTACGCACTTTACTTATCCAGGCAGCGGTTAAAGCGTGGGAAGAGGTTAAAAAGGAGGTGCTGAAACAATTGGTAATTTCCATGCGGCAGCGACTCCAGGCCGTTATCGATGCAAACGGGTGGTACACGAAGTATTAGGATAGTGCATTTCTATTGAACAATTTCCGCTTTACAACATATTAAAAAAGCAAGTAAATTGAAGTAGAATTGGTGGTGCAGTCGGGGGTTGAATTGGGTGCATTTGTTTGCGTGTAATGCTAAATTTTGAAGTTCCTCGGTATTTTTGTCCTCCGACTGTAGGAGGACACCATGTGGGGCGGCCTCCACCCATATATCCTCACATTCGCGCACTTTTACACAAGAAAACACCCATCCGATATGGTGTAGTGGCTAACATCCGGCACTCTCAAAATTGAGTACTGCCGAGCCCGGGGTTCGATTCCCCGTATCGGAGTCAGAATAGCATCATTTAGATGCGTCAATCTTTTGTCTTTTGCCCCTTTTGAGCCCATGTTTTAGCCTCCATTCTAAACCCTCCACTTTTGATGCGCTGTTGTTACTGTTTTGGCTTGCGCGGCCCATAACATTTGATGGCCAAAGGGAACTCGGGGCCTTGAATGATGTTTCCGCCTCGTCGACGAGTTACCAACTGCTTGTGAAGGCCCGAGTAAAATGTGAGCCGAGGTCGGAACAGGCACAAATGAGGTAGCTCCCTTCCGGGGAAGACGAGCCCCTCGGTAAATCGAACCCCACACTTCTCCCCAGGCCACAGGAGGCCCGTGTCGAGCCCTGGATGGGGCAAGCTCAGATCTCCAGCGTGGAAAGAACCCCTGCGAGAGCTGTGCGGCGGCCGCGTTGAGCCGAGGCAACCCCTTGGCTGGATACTTAAATAAGGGCTTGGGGGGAGCTCGCATCATGGACCTGAATTGATTTTTCTGCCCCAAACCCCAGCGCTACCATGTCGGCCGTCAACAGGACTCTCCGCGCCGCCGGACGGACTCTCCGCATCTCGCAGCAGCAACAGCGAAGCTACCTCCGCTCCTCGGCGCCCCTGACGCTGGCCGCCACGTCGCAGAGCTGCTCCTCATCTTCGCCCGCCCTGCGCTCCACCACACACGCCCGCCCCTCCTCTTCCACCTCCTCAGCCTTCTCGACCTCTGCCCCCCGCCAGTCCTCAGCCCCCGCCAACATGTCGTCGCCCGCTTACGATCCCGAGATCTCGGACATTGCCAGCTACGTCCACAACACGGCCGTCGACTCGGAATTGGCTGTAGGTCTCGAGAGATTGCGCACGGCCGCTCTAACGGCGAAACCCCGCACTGGATTTGTTGGGGCACGCTAGCTGAACCGAGGCTAACCGCCATCACCAAACACAGTTCGACACGGCACGATGGATCCTGCTCGACACGCTGGGCTGCGGCCTTGAGGGCCTGCGCTTCAAGGAGTGCGCCAAGCTGCTAGGCCCCGTGGTTGAGGGCACCGTGGTGCCGCACGGCACCCGCGTGCCCGGCACGCCCTTCCAGCTCGACCCCGTCAACGGCGCCTTCAACATCGGCGCCATGATCCGCTGGCTCGACTACAACGACTGCTGGCTCGCCGCCGAATGGGGCCACCCCTCGGACAACCTGGGTGCCATTCTGGCCGTCGCCGACTGGGCCACCCGCACCAACCGCGCCGCCGCCGCCCCAGGCTCCACTACCAAGCCCGTCGCCGGTGGCCGCATCTTTACCGTCCACGACGTGCTCGAGGCCATGATCAAGGCCCACGAGATCCAGGGCTGCCTGGCCCTGCTCAACTCGTACAACAAGGTCGGTCTGGACCACGTCGTGCTCGTCAAGGTCGCCAGCACCGCCGTCGTCTCCAAGATGCTGGGCCTCTCGGAGAAGCAGACGGCCGACGCTGTCACCCAGGCCTGGGTCGACGGCCAGTCCCTGCGCACCTACCGCCACACCCCCAATACCATGTCGCGCAAGTCGTGGGCCGCCGGCGACGCCTGCCAGCGCGCCGTCAACCTGGCCCTCAAGGTCCTGCGCGGCGAGACGGGCGTGCCCACTGTCCTTTCCGCTCCGGTCTGGGGGTTCTACGACGTCCTGTTCAAGGGCAAGAAGTTTGAGTTCCAGAGGCCCTACGGCAGCTACGTCATGGAGAATGTGCTTTTCAAGGTGTCGTATCCTGGTATGTTGCCTGGCCGCTCCTTTCTCCTGTCCATTCTATACACCCGCTAACATTTAACTCTAGCCGAGTTCCACTCTCAGACCGCCATCGAGTGCTGCGAAAAGATCCACGCCCTCCTCAAGGCCCGCGGCAAGTCGGCCGCCGACATCAAGGCCATCACGTGCCGCACCCACGAGGCCTGCGTGCGCATCATCGACAAGCAGTTCAAGCCCATGGACAACTTTGCCGACCGCGACCACTGCATCCAGTACATGTGCTCCGTCATGCTTGTCTACGGTCGTCTAACGGCGACCGACTACGTCGACGGCTCCGAGGCCGCCACGTCGCCCCTCGTCGAGTCGCTGCGCCAGAAGATCCGCTGTGTCGAGGACCCCAAGTTCACAGCCGACTACCACGACCCGGCCCAGCGCACCATCGCCAACGCCCTGACTGTCGAGCTTGAGGACGGCACGGTGCTGGACGAGATCGTTGTCGAGGCGCCCCTGGGACACCGCCTCCGCCGCGAGGAGGCCAAGCCCGAGATCCTGGCCAAATACAAGCGCCATCTCGATGCCCACTACCCAGCCGACAAGGTGCAGAACCTCATCGACCTCGGCATGGACGGCAAGAAGCTCGAGTCCATGTCGGTCGACGAGTACGTCGATCTGTACGTCGTCGAGAAGAGCAAGTTTGTGTAAAATATCTATCCTCTGGTTAGTATAAAACTGGGAGGAGGATTTTCTTACTCTATACTATAGATGAGCCACGACCGCTGTTCTACGACGGGAATGGAAAAAATATAAGGTGCGACTTTTGGAAATACCGATGTATCTGCCAAAAAGGCATGTCTTTTCAAAGTTCTCGTATCACAGCATACGCGCACGCTGCATAGCTCCGTCGTATCACCCCCACCCCCTAAGCACCCGCAGCGCTCTGTTTAATCATGTCTGCCCCCTTTTCCCCAATCATGATGCTGGGAGCGTTTGTGTTCCCCGACACGACGAGCGGCATGATGGACGCGTCCACCACGCGCAGCCCCGTCACGCCGTACACTCGCAGCTCCGGGTCCACAACTGCCATGGCGTCGACGCCCATCTTGCAAGTCCCGGCCTGGTGGTGGTACGTCACGCAGGCGCGCCGGACATAGTCGCGCAGCTGCTCGTCCGTCTGCACCTCGGGCCCCGGCAGCACCTCGCGCGCGCGCCAGCCCGCCAGCGCCTCGGCCTCGCCGACCTGGCGGCACAGCTTGACCGCCGCTAGCAGCGCCTCCACGTCGGCCGCCTGCGCCAGGTAGTTCGGGTCGACGGCCGGCGGCGCGTCCGGGTCGGCGCTCGCCAGTTTCACGGACCCCCTGCTCGCGGGCCGCACAATGCCCGCGCACAACGTGTATGCGTTGGCAGGGCCCTCGAACGAGGGAGGGTAGTAGGGGATGTGCATGAAGAGCGGCTGCAGGTCGGGCGCGACCAGGCGGGGGTCGCTCTTCCAGAACAGCTGGCTCTCGAGCATCTGGTTCTCGGGCGGCGGGATGGCTTGTTTCCCCTCGTATATCACCGAGGCCAGCACGTGGTCCTGCAGGTTCTCGCCCACGCCCGGCAGGTCCGCCACGACGTCGATGCCGAGCGCGCGCAGGTCCCCCGCGTTGCCGATTCCCGACAGCTGCAGCAGCTGCGGCGACTTGATGGCGCCTGCCGACACGATGACCTCGCGCGATGCGAACGCGTCGTGCATCGCGCCGTCCTTGTCGTAGCGGACGCCGACGGCACGCGTGCCCTCGAACAGCACCCTGTGCGCGTGCGCGCCCGAGTAGACGGCGAGGTTGCCGCCGCGCTCGAGGGCCGGGCGCAGGAAGCAGCGGGCGGTGCTGCAGCGACTCCCGTCGGGCGTGACGGTCGCCTGCACGTAGCTGGCGCCCAGCATCTGGTCGCCGTTGCAGTCGTCGGTGAAGGGCAGGCCAATCTCCTTGCATGCCTCGACCGCGGCCGCGCAGACGGGGTTGACGTTCTTGAGCACCGCGACGTGCAGCGGCCCGCCCGCGCCGTGATGTTCACTAGCCCCCAGCTCGTGGTCCTCGGACTTTTTAAAGTACGGAAGCACCTCGTCGTACGACCAGCCGGGGCTGCCCAGGTACGCCCACGCGTCGTAGTCGGCGCGGGCGCCGCGCACGTAGATCATGGCGTTGAGCGACGAGCTGCCGCCGAGCGTCCTGCCGCGGGGGAGGTAGTGCGACCGGCCCGCGGCGTGCTTTTGCGGGACCGTCTCGACGGCCCAGTCGAGGCTTGTTTTGAAGGTGGCGGGCCAGCCCGACGGCCGGTGGATGTTGGCGTCGTCGTCGGGCGGCCCGGCTTCGAGCACGAGAACCCGCACGGCTGGGTCCTCGGTCAGGCGGCTGGCCACGACGCTGCCCGCCGAGCCGGAGCCGACGACGATGTAGTCGAACTGTTCGCTTTCCTTGTGTCCACTCATCATTCTGACTCGGGTGTAGCGGGTGGGTTGGGTGGTTGGCTGTCGTCTGGCCTCGCACCCTCTGTCTGGGGTCTTGGATGCGCATTTGTACTGTGCCCCTCACTTACTTGGCGGCATGGAAGCCTGTACGTAAGGAAAGGTAGGATCGGCGATGGGATGGGCACATAAAACAGGGTCTTCCTGCGAGACGCTTATACATGGGGTGATTGCTGTAAGCGACCCTGCCAGTTGTGGGGGAATGGTTGAGACATGGCAGGCTCGGTCGAGACACCTAGATTAGGACGCTATTGATGGCGAAACAAACAGACACAGATACAAGCGATATAACGTAGCCAGCCCCTACGCCTTTGCGTTGAACACGACGGAGCCGTGGCTTGTTCCGATTTGCTGGCCCGAGTTGTGGCTCCCAAAAGTCACCGTAACACCCTGGCTTCCGCTCGCACTTTGCGCCGCTGCCTGGACAACCGAAAGCAGCTCCTCGAGCACTTGGCGAGACTCGCCCATGGCCTTGCGCTCCATCGCGACCTGGTTGGTGGCACTGGTCTTGTCGGCGTCCGTCTCGCCCTCAGCCGGTCTCGAGAGGCAAAGCGCTACCAGCTTGTCGTTCATCTGGCCGAGTTGCTCGTCCATTGCCGCAAGCGCATCGGCGATGGCGGCCTCCTTGGTCGATATCGTCGTTTGGATCGCCTCGGTCGCTTGGGTCTGTTGGAGGGAGGCGTGCCTGAGACGCTCAGTGTCTGTCCTCTTTGGCGCCAAGCGGGTCTCGACTTACAGCGTCGCAACGTTGGACACGCAAGACAACGCGGAACAGCAGCTCTTCAGCTGACCCGACATGGATTTGACGTGGCCGTCTCTGTAGAGGCCGAGGGCTGTGCGGTCGCGCCAGGACAGCGTCCCGTCATCTTTGCTGTGTCTGGTCCAGTGCTTGAGGGAGGCCTGGAAAGTGTCACAGGAGTCCTTGCAGGAGGCTATCGCAGCCTCGGATTGCTTGACAACCGGCTCCCCTAGGGATTTCCACTGGGGAGTCGTAATGTCTTTGACCGAGACGAGGGTAAGCCTAAGGAACTCTAGATCCTCGGTGAGTGCCTTGAGGGTGTCAGGCGCGCCGATAATTTTCTGTATGTCATCAGCCAGCAGCTTTACGCAGTGGAGCGTTGGGCCGACGATGCCCACAACGCCCGCGGTGATGCTGAAGGGGTCCATTGCGATGTTGCGAGGGTGCAAAGCTCGGGCTTGGGAAGAATCCAATGAAGCGGGCAACACGCGGCGAGACGGTTTGGGGTCTGGGTTGCTTTTCACCGCAGCCTTTCGACGCCCGCCCCGCGACCAAAGGACAAGCAAACTCTGGGCCAATACAAACCCGGTCCTGAAGCAGTATCCCCTGGCTGACCGGGCGTAAATCACGTGCAGCTGCAAGAGGAGCTGATGCTGCTGCTCCTTGGCGACGCTGAGGGGAAGGCAGGCTACATCGGCGCCCCTGGATCATTCCCACGCTTTCGCAACCCACCATCGAAACTTGGACCACCTTACCTACCAGGCACTCCTGCAAACAAGAATGTTCTGCACCTATCCGTAGGCCAGCGACACGATGGAGGTCACTTTCGGATCCAAGAACAGGGGCATGCAAGTGGGGCAGATTTTCGGGAACGCTTACTTCACACAGGGTCAGCGACGCCGCCCATCTACCATCTGCGGATATGCCCGCTGGAGGCTTAGAACAAACGAGCAGTGCTAATGTCGGCGGTTGACATCTCCAGCTGCACCAGAGAGGCCGGAAACGCCCCCGCGCCCATTCGCGAGCATCCCTTTCTCCCGCGACCGCGATTTCGTAAACCGAGGAGATATCCTCGGCCAGCTCCAGAAGAGGTGTTCAGAGCCGGCCGGTCGAGTGGCTCTTTGCGGTCTGGGCGGCATTGGGTATGACGACCCTGTATCGAAGCTGCTGGAAACAAGGAAGCTAACTAGAAGCAGCAAATCGCAGCTGGCCATCGAGCTTGCCTATCGGATTTCCGAACAAACACCTGACTCTTGGATCTTCTGGATCCACGCCGCCACCCAAGCTCGCGCCGAGGAGGGCTTCCGAGACATCGCCGATACCGTCAAGCTGCCCGGCCGGAACAAACCCGATGCGAATATACCAAAGCTTGTGCACAGCTGGCTGTCGCAGAACCGGAACGGCCGGTGGACCATCGTGCTGGACAGCGCCGATGACAGCGACACGCTGTGCCAGCCAAGGAGCGATGGGAACGCCAAAACTTTGGCAAGCTATCTCCCGCAGAGCCCGAATGGGTCCATCGTCATCACGACCCGCAACCGGGATGTGGGGTTCAAGCTCACAGGGAGCTATATGGACATCATTGAAGTTGGGCCCATGCGCGTGGCTGAGGCGCTCCGCCTCCTGGAGAACAGACTGGGCCAACTCGGCAATCCGGAAGCGGCAGAGACGCTGGCACAGAAGCTGGACTGTGTTCCTCTTGCCATCAGCCAGGCCGCGGCTTACATCCAAGCGACACCGACAAGCTCGGTCCAAAAATACCTGGGAGACTTTCTCAGCGATGACCATAGGCGGAATCGTCTTCTCACACACGACGCGGCTGAGTTCCGACGGGATGGCGCCGCATCAAACGCCATCCTCACAACTTGGCAGATCTCATTCGATCATATCCGCTCGCACAGATCTTCTGCCGCCGATCTCCTATCTCTGATGAGCTTCTTTGACCGACAGGGGATCCCTCTGTCGCTTTTGAAGCCGGGCAACTCGCGAGGTGTGCAGCGAGATTCGGATTGTGCATCTGGCACACCGCAAGCCACCTCGGAGCAAGATGACGAATTCGAAGCAGATGTCGCAATGCTGCGAAGCTTTTGTCTTTTGTCCATGACCGAGAACAACACAGCGCTCGAGATGCACGCGCTCGTGCAGCTGGCCACGAGGATGTGGCTGAAGCAATCCGGTGGGCAGAAAGACAAATCCCACAAAAGGTTTATCAAACGACTGGCAGCGGCGTTCCCAAATGGCTATGCCAGAAACTGGGAAGCATGGGAACAGTGCCGGCAGCTTTTTGCCCACGTCAAAGCCGCCGAATACCACGGGCCACCCGAGGCGAAGGCGTGGGAGTGGGAAGTACTTATGCGGGGTGGCGGATGGTATGCCTACATCCAGGGCAACTATGATACCGCGGATCGAATGTTGCGAAACGCCCAAAGAAGCTCCGAGAGATTAGGAAAGAACAACGAATGGACGTTGGATGTGACGCGCATTCTGGCCGAGGTTGCCATCAGGAGGGAGAAATGGGCGGAAGCAGAATTGATACTAATGGAGGTGGTGGAGACCAGCAAAGCCAAACACGGGACAGACCATACCACCACGTTGACGAGCATGGCCGCCTTGGCAGAGACCCTCTACGCGCAAGGCCGGTTGCAAAAGGCCGAAGAACTACAAGTGGAAGTGCTCGAAGCTGGCAAAGCCAAATTTGGGGCCGACCATTTCATCACAATGGGAAGTATGGCCGACTTGGCATCGACCTATTACGCGCAAGGCCGGCTGGAGGAGGCTGAAAAGCTGCAAGTGGAAGTGTTCGAAACTTCCAAAACCAAACTCGGGCCCGACCATCACACTACGCTGACGAGAATGAACAGCCTGGCGTGGACATTGAACAAGCAGGGTCGCGGTGAAGTCGCCTTGGGCCTGATGAAAGATTGTGCACAGCGTCGGCAGCAGGTTCTGGGTCCAGACCACCCAAGCACCGTTATATCGCTTGCTGCGGTCGCCGATTGGAGCAAGAATAATGAAGGCGGAAGCGGCGGCGGCTCTTGCATAGCCATGTAGTTGAGCAGCGCGCCGCGGCCAGGATGTGGCAGACGAGCGAGCCGATGTCGCCGCCCTGACAGTGGTAGCCCGCGGTGCCGAAGCCGAGGGCAGACACCATCGGCCCGTCCACGACGCGCACCACGGCCTCGATGTCGAAGTCGCGGTCCGGCGGCGGCGGCGGCGGGCCGGAGAAGGAAGAAGCCCGGGAGGGAGGCGGATGGTGACGTGATAGGGCAGGGTGGCGGGAGTGTACCTACTTGGTCGCGAGCAGGGTCGGCTTGGGCGGCTGGGCGGCGCGCGAGAAGCGGGCGACGAAGTGGATGTTGATCTTGTCGCTGTGCCCGGTTGGGACGGACCTTGGCGGTGAAGTGGCGCTGTGGCGGCCGAGACGGTCTTGTTGCGTGGCCCTGCGAGGCGCGTTAACCTTTGTTGCTGGCCATGTTGACGCTGTATGGCACCAACGGCACCGACGTCCACCGAGTCGGGCAGCTGGCCGAAGCGCCCCTTCCACGAGACATGCGAGACGAGACACGTGAGAGTTCAGAAAAACGAATGACATTATTCAAATCCCAAGCCCCTATAATTACAACCCCCCGAAATGACACCCAGACCCAGCCTTTACTTCCCGAGAATGACATCGGCAGCCTTCTCACTGATCATGTAGATGGGCACGGCAATGTAGAAGCCCGGGATATCGGGGAAGACGGACGCATCCACCACCCTCAGCCCCTCGGCGCCGCGCACCCTGAACTTGGAATCCAACACGGCCATGGGGTCGCCGTCCTTGCCGATGGGGCACGTGCAGCTGGCGTGGTGGCCCCAGGCCTCGTTGGTGACCCACTGGTCCAGGCCGGCGTCGGTGACGTTGGGGCCCGGCCAGACCTCGGTGAAGCCGCCGGCGATGGGGATGACGTCGCGGAACATCTTGCGGGACAGCTTCATGCCCTCGACGACGGCCTTGCGGTCGGCGTCGGCGCCCTGGGAAAAGGAGTTGAAGTCGATGACGGGCACGTCGGTCGGGTCGGCGGAGCGGAGGCGGACGGTCCCGGCCTTGTTGCCCGGGTGCGCCTTGAGGGTGATCCAGGACCAGTGCTTGCGGTCGGCGGTCGCGTCGGCCGCGTAGCCGGGGAAGTAGCCGCGGAAGGCGACGGGGGCGCCGGCGATGAACAGGTCCGGGTCGGCCGTGTTGGCGGTGGCGGACTTTTTGACGATGCCGATGGAGATGCCGTTGGAGGCGTAGATGCCGCGGTCGGAGCCGGACTGCCACTTGGCCAGGCAGGGGTCGTTGCCGCGGCCGAAGGTGCAGCCGGCGATGATTTCGAAATCGTCCTTGGTTTCGCCGATGACGGTGGTCTCGTAGCGGTCCTGCAGGTTGGTGCCGACGCCGGGCAGGTCGAGGACGACGTCGATGCCGAACGACTCGAGCTCGGCGCGGGGGCCGACGCCGCTGAGCTTGAGCAGCTGGGGCGTGTTGAAGGCGCCGGCGGCGATGATCACCTCGGCCGACGCGGCGACGGAGCCCGCGGTCGAGGAGGACGCGGAGCTGCCTGCGCGGGGGTCGGCCTTGTACAGGCTCTTGCCCGAGACGAAGTCGACGCCGACAGCGCGCGGGGTGGCGCCAGAGCGGTCGAAACGGACCTTGGTAACGAGCGTGTTGAGCTTGATGTCGAGGTGGTATTTGCGCGAGCCGTCCGGGTTCTTGGCGTTGGCGGTGGCGAGGACGAATTCACGGGGCCCCACGCGGACGCCGTCCTTGACGGTAATGGGGACCTGGTAAAGGCCCTCGGCCGCGTCGCGACCGGGGGTACCGGCGTTGACATCGCTCAAAAGAACCTGGCCGAGGCCGGCGATAGTGGACAAAATGAGGCCAAGAAAGCCTTTACCCATGGCCGAGGCGGCCGAAATGATAACGGTAAGGAGCTTTAGGTCCTTGATGACGAGGCCCAGGTCGGTAACGCTGGTGGTGAGCCAGCCGTCGAAGCCGTGGCCGATGATGCCGTTGGGGATGTACCTGGCGCTTTCGAGGCGCTTGAAGTACTCGCGCATTTTGGTGGCGCTCCATGAGGAATCGCCCGTCAGGGCCGCGATGCGGTTCCAGTCGCTGGCGTGGGGGTAGACGGTGATGAGGGCGTTGTGGGCCGCGCAGCCGCCGAGGGCGCCGGCTCTCGGGTAAAGGACTCCGAGGGGCTGCGCGTTCGCGGCAGGGTTCAGACCGACATACAGGTTGCCGTTGCTGTCACGGTACGTCATCTTTGAGTCCTTCTTCTGGGCCTCGAGGCTGCTGTAGTGGTTGACGTAGTAGTCCCATCGCATGGGGCCGTACTCGGTCGACTGCAGGTTGAGGGCGGGGACTTGGTAAGGAATGGACAGGCCGTGGTCGTCGCCGGCCTCGAGCAAGAGAACCTTCTTGCCCGCGATGGCGAGACGGGAGGCCAGGGGAGCGCCGCCAGGTCCAGAGCCGACGATGACATAGTCGTAGCTCGCGAGGATCTTGTCCGTCTGTCGCGCCTCAACATGTATAGGTCCCCCTTGGCTGTCCAATCGCGGCAACGGTTAGCGTGCTGAGAAAAACGTGAGCATCACTCCTCGTTCTAAACAGGTGCGCCATGTCGGGGACTCCGGGGATTCCTTGGGGCAGGTGTAGACACTACTAGGTAGTTCCTTGACTGGTCCCACCTTGAAATGAACGACTCGCGGACGGCTTGAAATCAGGAGCAATCAACTTACGCCGAGGAGGGGATGGCGGTGGATGCGACTGCGGCTATCAGGTAGCACCCTGAGAGCAGATACCCGGACGCCTTCATGGTCTGAAGAGGGGCTGGGATCTACCAGGAAGACGAGGAGCACGGGTGTGACGTGACGCCGAGCAGATTGTCGCGGGCACGCAGTCGAAGGATCTCGTTCCCTCGTGGCAGAGAGGGTAGGAGATGCAAGCGACGGCTGCCCCTCGAGGTCCATCATATACAAACATGCGCCCCACCCCCAACGCGTGCAGATGCAGATTGTCACCGTCGATCACCTGGCGAGATCGTGGAGTACGAAGCAGCGTGGCAACTTCCGTAACGAGAAGTCCATCTCCGCCCAGGGTTCCCTCGCTTCTTTTGCAAATGCTAGGTACCCCTGAGATTAAGGATTGCGACGGCGGGGGCAAACCCCTGCGGCCCCAACAGACCTGCCCGAACCGGGCACGCTACCACGTGGCCAAGAATTATGCATGACGCAGCAGAGATGTCAACAGGAAGTCGACAGCATGTGTGCCTATGTCGCAAATCTCACGCGCGCCCTTTAAACCGGCGACTCTGCAACAAGTACGTGTCTCAAGGACTGCTCTCACTCCTTCCGAAGGACCCCCGCCTGGACGGACTGGGGCGACCCTGGCGTTCCTGGCCGCACGGGCACGCTAGCGAGCGGGGTAGGCGTAGCGCGGGCGCCAAAACTGGGGCGGCGCCCAAGAAAGGAGAAAAGTTGGAGGTTGAATTGAGCCTGTGCCCGTGCTTTCTCATGAACACCTCGACATGGACGAGCCCGCGGTGGGCGACCAGGTCACCGCCGCCGTAGCCGGCCTTACCAAAAAAAAAAAAAAAAAAAAAAAAGAACCCCCGACGTCTCCCGGGAGGGGATGGCGCTGGAAAGACGGGCAAGCAGTCAGAACAGTACCAGAGTTGGAGGAGAACGAGACCAGCGTGCATCATTTCCCGTTGTTCGCCCGTCTGCCTGCAGAGCTTCAACTGCAATTTTGGAACGAGGCCTGCGCCGCGGCGCTCGGGAAGCCGCGCATCCTGGACTTTGTCATCAAAGGATCTCATGTCTGGACCGCCGTTCCAGGCCACCTCCTCAAGCATCGTGTCCGGGACACGAAGGCTCTTGGGCGTCGACTCGGAATGCCGCGCCGTTACCTTGCGTCACTGGCTACCTGACACGCTGCAGTTCCAAACCCGAAAGGGCCGGGTCGGAGTGGTACACTTTGATAAAACCAAAGAGGCCATCGCCGTGTCTTGGTCCAATACCGCCGAGTTGTCACCCAGCCTGTCCGACCAGCCCCCCGCGGATCTTGCAGCATTAGCCCCGCGAGCTGGCTGGACAATTCCTAGCTTTTCCCGTCAGATTCGACTTCTTGCACACAATTAAATCGAACTCGAACAAGATGGGGCGATCATAACTGTTGCAGGCAGAAGGGATAGGCACGGTGTGAGGCTATTCCGGTTGATTTGCTCTGAGGAGGAAAGGATCTGAAGTGCAGGGCCCCGTAGGGGCCTCTGCCCTTTATATACACGTGACTCCCTTGTCCTCCTTGCTTACTAAGCTTCCCTCCTGATGCCTGGAAACGTCATACGCTTCCAGGCAGAGGGACCGCTCTTCCGATGCCTCAGGCAGCTGATATCTACGCCTGAGGCCTCCTCACGACAGTATTCACTGTCCACTTTGTGACAATAACCATGTGCGACAAGTCTGTAGAGCCCACTTCTTTCATCTGGCCGTTGTTGGACACATTCCCAAACGCGGAAAGAGGTTTCGAGCACCTCAGCTGGCACTCGTGCTACAATCTGGCTTGGTGTCTGCTGGCCCAAGGAGTCAACATGTACAAAGCGGTTAGCCGATCCGGCAGGCCCGCCAAAGCTTGTGGAGTGATATCCTTTTGGCCAGGTCCATCTCGCCGCGGTGACTTTATTCGTGGCGAGTGATGACATGATACGGTTAGGCAGATTGGGGAAATGGCCAGGGAGTACTTGGAGCGATGGGGGGTCAATCTGCCACAAAGCTTTGTCTCCCGGATGGCGAAGGTTGACCTTTGCCCCATGCCGTATTTTGAAGGCGGTGAGGGACAGCGAGAGCTTCGAGAACTGGAGGAATGAAGTGGACTTGAGGCTGTTGGCGCTGGATCAACCCTAACCCTATCTCGCTGGGGCGCAATGACGGCGTGGTGGTGCGGAGTCATTTCCAGGGGCATGGTCGAATCAAAAGCGCGCAGCGGTCCGCTTCGGGAAATTTACGGGGGACAACAGGGCAACAAGCCGTCGTCCCATCATCGGTCCAACCGTTGTTGTGTATGCGTCTCCCGAGAAGTCGGTGGTTCGGCATGGGCGCCTGCTTTTGGGAACCATCGCAGCTCACGGGCTCGCGGCTCCTCGCTTCTTCTCCTCGTCACCCCACGCAGCTGGCCGTCTACCCTTGCAGCATGGGGGGATACCCGGCGTCGAGCCAGCGCTGCTCCAGCTGTGCAGAGAATGGCCCCTTTTTGGCTGTGCCTAAAACCTTCTGGCCATTGCGCAGGGCTCATGCTTGTCGACATGTCCGTGACGGACGGCACTTGGGAGGAAAAGGGGGCCACCGCCTGAGCCAGGGGTCGAAGTCTATTCAGGCCGTTTTCCTACCATGGTAATGCACATGCGCGGGAGTTCCTTGCCGGTTGTGCAGGCTGGCCGCGCGGTGGCCCTCGGAGACCGGAAGACGAGTCAATTGACCGCTCCCAACGCGGGAGCATTCGCGAGCCCGGGTTGCATTGGAGTCAGTGGTAGCCAGTGGCCGACCCACGAGGTTCAGGGACGTGAGCCATTAATCTAAAGCAGTACCGTCTCTGCAGCAAAGCTACAAGTCAAGCTGCGCGGGGTGTATGCAATGAGATGACTGGCCTGTCCGGCGGCTCAGGATACGCCTGCATTGCTGTGCGGGCTGGTGCCAAGGTCGGCAACGCATACATAATCCGAAGCGCTCGCCGCCATCCGCCTGGTATTTCAGTGCTCCCTCACCCACCGCCTCCAGCTTCCACTCTTTTATTTTTGCGGCAAACAGCAGGTCCGGTCTTCGCCATGCGTTTCTCCCCGTCGTGGCAGCCCTTGGCTGTGGCTCTCGCCGCGGCAGTTACTCCCGTCCTTGGCCAGGTCTACGGGACCTACAGCACCTTCAACGCCATCGCCGGCAACGCCAACTCGACGGACCTAGCTTTGATGGGGAACCACTACAACCACTGGGTCCTGCTGTCCAAGAACGACACGTCGCGCAAATCTTCGTGGGATCTCACCCGGTCCGCCCGTCTGCCGACCCCCAACCCCAAAACGATCCCCATGCTTGGGCAGCGCGAGTCGGCCATAATCGAGCCGAGCCGCTCGGCTTTCATCATTGTGGACATGCAAAACTTCTTTTTGCATCCCAACATGACCCCCAGCGCCAGTCTCGGACGCAACGCCGTCGGCCCCACCATCAACATGATCCGGGCCTTCCGGGAGAACGGGATGAAGATCCTGTGGACTAACTGGGGTGAGCCCACCCGGCCGCTCCATCCAAACCCTTTCGGCCCATGGCAAAAGCTGACTCGTCGACAGGCTTCGACGACCACGACCTGATAATCTCGCCGCCCGCCGACCTGGACGGCTTCTCTGACGACCACACCCGGGCCACGAGCTTCTGCTCCGACATGGGCTCCATGACGGACGCGGACGGCAAGACGGTGCAGCTGGGCAAGAAGCTGTGCCGGGGGGCCTGGAACTCGAGGCCGTACGGGGACCTGGACGCCGAGATGGTGCAGGGCGTCGAGAAGGGGACGGATTTCTACTTTAACAAGAGTAAGCCCCCACACCCCATGCCTCTTTTTTTTCTTTTTCTTTTTTTTTTCTTTTTTCTCCCAGCAGCGGCTGACCCCCGTCCTCCAGACCGCATCTCGGGTCTCTGGGGCGCCCAGACGCCGCTCGGGCTGTTCCTGCAGGAAAACGGCATCACGACGCTGTTCATCGGCGGCGTCAACAGCGACCAGTGCGTCTGGGGCACGCTCCTGGACGGTTACTACAAGGGCTTCGACATGGTCTATGTGCCCGACTGCGCGGCCACCATCAGCCCCTGGTACGCTGAGCAGATGGTCAGGTACAATGCCGACTTGAACGGCTTTCTGACCAACAGTACCGAGATTATAGCCGCGCTGGGAAAGAAGTAAATGGCTGGAGGAGGCATTGAGGGCAGTTGACAGGACAACATCAGTGCCTTTGCGCGGACGTGGCGCCAGTACATAACCGTTCGAGGGCACATTGGGTGGGTATCTAGATCGCTCGGACCAAAAAAAAAAAGCAACGATGAAGTTACCATTTAAGTGCCCAAGGAATAGTGCTGGTGACCACCCGGCTTGAACCCCTTTACACCAAGCTCTGGGTGCAGGCCTGCTGGGTGTTGGAACCCTCAGCTGACAAAATGCATCTTCGTTATGGGCCTAGGGGTCGATTGGGCGGCCGCGGGGGGTCTGGTAGGGCGAGGCCGTTTTGGCCTCGGTAATAATGCTCGGCCGGGCTGAGTGGCGGTGCGATTCGCTGAACAAACCAATATCCACCTCCGCAGCCTCCATGCTCCGGAGGGCCTCCTTGATGTGTCCAGTGACGCCGGCGCTGACACCGGCAGCCAGGTCGGAGAGCCGCTTCCTCCAAAGCCGGCACTCCACAATGTCCTTGGAAATACCGCTTGTGGCTGCTCCAGCGCCGCCCTGGACTGCCAGACAGGGGGGTCGGCACACGTGAGGTTTCAGGAGGCGGACATCTGTGCGCCTCGTTAGCTTCAAACCCCCAACAACTCGATATCCAACGAACTTTCCCGTTCCAATACCACATTTCTCCATTGAACGCGCCGTGGGGGTTTTGACAGTCCGAAGTGCTGCGAAAAAGAAAAAAAGAGATATAATGAATCCTATTCTGGCGCCGGGCAGCGCCTCAGTCAAGTCCGAGCCAGACGGCGACTCAGCCGGTGCAGCGCGCCTTGACGACATCGCGTTCTGCGCGCGCGAGCTAGCCGCCGTCAAAGCCCGCAATGCAGCCCACGGAAGCGGCAGCGGCGTCGTCGTAAAGACCGAAACCGCCGGAATAGACGACGCCGCCGCGCGCAAGGCCCTCGGGCGCCAAAAGTCGGGGTTGGACAGGGTGCAGAAGCATACCGGCGGTGGAGCAGCCAAATCAGCAGCAACTGCCAGCGGCAGCAACGCCCCCTCGGCAGCCTCCATCGTGGGCACCTACAAGCTCCGTTGCGCCGGCATCGAGGAGGAGTGGGACGACATCAAAATCGACGAGATGAAGCTGCGCGTGGCCCCCTCCACCCACGTCCCTGGTGTCTACGTCGCCGACTTCAATCTGGGTGTGCTCGAGGGCCAAATGCTCATCGGCACCGACCGCGCCGCGATCCGGAAGTGCGCGCGCGCGCTGGACCGGAGGCCGAGGCGCAGGTACCACCGGGGCGCGTATCAGAGCGAGGAGGACCCTTGGGAGAACTGGAAGGCGGACGAGCCTGCTGCTGCTGAGGGAGGCGACGGCGAAGGCAAAAAGCCGTTCGTCCACACCCGCTACCTGCTCAACTGGCGCGGCTACGAGACGGGTGAGGGCGAGGTCGAGTGCGGCGACTGGTGGGGGGACTTGAAGTTTGCGGATGCGAGATTGACCCAGTTCGAGGGAGAGATGGAGGTTGGGTTCGTGTCGAACGACGTCATCGTCCGTGGAACCAAGGTGTCGGGCGAGGTGCCGCGTGTGAACATGCGTGACTGGTACGAGAATAGCGGCTATCGTTAGCGTGGGCGAGCACGGAGGGGACAGCTGTTGTGGGGTTGGGTGGATTGTGGCGATGGTGCGCTGTAGGATGCATACAGGGCTTCGTGCTGGCACGCCTGGGAATGGAGGATTGTGACAGAAGATCGGTTGAGAAGAGGACGTGGAGTGCATTCCGAGATTGTGTTCAAAATGCCTGATATTGCTACAAAACTAATACTAACACCCCGGTAAACAGGAAAAAACAGCGCCATGTATTATCATGCGTGGGCCACATCAAGACAGTTCACTTTTGGCAACAACCCCCGACACCACTTTGCCTCCCTTTTCTCTTTTTTTTTTTTCTTCCTTCCCTGACCCACGTCTCACAGCGACAGCGACCCGAACGGGTTCACATTAAGCGCACCGCTCATGGGCAGCGCTCCGACGGGGAAGACGCTGCGCTTGCTGGGCTTGAAGGTGCAAAACGGCGCCGTGACCTTCTTGATGGTGCTCACCTTGCCGACGACGCCCTTGCCGAGCTTCTTGATCTCGAGCTGGTTCATGTTCCTGGCGCGGCTGGCGGCGCGCGCGACCGCGACGGCGTCGAATATCGCCAGCGGCGCGAGGACCAGGCCAAAGATGGCCATGGGATCGTTCCCGTTGCTGTCGACGACGGAGTAGATGTCGAGGGCTACGGTACCTGCGGCCCCGATCATGGCGATGATGCGGGCCACGTTGGCTAGGCTCGCGATCGTGCCGGCTAGCTGGCCGAGCACGGGCACGAAAAAGAAGATGGCGCTGAGGAAGAGGAGGATCGTGTTTTTGCGCTTGTCCTCCTCCCATTTGTCGACCGTGTCCGAAATTTCTTTTATCGCGCCAACGGCCTCCTGGACCATGAAGATGGGCATCGAGACGGCGTCGACAAAATCGAAAGCCGAGCCCGAGTAAACGTTGTTCTGCATTTGCTCAACAGCCTTGGGCATATCCGAAACAAAGCCCTGCAGCTCCTTGTACGCCTTTTCGACCACGTCCTTGGGGTTGAGCACATCGTCCTTGTCGTAGTCCTGGGTGACCGGGAAGTTCCGGTCGTAGTTCATGTTGCGGCACATTTCGTCTTCACGCGGCAGCAGGCACTCCCGCCGCTTCACGTCCTGCCATTTGATGTTCTTCTCCTCGATCCCGACCGACGTAAACAGGTCGGCCCAGAACAGGGCGCGCTTGTCCTCTTTGAGCTTCCAGTCGATCGACTGCCCGTATCCCGTGGCGGGCTCCTTGCCGGCCCGCTTTGAGTAGTCCGGAGGGCACTCGGGCGAGACGTCGAACCAGGTCGTTTCCATCTTGCAGCTCGGGGGAGGGCGGGGCAAGGTGTCGCAGCCGATGGACCAGCCGCCGCAGTACTTGTCGTCGCAGTACCGGCACTCCTCGTTGTTCTTGCCCGGGTTGTGGACCAGGCAGGACTTGCAGCACGTGTTCGGCTGCTTGACGGTGCAGCTGAAGTACTTGTTCCCGTTATCGTACATGAAGCTGCGCACGGCCGAGTTCCCACCCTGGGCGACGGCGTCGGCGTACGTGTTGAACTTCTTGTTGTACCCGTCCTCCATCAGGTCGTCGTAGTCATCCATTGCCTTCTTGATGTCCCGCGCCAGCACCTCGGCGATGTAAACGGGAACGCAGTGGTTTGGGATCAAACCGGGAGGGTAGGCCGTCACGTGTTCGATGCTTTCGAAGGGCCCGTCCTTGCACTTGGGCAGCTTTTCGGGGAGCCCCTCGTTAGCGTCGTTGTCCTCCATTTCCGGGTCGCGGATCTCGTCGCCCGTAAAGGCCTGCAGGTCCACGGCCCAGTCGATTGTGCCCCGGAAGCCCACGCCGGTCCAGTGTTGCCGGCGCGTATCCTTTGTCGTCGGGGTCATATAGGCGCCCCACTCAGTAAACCCGTGAATAATCATATCCGAATTGGAGCCCGCGTCGTGCCAGGTAACGATAGACGTCGTCTTCCCGTTGATCATTTCGTTAATCTCGGCGTTGGATATATACCCTCCAGTGTCAGTACAACGACCCTTCGCGGCTGGCGAATTGAGCCGGTCGCCCAGGAAGGTGCACATCGGCCCTCGACAGCCGGGCTGGCTGAGCTTGAAGGTGCGCGCATAGCTGGACTCGCCGACGTATATCTTGGATGTCTTCACGCCGGCCTTGGTGATCATGGCGAGGGTATACGTGGTTTCTGTCAGGTTTACGTGGCTGCGGACGCAGTTGCCTGCCGGGCAGCCGTCGATGGCGTACTGGTTCCCGGCGTCCCACTGGCCGTGCAGATCGTACGTCATGAAGACGATGTAGTCCAGCACCCCGGCCATCTGCTTGATAGGGAAAGGCTTGAGGTACCAGAAGCTGGCTGGGGCGGCGATGGAGAGGGTGCGGCCCGTGCCGGACAGCTTATCTCTCATTGTCTGCAGGAACTTGTAGTAGTTGCCCGTGTCTTCGGGCTTCCCCTCGGCGCCGGGGATGTCAGTGTTGCTGGGATATTCCCAGTCGAAATCCGCCCCATCAAGGCCCTCGTCTTTCAAGAACTTGGCCACGTTGGTCGCGAAGGTGTTGCGGTTGGCAGGGAGGGTTGCTTGGCGCAGGATATCGTACGTGCCCGGCTCGGTCGAGTAGCCCCAGCCGCCAAAGGAGATGACCTTTTTGGCGCCGCCCAGATTAAACTCCTTGAACTTGTCCCACTGCTTGTAAGGGTCGGTGATTTTGACGGTCCAGTCCTTGGTATTGATCTCGGCAAAAGCCCAGTGGATGATGGTATAAGTCCCGTCGGTGTTTGCATTCTCGACGTGCTGCCACAGACACTTGCGGTTGAAGTTCCACGTCTCATAGTACCCGATGCGTCCGAAGCTGGACGGTTTGTCGACGTTGGTGATCTCCATGCCACAGCTGGATACGCAGCCGTTCTGCAGACCCGACGTGCCCGGGTTGCCCGTGGTGCTGTTCTTCTCGGTACAGAAGTCGCCGCTGATGCCGCACTGGCCCCAGACGTTGCAGCAAGCGTTGAGAGGGCAAGGGTACATGTCTTTAAGGGCCTTCCCGGGGTCTGGCCCAGTCGCATTCTCCTTGGTCGGCCCGCAAACCGCACCCTTTTGCTTTGCCGGCATGGGAGGGCTGCCTTCTCCGACGCAGATGTACGCGTCCTTGATCAGCTTGTTGCAGCCGTACCAGCCCCAGGTCTGGCCTTCGTTCCACTTTTCAATGTCGGAAACCTTGACGTTGTACTGTCTTGCCAGGTTGTCGCAGATGTCGCCCAGTTTAACCTGATGCGCGGCGCAGGTGCCGTCGGCCGCCATAACCCGCATTACCTGGGGCAGCTCGCCTGAACTACAGCAGACAGACATGCCGGGAAGAGGAGAAGACTCGGATGAGCAAATGTCTGAGGGGTTCGAGTTGTACCTGGCGAAGTCGGCAGCGGAGATGCCACAGCGTGATGCCAGAGACGGGCAGCTGTCTCCAGCCTCGACGCGGATGGTTTTGCAGTCTGCGCGGCGGGAGAGGCCGGACGAGGGCGCGGTGCTGTTGGAGAAGGTGCCGTTTGTCTTGGGCACATCGTCAAAAGGGCCGAGCCCGGCCTTGTCTTCCGTGACCGACACGTCCTTGAGCTCCGTTGTCGACTCGAACCCAGTCGCGCACTTGGCCTGACTCCAGCTGCGCACGGCGTTCTGCACGGCCGTGACATTCGCAGCGAGGTCGATGATGAGGCCAAACGTGTGACGGCCAGTGCGGTCTGGGGCGCCGCAGAGCTGGGCCGCGGCCGTGGTGGCCTTTCCGGACGCGATCTGGTCGAGAAGGGGCTTGGCGACGGAGGCGACGGTGGCGCGGCCGAACGATGCGCCGATGTAGACGCCGGCCACGACGCCCTGGTGGTAGGAGAACATGACGGTCTCCTCGCACGGCGAGTCGCCCGAGTCGAAGTGATTCTGAAGTGTCTTGAGGGCAGTAGCGGCCGCGCCGCTTCTCTTACTGTCAAGCTCATGGTCCGTGCCAGTGGTAGCCAGCTGCAGCGAGACCTTATTTTCGGCGGCTGAAGAGCGTGCGCTGGCCTCTTCGCACCCAGTGGGTGATTGGCGCTTCAGCAGGCTGCCGCTGCGCCGGTGCGTTCTGAAGGTGTCGGCAGGCGGCGAGGTCCTTCCGGCCGCGGTGCCGTTGTACAGCCCATTGACTCTAGAGTTGGCATTTCCAGCAGTGCAGGTGGTGATCTTTGTTGGGGTTTCTGGGTCAGGGACAGGGTTGAAAAGGGCAAAGGACAGCAGCATCGGCTCTTCGCAGATAGCGAAGCGCTCCCACGAGCTGTACATCATCCAATTGGACGAGGGGGTGCCATCGCAGGCTTGGGGACATGGGTGAAGCTGCTGGTAGTAGTTGGTTCCGTCGTCCACTCCCTCGAGCGGCGCGTCCAGGACATCATTATCCTGGGCAACCACCCGTAAGGCGAGCAGCGCCGCGGGGAGAGCAATCAGGCGCATTGCTGTCAGAGAAGCGGTGGCGGGATAATACAAAGACCGAGGGGCTGTAGCTTAGGATGCGTGGCACCTTCCCAGAGGCCTAGGTGCCTAGAGAGCTTGTGGCAGCAGCGATGGACTCCAGAGCGTAGTTGAGCTTAGGGGAACATGGGCGAAGTAATAAAAGCGAAGTGCACGAGGCAGCGAGATGGAGCGGCTCTCGGCTGAGACCTGTGGTGCAACTGATGATCCTGAAGATGCTGCGGCAAGATGGAGATCGCCAGGTAGCCTGGTGAAATTTTTTGCCGCAGGACGAGTGGCATCTCACATCAGCCTAACCCATCAACAGTGCTACTTCTTCTAGCCTCATTCTTGGCAAAGCCGGCCAGATTAGTCGAAGGATTATCGCGATAGTATTGATATCTCGGTCAAAGAGGGCGTCCGCTTGCCACAATGCGAGGGGTGTTTCTATCCAAGGGCGCAGCATGTGGGGTAAGAAGGAATTGGCCTGCGAGCACCCCTGGATCTTACACCCCCAAAATTGCCCCTTCCTGTTCTCTGCTGTCGGTCAATATCGAAACATCGAAAGGAGCATGGCTTTGTGGGGTACCTGTCAGCCTTTTGCCGTGTTGGTCGCGTTTTATCCTCGAGTCGAGTTATCACGGCGATAACCGTCGCGTCTGGACTGCAGGCACATAGCACCACGTTACATTTGATGCCCTCATGATCACCCACGTGTATCCATCCTTCTAATATTGCCAAGCAAGATTGTGCGGCCGATATTCCCGCAAGCGAGATGATGCTGTATCGGCGGATTGTATCCCCAGCAGGCAGGACATCTTACGAGATACTGCTTTGTAGTGGAGGATGGAGGGATGTAACCCGAGGCTTCTTTGGAAGAGCCGCGAGAACCATAGGGGCCAGCATCAGCGGCTGTTTCTTTGCGAAGAGCAGGGCTAATATCGGCTTGCTTGATTAGGAAAAGAGGTCTGCGCAAACCTGGAGCGCATAGGTCCGGACAACTCCTTGTACTACAACATGTCCGTCTCCTCCTTTTTCTAGGCCGCACTCTGCTGCAAGGTTAACTCACCGCTGCTTCCCGGCGCTCTCCAGAGACACGGCTGTCCCTGCCTCGAACGGCTGTCCCCTAGACCCTCATCCATCTGTTCTCTCAGACACAATGAGGCTCTCACGGCTTCTGACGTTCGCCCTTTACGCCGGGCTGGCGTCGTCCTACGGCAGCCGCGCGGCCATGGAGCGTGCCCTGTACTTTCTCATCTACGAGATGGAGGACATGTTCAGTATTGAGGGCGTCGGCAACGGCGACAGCCCCAAGCTCGCCGCTGGCTGTCCTGCCGTCGGTGAAGGCGACCGGAGAGGCCTGACGACGTCTTCCAAGCGCTGCAGCCTCGCCCAGTTTCTTGATTGGACCTGGCGCAAAACGCCGACGAAGATTGGCGGCGTCGACTACTTTGACACCAAACCCGATCTAAGCAGTGTGAAGTGGCCCCAATCCGAGGCGGTCATGACGAGCAGCTCGATGAAAGCCCAGCAGATTGCGCCCTATATCGAGAACGCGCAGGACGGTACCGGCCAGAAGTTGACCCGTAAAGTCGACATAACAAAAAACGATGGTACTCCGGGCAAGATCCAGCAGCACGGCTACACCGGGAACGTCGCCGAGGCCGACAGACTCTGGGCCAACTCTGTAAGACAGCCTTCCGTGAGTAACGACGTGTGAGGACGTGGTGCTGACATAGGCTGGCCATCGGGACAGGGTCACCCGAGTGGCTTCGACGGCTACACCCGATCCATAGAGAAGATCGCGGATCGCGCCAAAGAACTCAATGACCACTGGCAAAAGGCCATCGATGATGGGAAGGTCGACATCAAGGGCGCCCACGAGGCGGCCCACGACCGCATCACAAAGCAGCTGTCAGAGGCCAAGCTCGCGGCGGAGAGGGTGGTGGTCTTGCGCAAGGTGGACCAGATGAGGGCCATCAAGCAAAGCGCTACATGGAGGCAAAAGCTCGGGGGAAACTATGCTGTCTGGGACGTAGACGGCGACGGCGTCGCCTATATGAAAAGGGAAGAGACGCGCCAGAAGATGGTAGCTGCTGGCCAAACTTATTCCGAGGCGAAGGAGCTCCTCGACAATACGTGGAAAGAGGTCGAAGCGAGCGACAAGTATCAGACCCACGAGGCCGCGGTGAAGAAGGCGGAAGAGATGAACCTGAAGATGAGGGGCATCGGCGTGGCATGTTAGTGATTGTGGGCATTGGAGACCTTGGCGAGGCCGGGAAGTTCGTTGTTGGGGAGTGAATCACGGGAATGGAATAATTGTTGTCGATGTTGGATCTGTAAAAACAACTGCCTCTATGGCACCTTCCTATTTGCGCAGCTGTATTCTCGCCGGATTGTCGCCGGCATTGGCCAATGACAGAGGACTGTTTAGGCAACTAGCCCAATCCGGATGCTGTCGTGTTCCCCGCGGACACGAGGCCAGCGGGGCTATGCAGGTATGTACAGGTCCCAGGGATCACAAACCTTAGTACGGTGGATCCTGGTGGTACATCAGTTTGGCTTGGTTTTCTAAGGAAAAAAATGTATCTTGCTCCACCACACTAGTGTTTGTGATCCCTGGAACCTATACCAACATTTTGCAGCTAGTGGCCCCAAAGCTGTGCTCGCCACCCTTGGCGTCAGCCTACGTAGGATCTTACCGCCCGTGCATCCAAGGATGGCTCTCTGGAGGGAGCCGCCCTAGATCCGAAAAGAGCATTTCTCGGCCGATAGCCAAACTATCACAGAATATCACACCACGGTCTGATCAAAAAAGTCTGGACCGCAAATTTTTTCCCCCACCTAAACTCTACCTTTCCCAACACAATTGCACCAGCACCAAAGCCAAACAACATGCCCGCGCCGCATTCTACACCTAAAAAAACACGCGTTCAAGGGATTTGTGATTATTTTGATGCAAAAAGCATTACTTATAGCTACAATAACGTTTTTCGCTTTTTATAAATGCAAAGGGTAAAATAATTGCAGATTG